CTTGATTCTATTGTGATGGCAAATGAGATGATTCATTACTGTTCTAAAAGGAAGAGTGAAGTAGCTATGCTAAAGCTTGATTTCACAAAAGCTTTTGACTCCATCAACTGGAATTTTCTCCTTAGTCTGCTCAAAGCCAGAGGTTTTGGAAGTAGGTGGTGCACATGGATATATCACATCATCTCTTCTTCTCAGTGTTCTGTTAAAGTTAATGGGCATCCTTCTAAATTCTTTTCTTGTAAGAGGGGTCTAAAGCAAGGAGATCCTTTATCTCCAATGCTTTTCAATATAGCAGTTGATGTTTTAAACAAAATGATTCACAACAATGTTGGAGAGGGTCTTTTGTCAAATCTTAATATAAAGTTACCTCTTAATCAGTTGAGAATTCTCCAATTTGCAGATGATACTCTTCTCTTCGTCAAAAGCTCTTTCAAGGACATTTCAGTGTTGAAAACTATACTTTATTTCTTTGAGGAGGTCTCAGGTCTGGCTATAAACTATTCTAAGTCTTCCATTGTCTACTTTGGTAAAAATCCCATGAAAAAACATACTCTTTCAAATTCTCTTGGATGCAAAGTAGACTCTCTTCCTATAAAATATCTAGGTATGCCTCTCAAGTATGGTAAGCTGACCAAATCTGAATGGCAACCTATCTTTGACAATCTCCATAAAAAACTTGCATCTTGGAAGAGGAATTTCTTGTCCTATGGAGGGAAATTAGTACTTCTTAACTCTGTGCTTTCTTCAATCCCTTTATATTTCATGTCCTTCTACAGATTGCCAATTTGGGTAACAAAAAAAATTGACAAAATTAGAAAAGGATTTCTTTGGACAGGATCTGATAAAGCAAGTGGCTTCAAGTGTCTAGTCAGTTGGAGAAAAGTTTGTTTAAGCAAATCAGAAGGAGGATTAGGAGTTAAGGATATCCGTCTGTTTAATATTGCTTTGCTATCAAAGTGGCTTTGGAAATGTCTTGATCAACATTCAATTACTGGAAATTTCCTTCGTCAACTATATTGTAACAGAGGCCAACCCCTTCAAATGACACTTGCAGGAGCATCAAAATCACATTTCTGGAATGACGTTTTATCTTTTAAGCATGAGTTTCTTCATAATATCTCGTGGTCTCTGGGTCTAGGTGATTCAATCAGATTCTGGGAGGATAAGTGGACATGTTTCAACTCCATAGCCAGCCTTTATCCTTCTATATATAAGCTAGCTCTATCTCCAAATGTTACTATTGCCAGCCAAAGTTTTCTGAGAAATTCAATTTGGCATTGGAGACCTCTCATGAGAAGATGCATCTCTTCTTCTCCTCAAATGGAAAAAGATAATCTAATGAAGCTTTTAATGGGGTTTCAAATTTCATTTTCACCAGATAGTCCTAGATGGCTGCTTACAAGCTCTGGTATTTTCACAGTCAAGTCCTTTTATCAGTTTCTTAACCAAAGAGGTATCCTATCACTTCATTCTAAAGTTACTTGGAAGACCAAAACCCCATCTAGAATCAGTTTCTTTATCTGGCTCCTATGCAGTAACAAACTTCATACTAAGGATAATCTTTTGTCTAAGGGATGGATAGGAGATTCGATGTGTATCTTCTGTAGTTCAGAACCAGAAACCAGGGATCATTTGTTTTTCTCATGCACAATAACATCACATGTCTGGTCTCATTTTAAAAGCTACTATCTTCCTTTTACATGGCCATCATCCTTTTCAGATTTATTACATATTGTTAGCATGCTTCGAGGAGGTGCTGGTTATATTTGGCGTTGTTTTTTCTCCTATATCTGCTGGAACATTTGGATCAGTAGGAATAAAACTTTATTTGATAAATCTTGTTTCTCCTACAAGAAGATTGTTAATAATGCAATATATGGCTTATATGAATGGTCAGGTAATGGGAAGGGTGCAGCGGCTAGGGAATTGTCTGCCAGGTTGGAAAATTTTCCTCTCTCCCGTGCAAGTATTTGAAGGCAGAAGATATTTCTCTGGATCATATTTTTTTGGCTTCTATCTTATGTAAATATCTTTTTAGATATCCTTATCTTTTATGTTTTTTCTTGTTGTTTCATAGAAAGTTTAATTTCTACTATGCACATGTATGGCTGGCTTTGGTTCTCCCTTAAATCTGTGTTAACGGTGAATGACGGCAAGGCCCTCTCTTCATCTTCATGGATCTTTGGAAGAAGAAAGTTATGCATCAATACTAGTAGAAATTCTATCTTTCTATATTACAACCTTTTAGACACTGCTTGTGTCTAAGCTTTTGTAATTAACAATCTTTTGTTGTTTTTGGTTTTTTAATGAACGGGGTTATAACCCCTGTTTTTCGATCAAAAAAAAAATTAAGAAAAACTATTGCAAACTTGGACTTCTTGAAAAAATTTCAAGGAACTTTTGTTATTAATGCAACTATAACAACTTACATAACTTTTCTCAAGAGTCTAATTGAGTTGGTAAACTGGTTATGAGTAGTACTTTAAGGTCTCAAGTTTGACTCTCTCCAGGAACATCCACAGAAAATTAGATAGGAAAGTTTCCTCGTCAAAAAAATAATAATAAAATAATAATAATAATAACAACTTACATAACTTTTAATAACTTATTTTTTTGAAGATTAACATTGATTTTAAAGTCGTGTAAAAGAGTTTATTTTGTGTTTTTGTAAGTTCACACTTGTTCTTTGAATTTATTTGCAAATAAGTACTGTGAAACGTCTGAGTTTCTGAAAACTTCTGTCAACATTACATTAGCTATCGCTCTTTCATTTTCTTCATAAGTGAAAAATACATCATACTTCTAATCGCTTAGAAAAAAAATACCAAATAGCATGAAAATGAAGCTAAAACATGTAAACTTTAACATAACAAAATTGTTAGAAAAAAAACATTAAGGTTTCAAAGTCAAAATTGTGTAAACTTTATTGTATCAAAGTGTCAAAAAACTTTGGGGATATTACAGTTAAAAAGATGTGAACTCTAGAGTATCGAAGCGAAAAAAGACATTTTTCTTAAGAAAAAGATGGATTTTAAGAGAGAAATCATAACTAAGAGGCATTTTGGTCATTGAGGGACCAAATTGAAAGGTCCTTTAGGAAATAAAGGACTAATGAACAGTTATTGAGATTTGAGGGAGCAATATAGAATTATTGAAGATTTGGCGGACTAATACAAAATAACCCTTTAAAAAAAAACCTTACCCATGCTTTCCGTAGTAGTCAGTACTCCTTCCCAATTTTCTATTGCCAATTGTTATAACATGGAAATTACTAAGTCAAAAAGAGTGAACATGTGACAATAAATCGGACAACTCTAAAAACATCCATGACCTGAACACTCAGATGGTCGACTTGTCTCGAGAATCAAATTTGAGACGAGAATCAAATTTGAGACGAAATGCCCTCCTGACTTGGATCTCCCTGGATGACCGGCTCCGAGACAAAAGGCATTTCTTGCTCTGCCCAGACACCATACAGTGGCCTAACAAGCGAGGACAAAATGGTGCATGGCATTCGATGAATGTAGAGCTAGCGCCTTCAATGCGGCATCTAGTCACCATCAGGCCATTAATGTGGCGTCGGTCATTATAAATGTTAGAGCCAGAGCCTTCAGAGCTCATTGGACACACAATTAGTCTGATAGTCCCATCACTATGCAAAAGCTGACTCGGTCAACCAACTGTTCACGCGTGTAAAACATGTATTGAGCTTGCATTGCACTCACCCAACAAAAATTATCAACGTGCCCATGTAAATTCTCTATAAATAATGGTGATCTCCACTAAACCAAAGTAACACAATTTTACACACAAAAAGTCAAATAATATGACACTCTAATTTTCTCTTCAAATTAATTAGAAAACGTCACTAACTCAACTGCGGAGGGCATGCAGAAGGAAAAACCCTCCAATGTCTCTAACCTCTGTTATTTATGTAGCAAAGCATATGTTTTGATCCACAACTAGAAGATCAACCAATAAAAAAGATCAATAGACCCAAAATTAAGTTCAACACTCCCAAATCACACATTAATTTTTGATGTAAACACCAATAACCCTGCAACTTCGTGTGACTGTGACCCATGTCTCCAAGGGTGACAAAGTGAGTACAAAACTAAAGAACCTTTCGCAAAATTTCTATGCAAAGCATATCCTTGAATATTGCAAGCTGAACTTATATATATTCTTAATTAGCATAAATAAAGGACTCTTTGGGAAGGCATTGTAGATTTCTACAGTAACTGCAGTGATTATTCCAAAAGCTTTAGGGCTAATTGCATATCAGACCCTTACATCAACCTTAATTGCTAAAGAGGCCCTCAAATCTCATTATTTGCCTATTAGTTTCTTAAATCTTCAATTTTCTTGCCAAATGATCCTTTTGTTAGAAATTCTGTTAACTAATCCGACCACAGTTGGGTTAAACATTAACCCGACATCTAAAATTACCTTGTTGCCCTTGGCATGAAGAGAAATAGTGCGCATTTCAAATCAAATTTAGAAAATTTTATATGATTTAGAGGAAATCTAACTATGGTAAAAAGCTTAATATTGAGTTTTGGAAGGTAGATGGCCATTGGAGGAGAAAAAGTAAGTGGATTTGAGTTTTAGAGAAGTGGGTTTGGGTTTAAGCCATTAGATACTGGGTAAATATGGTAATAAATGAGAGAGTTGACATGGGTAGGGGTATAACGGGCAATCTAACAATTTCTGTTATATTTAACACTTGATTATTAACTCCATCTAGCAACATGGATGAGTTGGCAAGAAAATTGAAGATTTAAGGGACTAAGTAATAAGCATATAATAAGATCCTCCGGACAATTTCGCAATTAATATTGATGTAAGGGACTGATATACAATTATCCCAAAACTTTAATATGTAGATAAATACCACTCTCAACGTGCGTGATGCAATCCGACGGTCCAGAATCTATCCACCTGTAACGTACTTGACTCAGCTCGAATCAAATATATTCTCAGAGCCTCTGTACAAACCGATGCCAGCAGAGAAAGGAAGCATTAAAATTCCCCAATCAGTGGAGAAAACCGAGAGAAACAGTTCATCCCGCGACGAGATTTAGGGTTCTGGAGTTCAATTTTAGAAAGAAGAAGAGGTTACAAGAGTCCGACTTCAAACCCTACGCTAAGGTACGCAGATCTCTCGATCCCTTTCTTATTTCATGAATTGCTTCTGACCCTTTTAAATTCGTCCGTTTTTATTCACGCCTTAATTCTCAAAATCTTATCTTGCTTCTAAATTTCATCTGGGTTAATTTCATAACTGTGTATCCTGCAGTGAATTTGTAATAATGGAGGGTTATTCGAATCATACTCATCGTTCATCTCAAGAAATGGAGGTTTTGGATGTGAAACCTTTGAGAACCATAGCTCCAATGCGCCCTTCATCACTTGGGCTCGATTCATATGCTCCTCCTTCTACTGGAGATTCCCCCTTTGTCTTTGTGACACCCTCTGGGTCCTTTGCTTCTGCGTCTGACTCTCTCTTTCGTCCAAACTTCGTCCCGTTGTTTCCAAACTTAGCTTCTCCACAACCTTCGAACCAAAAACCAGTTTTTGCAACCCCACTGAACAGCAGGAGCGCTAACGGTTCGGCATCAACGTCGGGCCGGAAATCTAAAGTTGGTAGTTCTGATGCGAAGAGCACAGGTGAAAAGAAGGAGAAACCACCAAAGAAACCTAGGAAAGTATATGGACGACATGACACAGGGGGCCTGCTCCCTTCTTCTCATGATGCGAGGGAGTCGGTGGAGGTGATCCTTATGACATTTGATGCTCTTCGTAGAAGGGTTCAGCAGATAGATGGGTGAGGATGGAAGTAAACGTTCCGACCTCAAGGTTGGGCCTATCATGACGAACAGCGAGTTGAGGATAAATATGAACAAGAAGTTGGGTCCAGTTCCAGGGGTTGAGGTTGGTGATATGTTCTATTTTAGGTTTGAGATGTGTTTGATAGGGTTGCATTCTCAGATCATGGCGGGAATTGACACTATGACTGCAAAGTTTGATAATGAAAATGATGTTGTGGCTGTTTGCATTGTGTCTGCTGGTGTCTACGACAATGAAGATGATGATGTGGATGCCATTGTTTATAGTGGTCAAGGAGGTTCTGCTGGTAAGGATGATCAAAAGCTTGAAAGGGGGAATCTTGCTCTGGAGAGAAGCTTGCACCGTGGTACTGAGATTAGGGTTGTCCGAAGTGCAAAAGATTTCACTTGTCAGAATGGTAAGATATATATTTACGATGGGATTTATAAGGTTCATGAATCATGGGTTGACAAAGGGAAGGCGGGGTTCAATGTTTTTAAATTCAAGCTGCTTAGAGAAGCGGGGCAACCTGAAGGTATTGCAATGTGGAGAAAAACCCAAAAATGGATAGATAATCCGTCATCAAGAGGAAGCGTTATTATTCCTGACATATCCTCTGGTAGTGAAAACATACCGGTTTGCCTTGTTAATGATGTTGACTATGAGAAGGGTCCAAGCCATTTCACCTATGTGACCAAAGTTAAGTATTTGAGTCCGATCAACCTCATCAAACCTTTGCATAAATGCATGTGCCAAAATGTTTGCCTTCCTGGGGATAAAAATTGCTTATGCGCACAACAAAATGGCGGAGATCTTCCTTATAGCTCTAATGGGCTTCTCGTTAGCCGTAGGCCTCTAATATATGAATGTAGTGGGTCTTGTCCTTGCTCTGTAAATTGCCGGAATAGAGTCACTCAAAAGGGTGGTAAACTTAAATTTGAGGTGTTTAAGACAAAGGACCGAGGTTGGGGGCTTAGGTCTTGGCATCCAATTCGTGCTGGCACTTTCATTTGTGAATACACAGGTGAAGTCATGGATAAGTTCAGAGTTTATGACTATGGTGAGGAAAATGAGTACATCTTTCAAGCGCTTACGGATGGTAATACACTTAAGTGGAATTATATACCTCAATTGCTTGAAGAGCTCGATGTTTCTCAATCGAGTGAGGCTCCTAAGCCCTTACCTTTTGCTATAAATGCAAAGAATATGGGAAACATAGCACGATTCATGAACCATAGTTGCTCCCCTAATGTCTTCTGGCAGCCTGTTCAGCATGACCATGGTGATGAGGGATACCCACACATCATGTTTTTTGCAATTAAGCACATTCCTCCCATGACGGAGCTCACATATGATTATGGTCTAAGTAAAGGTGACCTTGGCATAGATTATAGCAATGGTGCTGGATCAAGGTGGACCAAGAAATGTTTATGTGGATCATCAAAGTGTAGAGGCTTCTTTGGCTAACCTTTGGCAGGATATACTGGAACTGCACCATCGAAGTACAAGGTTAGGAATCTTTATAATACTTGGTTTCTCTTTTCTGCTGAAACATGCATTCTATTTAACGCTTTAACAATTTTTATGAACTTAACTTTCTCCATGTTAATTATGCATTAAATAGTCTAAATGTGATTCATTTGATATCTTTTGTTATCTTGGTTGTTTTGATACTTAATACTCAGCGTGGTCTTTAGAAATAATTGATTCTGCTTCCCAGAACTGAACATTAAAGTTTTGTTCGGCTGTGGCTAAATCCATTTGTCCTGATAATGTAGTGTCACATCTTTAATTTACAATTTTCCATACACGGGGCTACTGCGAATGTTGTAAATTTCCATATGGGTTGTCTGTAAGTAAACTGCTTATTTGCAAATTTCATTTTGAGTTCTATGTTATGCCTACTATATGAATAAGTTCTTCAACCCTAGGCCCGCTCAAAACCTTAGATGTAATCTACTACCTATATACTTCTATAAGCAATTCAATCACATTTTTTAGTTTGAAATATATGTTAGGTGAACTATAATCACACAAAGGGTTATTCTAACCTAGTTTATATTGGAAAACCATTTTGTCACCTTTGCATAAATTAAGGTAATATTCACTCTCCATGTATATTTGATGTCATGCACTTTGTAGATATAGTAAATTCTACATTCCAAACCAGTTTTTTGATGATTTCATTTTAGATTGCTTTTTTCCTTTTCCTATTTCTTAAATACAATTTTCCCCTTCTCCGGTCTTCTCTCCTCACTCCCACACTAATTGTTCTTCCATAGTCATAATTGAGGCTGTAAAGCTAGATGTATATTTTAATAAGCTAGCATCATTGCATTTCTTTTGAATCTTTTTCTGCTGCACCCTCTTCTCTTATCCTTTCTAGGAACACATTTTTCACACTCCTTTCGAGTTTCTATTATTCTTTTGAGTTATTTTTTTAGCTGTCAGTCCATCTAGATGAATCCATCTATAAGACTAAGCAAAAGAGGAGAGAGAAGAACCCTCTTTGAAGGGGTAAAGTGAGTCTTCTCTAAGCTTTTCAAAACAATAAAATAAAAAGCTAGAAAAAAGACCCTGCCACATCTTTGATACTCCTTGTGCAGTTATACAACATGTCATCTTTCAAGCAAAGATAAACATGATTTTCTCTTTCGAAAATTTAAATAGTTTTTTTTGTTGATACTTGGCATTTAAAACTTTCACGTGAGTGTTACTTAATTACATGCAGTGACGCAATGCATTCAAATGATTTAGTCAGTCAGGAAAAATAAAGTCTTAAGCTTTGTACTAATAGTAGGAAACACATTTAAACTCTTCATCAATCTATGCTTACATACTCTATTGTTTAAATTCGTTACATACCAATTATGTAGTCGGAATAATCTATTTTCTATTTGGTAGGGAATAACAAATTTAGGGTTAGGCCTATTGTATATTGTTAGGTCATTAGAGACTGGCATAGGGATAATCGTAGGTATGTGGTTAAAATAAATCCCACAAGACAACTTTAACAACTAACTGTCAAATTGATGAATTAATACTTTGTAGTAACATTGGTGTTGCATATTAGTTGGAATTGGCATTAAGATTTATGTTTGTAGATTGGAGAAGGAGAGAGTTACCTCTATAAAGATATTATGGCATATTTGACAGCAAGAAATCAGTTTAAGCCTTGTTGTTAAGTGGTGGGGTTGGATTGTGGGAGCTCTGTACTTGCATCTTGGCTGCGAAATTATATTCAAATAAACAATAAGATATTGCCTAAAAAAAAATTAGTTACACCATTTTCCTAGTTTCAAACCCAAGGAGAGTATTCTGTGGGTTAGAGGGTTTTCCCGCACCTAACTTTAGCACGTTAGCTGCATCATTGTTTCTTTTTTGCGGGGTTTATATATATGGGTGAAAAGGTTTCTTTAATTTATTTATTTAAATGGAACCGCTCCTAAGTTAGGTCCTATTTCATGTTTCCATCCTTAATTATTCGAGTTTCAATAAACCACCCCTATATGCCATTGCAGCAACATGTAACCACCTATACTCATTCTTGTATAATTTTCATTAATATTAATGGAAAACCAAATATACCTCTAATGGGACATTTGCAAGGAACAACCCCTAAGTTAAGGCCTATATTTGTGATACCACCCTTAATTACCCAAGTTTTATTAACATCCTTAACCACAATCATCTTCGTTGTCATCATCCTTCTGTAGCATCATTTAAATTACAACCAAGAGGACTGTAATTTAGGATCGTATAGTGAAACTTGGATAATTAAGGATAATTTCGTGAGATAGACTGGAACTTCGAGGTGGTTTCATCAATAAACCCAAACTAAGGGAGTTACCTGTAATCCCATTAGGGATATAATCGATATTTCATTAATATTAACTAAAAAATTGGATGAAAATATGCATAGGTAGTTATATGTTGATAGAATGGCACATCGGGTTGCTCTTTTTAAACTCGGGTTACTTTTTCTAAACCTCGAGTAATTAAGGATGGTAACGTGAAATAGAGCCTTACGGTGGTTCCCAGTAAAAAACCTATTTATATATGATAAACTATGGTTTTGTGGGCACCAAAAAATGTAATTAATGGTATATTTTTTTTGTGAACCCATGCTTTACTGCTGCAAAATAGGTATTAGTATGTTCTAAGTTCTGATCAAATCAAAATAACTAGCTCCAACATTGATTGATCAAAATCAAAGCTTGACCGGAATCCGTTAAATTGAAAATCTGCATTTTCTCAGTAAATGTAGAAAAGAAACAAGAAGCATTAACCAATATCATCATCAATTGAAAGAGGAAGGTTAAGAGAGTAAAGATGAGATGCAACAATAATGCATAACATGTGAAGAGTTTATTCAAAACTATCTAGGATTTATGGCTTAACAACTAGTTTTTGTCATTTTTAGTGATATTTATTTCTTTAGTTTTGGTCAAAATGCTACCTCTTTGCTTGTTTTTGGATAAACACTTTCAAGCGTATATAAAATAGCTATCATCTGCGTATTTTTGGCCAAAAACTATCATAAGAATAGAAGTTTCTCCATCACATAACAAAATGAGAGGATCAATCTTTTATGTACTTTAAATTTAAAAGAAATCCTAGTTATTTTTCGTTCTTCCCAGTAACTGTAAGCATATCTTCCAATTTCTAAGAGAGGAAAATAAGAGATGCATGTCAATTTATAAGAAAACAAAGAAATGAGAGAAGAAGAAAATTGATGTAATACCCCAAGATAGTCCCACATCGAATATTGAGTGAGCAGCATTTGAAGGGTGCAATAGTGAAGTTAAAAGACTCGATAGCACTAGTGCTAGCACCAAGGTTGCATAGGTACGGGTACGGGACACGGCAAATTTGTAAAAAGTAGGGTACGAGGACACAACTATATATATATATTAAATTATATATATATAATATAATATATATAACTATATTATATATAGAGAGAGTATCGAGAGATGAGAGATATAGGCCAAAAAACTTCTAGCCAAGTTTCTCATTGACTTGGTAGTGAGGTGGCCAATCACCCGTACATCATGCTTTGAGAGCAGGGCTCAATCACCATACCCTACCCGATAAAGAGGCGTCATCTTTCGAGGCATGACTTACGAGGTTGAGATTTAGGCCACCTCACTACTCAAGTTCACATTGAAAAATATTCCGCATTACCAAAGCTCTGCCATAGTTCTATCAATATAATATATTATATATATAATATGAGAAAAAATGATATCGCCTTGTACCAAGCCCACCAAAAATTTATGTGCTTTGGTAGATCTGTAGTGACAGTAATCCCCCCCTAATCTCAAATGTGCTATATCCCCGACACTCCGTGCGAACCCGATCGACTTCTCTGTGAAATTGTCGTCCCCACATGAATCTGGGGTGATGACGATGCCTGCCCGATGGGATTGTGTCATCTCACTTACCAACGCCACAAATTCTGTGCTTCTCCGTATGGCAAGCCGATACGCGATTAATCTCTCTTCTCTCTTCCGTCGCTCCTCCTCCGTAGTATACATATTACTATTACCTATCTCCTATAATAGATAGGATATATATTATAGATGTATAAACTGAGATTCAAAATAACCAATATATACTATAGCAATTTTACTATGTTTAATTTCAAATTGAGAAATAAGCTCATTCCTTAAAATTATAAAGTAAACTCTTTGATTTTATATTCCACATAAGCATAAAAAAAAAAGCTATGCGGCCCGCTTAAACGGCCCGCTTAAATGACCCGCCTAACTATTTCAAAAAAAAAAAAAAAATCAAAACGGGTGCTGAAAATAAACAGACCCAAACTCAAACCCAACTTAACTGAAAACCCTAGATCTCATTTCTCTCCTGACGCCGCCACGAGAATATCTCGTTACCGAAACCCTGTTCCTCTTCGAAGCTTCCCCGACCTCGTCAAAGCTTCCCCGACGCTTCCCCGACCTCGTCTTCGATCTCCGAGCTTCCCCGACACGTGGGAAATGAGCTGCTTCCGTGTCCCCTCCGTTTGGGTGCGGAAACGTACCCAAACCGCATCCGACACCGGTACGACGCCAAAATTGCCATGTCGGGGTATCACATGAACACTTTTTGACAGTGGATTGAACCAAATAATGAGTTGCTCTCAATGGGTCCTATGACTTACACTGCGCCACGACTTACGCTGTGCCAATGGGCTCACGGGCTCGGGGCATGACAATTGAAGTATGAACCAACAATACAACATAACTGCCATATGTGATTCTTCAAATATTTAGTCTATGATTGCATAGCCAATTTTCTTTTTGTGACTTCATCATGAAAGTAGCTCTTTTAACTTGTAATGCAAGTGGGATTTTTTTGAGCCAATCAATGCATGACATTTATTTCCACATGCAAAAACTAATAAAGTCTGAAAATTTATGTGTCAAAATGTTCCAAAGAAGTAAATTTGAGTTGTTCGTTAAATATATAGCACACTATTGACTTTCACAAATGTATATCTAATGAATAATGTCATGCATGCATGAGATAGTTTTTATCTTTCTTGTCTACAACAGCAACAACACAACCTTTAACCAAAAATTTGGGGTTTGGCTGTATACATAAATCTACTTTTCCATTCAGTTCTTTTGATGAGTCTCCTCCACTGGGTCAATCATTATCATGTACTTTAACTGCTTCCAACCAAGTTTTCTAGGCTTTATTTCTAGTCCCTCATTGTGCAATGTGCATATAGTTTTTCTTTCTTTTCTCATTTCTTCAAATAAAATCTCTCTTTTCTTGTCTTTCTTGTATGTGTTTTAAGTACAACGGGCATGTATTCAGTACATTCATTACCATGTCATGAACTTTCATATTCCTCTAATTTTCGATTTCCCCCCTTTTGATGAATATATTGTATATGAACACTTTCATATTCGTCTAATTTATGATCTCCCCCTTTTGATGAATAATGTATATGAAAGGCAAGGCATATGGATGGCATTTGGGATCATCAATCTGGGAGCAAATAATCAAAGATCATTTCGTATGGCATTAAAACATGACATCTTCAAGGCTAAAAGCTGGTGTGTTCATTTTGGAGAGTTTGCTGGCTCATGATGGCAACTGATCGAAGTTTCTTTAATTTCTCTCTGATATATGATATGATCATCATGGGTTATTTGTCACCTTGAAAGTCATATGTTTGGATATTATATCCCTGACTGAATAACTTTATGTAAATGAAAATTAAAACAAGGATGCACGCAAGCATTTGTACTTGTATGATGAGATGTAATGCTTGCTAGTCTGCACGCACCATCATACGCTACTCATTTCATTCTCAGTCTTATCCTATGTTGAGCTAAAGGAATCTGCATGTTCTCCTGAAGGAACTTGCTCTTGGTTATTGGTTTCTGTAATCTTTTAACTTCTATTTATTGCATTATAATGGGGGATGATTGATATTGATTCATAACTTCACTAATGATGTTATCTTGGCGCGTCTTCATTATGTAACAATGTTATTCTTATTAATGGACGCGGCCTTGTTAGAATCCTCTCCTTTTCTGATTTGATAACGATTGGACATATTTGGTATTATGTGACATATCTTCATATCTTTTACTTTTTCAGTGAAGATATAGTCTGTTCTTAAAAGGTGAAACCTTTAATTACTCTTTTTACTTTTTTTAAGTGAATGAATGAATGAATGAATTGGGGGGAAAAATACTTTTTAGGGTCTCATTACATGAGTGTTGGATATGCGTATATCATGCGAAAATCGTGTTCGCAAGATACATGACTGGGGAGTTTTTTTTTTTTTTTTTGCTATATATTAGCAATAAATTAGAACTTAAGTACTACTAGAAGTTTTGGTATAATGGATTGGAAATAATAAAATTTTAAAATAGAGGGTTAATTCAATATTCAAATCACCTATATAAGTACATATCAGTTTCATTCTACAGGTTATCTCTATACCATCTCAACCTAGATATATAATCAGAGACGGTACGTAAAGAACATTGACATTGCCGGTTTTGTATTGGAGTAAACTTTGAACACTAATTTATTACAAACTTATTATGTCATTGATACTTATGGATGGAGTTATTTTTTTTATCATGAGAGTTGGATCAATTGTTAATCTGAAGAGAAACTGACGTTAGTAATTTAAGATTAGCGTCGCATTCAAATCACCCTCTTAGCTTGCTAGAGAGTTAAAGTTGGATGCAACGTCGCACGTAACACTTGTTGCTGTAAATTAATATTGAATCTGTTGTTTGGATATCTGTCTTTTTATTATACTACATTTTCTGATATGTTTTAACTAACTGATGAGCGACATCAAATTTTTAATTGATGAAAGGGCTTGCAAAATTAGGTTTTTTTTTTTTTAAATGCAGCTCAAATCACTTTTCTCTACTATTTTACAAAATGCAACTCAAATCACTTTTCTCAACTAAAGTGAAAAAAAAATCTGCTTAGAACATCAAAGTCATCAATTAAAGTCAATAAAGATGAGCTATGCTAGGTAACTGGTGAGCACTGAGACTGGTCTCTTCCACAACTTTGATCTTCATTAGGAGCTTATTAGCACGAACAGTGGGACCCACTTTAGTATTACGGCGTGGCTTTCACTAACAGGACAGATCTACTGTATGCTGTTATGTGGCGAGGAGGCGCATGCTCTCGGAGCATGTTACTCTCGTGGGGGCCGCAGGACTAATTTACCCCCTTTTTTTCCCCCTAAAAAATAATAATAAAACAGCCAGCAGTGTTTTTGGCGCACATTCATCTGAGAAAGTCGAGAGAGAAGAAACAGCAGGAAAACAAAGAGACGGACTAAGAGAGAGAGGGAGAGAGAGTTAATTAATTAATTAAGTAATTTAGTTAATTAATTAATTTAATTAATGAAATAAAAAGCCTCTCTCTCTCTCTCTCTCTCTCCCCCCTCCTCTCTCTCTCTAGATTTGAAATGAGATCTTTATAGTGCTGTTTCTTTTCTTTTTTTTTGCTCTCTTTGAGTTTTTGCCGGCAGATTCCTGAAGCCCTTGATCTCTAGATCTCTGGTGAGTTCCTTCTTGTTTCTGAAATTTTTTTCGTGATGAATATAAATTGTATTAAATTGGTGACAAATTTACTTTGTTATTGTTGTGATAGACTACTAATTGCGTAATTTTCAAGATTAGAATCGGTAGAGAGGATCTAAATTTTCAATTAGTGCTTCAGTTGTTCTACTCTTCAAATTTGGGAACGACCCAATTGCTGTATCAGGCTAGAACCAGTCGTGGTCTATGTTTATAGTGACCCAATTTGTTTGCAGTTGTTAAATTTGCTCATGTCATATTAATATGTCGATTTTGTTACTCCAAATGATAAAAAGAGTGATCTTTTGCCTAATTGGTTGCTGATACATAATGGTGGATAAGGAGTTAGAAGAGAATTATGAGGTGGAATTGTTATTTCCAGTCGCATCATTATGCATGTGTAGGATGCATATGATTGTGTTGGTTTCGTGATGCTTCGTGATTTAATGTCATTGATCTTTATCAAAATTAAAACTTCTGTTTTGATTATCTATGCTCTACAGTTTGCTATGTTCTAGGTTACAGTTGTAATATCATCTACAGGCTTTCTTTTTTGGTTAAGGTAGACACTGAAAATTATATTGTGTCTTCCCATGATATTATCTTCGGTCTATCAGAAGCGATGTCCTTGTAACTGAATTACTAATTTTCCTTTGGGCAAACAGCAAAATTTATATAGCCCAATATGGATAGTGTTTCTTAGGTCAGTTGAATCCTGTATAGCGTGCTGAAGTGGTTTACTTTTATCAGAAGATGTAGGAAGAGTTAGATTTGTGATCTAGATTAACTTATAAACCCTGTCATCGGTTTCAGGATCTGGTGGAATTATTATAGAGGGAATAGCTAGTTTTGTAAGTTAAATTGTGAATGGTGAGAGAGATGGAAGAGTTTGGATCTGTGAATTTAGATGGAAATTCCGTATTCTGATTTCAGGAATATGTTAAAACATCACATAGGCCAAATCAGATGCGTTCTTGTATTAAATGTGATGATTTTGTAGTCTTCTTTACTTCCCAACATTTTATCTGAGCATAATCTGACTTTCTTATCTAAAATAACAACCATTCACTTCATGAATCATTCGTACATTCTTTGATTTCTCATGATTTTCTTATGCACCTAACTTGTTATCTTCTAAATCCCTCCGTTTTTATCAGGTAAACAATTATTGTTGTTGCTATGGGAGCTAATTTGTGGTGATTTCAGCAAGTTAAGAGGGTAATATATATTTGCGATATGGCACCAGCAAGTAAGGCAGATAAAAAGGCGGCACTTGATGTTGCGGCGTGGTCGTTCAATATTGTAACTTCTGTTGGGATCATCATGGTTAATAAAGCACTAATGGCTACTCATGGCTTCAGTTTTGGTAAACTTATCAGACTTTCATTTGCATTATTTAGTTTATTCTGTCCTTTCATTTGCTACTAAACAACTAGTATAGTCTTGTATATTCAAATTCTTCAAACACTAGAGATCCTCGAATTCTTAATTTTCAATTTCTGACGAAACAGAGTATAACAACGTTTGGGATCTTTTAAAGCATGATCCCCACTGAGTAGAAACATTTCACTATAGATGCACCTATGCTTGAAATGCACTATTTAATAGTTCTGACATTTTACTGTTAGAGTTAAGACACTGGTATATTCTTTGGTTACATATTATCATTATGCATCATATTATGCTTGATTTTGATGTTTATTTAGAGTAGGTATTTTGACAAATGTTTTGTTCCACATTCTTATTTCATACTGGTATATCTGTCACTCTTGAATGTTAAGAAAGGTACATATGGAATTGTTTGGCAGGACCTTATCTGAGAGTTGATTAGTTTACGCATTTCTTGTCGTTTTGACATTTAAATTAAGGGGCTCCCTTTCTCTTTTCACCATACTGGATTTTTTGTGAAAAAAGGTAGACCCACTTATTGTAGTTTTTATAGAGATGGCTTTATTGGGCTGGGGCACAGATTATATGTGTCTTCCCATTATCTCACAACAGGAGGGGCTGGTTTCTTTTTTCCAACTATTCCTACAACTTAAGAAACCCGCAAACAATTTTTTATCTTTAGCATCTGCAAAATGCTGAGAGAATGGAGATCCCTCCATAATGGAGGATGAGTAAGTTTAAGTGTGGTTTCCAAGTAGACATCAATATATATCATCACATGTGGAGGAATTAATCATTATTCTCTTCATGTGACCTGTGCGGCTGTGCTATGACAAACACCTGAGTCAGAATTGTCAACCTCAACAGCCTCCGGCCATGCCATGACAAACACCTGAGTCAGAACTATCAACCTCAACAGCCTCCGCTTGATGGATATGCTTCCTATGGTCCAGAGTGATTTAAAAGTTGATCTCTAAATGAATAAGAAACTACCTGATGGCAAAATTAGTAGTGGGTACTCATGTTCTATTCTTAAAGCAGCTAGAATCTTGTCTTCACTTGAGTTTCCTTGAGTCTCTTGGAGATAAATTGCAGAAAATACCCTAATATCTCAATATGAAATGTTATTTCTTTGATGTATACTTTATGGTGGAAAACATTCGATCTGAAAGTGTAAGTGTCGATTTGTCCTGATCAAAATAATGTTCGCCAATTCGGGTGCTCCCTCATATCTATAAATCTATTTATATGAACGATCATTTGGGCCAATATATAATAACCCATACTATCTCCTCCCTAACTAGGTCTAGCAAGCCTTAATTAGTTTTTTTTTCCTTTTTAGTGAAAGGGGGCAATATGCATATTTGGAATGTCTAAGGAGTCTTAAACATTTTACATACCACAATGACATGCACTGGTTAAATTTTTTTTAATTTTATTTTGGTATGAGAAATGCTCAGTTTTCATTGGGGACATATAGAGACAAGTGTTCTCTTGACTGCCGCATGTGAAATTAAATAAGAACCCTCAACATTTCAATTCTCTTCTGGTCTGCAAGTGAAAAAGAAAGAGAGTGAGATATAGAGAGGAGAGATAGGAGAAGCAGAGGAAGAAAGGCTAGGGATCTTCAACCTTGAGGACCTCGTTCAAATGAAGGGAATGACAAGAGACGAGTGTTCTCTTGACTCCCCCATGTGAAATTAAATAAAAACGCTCAACATTTCAATTCTCTTCTGGTCTGAAAACAAAAAGAAAGAGAGTGAGATATAGAGAGGAGAGATAGAAGAAGCAGAGGAAGAAAAGCTAGGGATCTTCAACCTTGAGGACCTTGTTCAAATGAAGGGAATCATAATTGAACACTCATATCAGTAGAGAGGTGAGTAGATTACTCACCAGTTAATTTTGAAGTCAATAAATAGCCTATATATATATATTGGGTTGACAATTTATTTGTGTGGTGAAAAATGGTTATATATGTGCTCCTAATTATATATTAATGAGGATTGGGGTTGAATATGCTTTATTGTGAAATATGATGATTATTAAAACAACATGATATGCAACCCAGGCGAATCGTAATAAATCAATGTTGTTCATATATCATTAAGATAAATATGAATCTCTTTTTATTTTAATGGAAATTGAGAAATAGGTGTTTGACACAGGTTACAGAATAATTTATGAATTTTATGCATTTGTTTGTGTCCTGATCTTGTGATTTTGAAAAAAGTGAATTTGATCATGATTCTCAGTATAAAAATCCCAGAAGTCCATTACGAAGTGTAGTGATCGAGTCAGCCATAAGGTATTGGATGCACATATAAGTGAAGTTGTCAGTTCAACAGAAGAGAAATAGCCTTTTTGGGCATGAGTGATGGGGCTGACAGGTAACCTATTGTAAGGGTAAGTGTATCTTACTCCGGGTAAGGCTACAACCTATGGTAAGGGCAAGTGTATATTGCTCCTGGGAGGAAATTGTTAGGTGATGCGTACTTGCATCCCATGCTACTGGGAGACAATTCATAGCTTTAGCTTGCCAAGTGAGGGGATTATTGCCAAATGCATGAATGTGATTATTGAGATTATAGTTCAAGTGATCTGTTGGTAAATTGAGTAAAATGACAATCATTTTTGTTTCTCTCAAACATTCTACTTCAGTTTTCTTGCGTTTATCATGATTTTAAGTTTTATACCAATTGTTCACGACATTGATTTATAACCATATTGTAGTTAAGAAAGAACTAGAACTAGAACTATTGTCTTAGTTTCTTATGATAACATGTATCATTTATTATCTTACAAACTTTTATGTTTCAAAAGCTGCAAATGAAGAAGTTGAGTCACATTGTTGTTGAGATAATAGTTACCTCTGTTAAAAGCACCAGTGTGGAATATACTCATTGAGCTTTGGCTCACCCTATGGCTTTTTCAACCCTTTTAATATCCATCTAAGTGCAGGTTGAAGTAAAGATTTGCCAACAAGATACTGGAAAGTGATTTCGCACAGAAGCCATACTTTTATAGTTCGAGCAGTCTTATCAAATATGCTGCATGTACAATATCTTATTTTCTATAGGTTTGGAGTTGAGACTTGAGAGAACTTGTATTTGTAGCTTTGCGCTGAATCTCCACAAGCAGCAAGTGCTATACATTTGTTGCTGCAAAATGCTATGTTATTGAAGTGCTCAGGCTTAACACGTGGACGAAACTTGTTTCATACGCATGTCATTGCCATCATGTGACCTGAGTTATCCATCCACCGCGGTTTTCAGGCATGACAGTGAACATGTTCAATTTTAGCATAGTATACTTAGATTAGATAGGTGTCACCATATATAGTTTTTTTTTCTTGGTTTCGGCTCAAAGACTGTCACTCATCGCCATGGCCGGGGGTGAGTAGCAGGAGGCGGTGCTTGCTGGTGGCCTTCGGTAAGGCCCTCAGCGGATTTTATTAACTTTATTTTCATGAATCCAACATCAATTTATAACTTGATTCTCATCTAACAATCAAACTAGTTTTCCTCCCACATTTATATTGCTATAAATTACTAGAATTTACTTTGTTAAGTTTAGAGTGTATCATACCTCAAGGTTGAAGATCCCTGGCTTTTCTTTCTCTTCTTCGACTATCTCTCCTTCTCTTTTTGTTTTCACCCCAGCTGGGAATTGAATTGGTGAGGAATTATTGTTTAATTTTCACATGGGGGAGGCAACACCATTTGTCTCTTGGCACCATTACCCCCAAGGAAAGTTGAGCACTTCTCATATCAAAATAAAATAAATAGAATCACCCAATGCATGTGATTTTTGTTGAGTAAAATGCTTAAGACTCGTCAGTCATTCTAAATTTGCATATTACCTCCTTCTCACTAAGAGTAAAAAAAGCTAATTAAGCCATGCTAAACCTAGATAGGGAGGGGATAATATGGGTTATTATAAAATGAATTATAATCCTAAATTGAGCATCTATACATTTTAATTTTATGGTGTTGTCAATAATAAACGTATTCTTACTATCAGTGATATTTATATGTACTTCAAATATATTTGAAATGTTTGGGGTTAATGACTTACAACTGAAAAGAGGAAAGAAAATCTACGTACATGATTGACAAAAAAGTATTGCAATTCATGAGCAAAGTTTCTTGTTCAGCATTGACATTGCGATCAATATAATGTTGGGTTATGTCAGGTCAGACCTGACATGTTGACCAAACATTTGAATCCAGTACATGGACCTAATTACTGTGACATAAAATATGCTATAATTCCATGATTATTTCTTCTAAGGTTGTTGCATGGTTATTTCTTCTAAGGTTGTTGCATGATTATTTGAATCCAGTACATGGAAAGAAAATCTACGTACATGTTAGAAATGTGGCATAAAGAACATATGATATGCTATAATTCCATGATTATTTCTTCTAAGGTTGTTGCATAAATAAATTTTTTTGTTAAGACTTCTAATTCATTTTCTATGCATGTGAATTGGCGTCTTCAGGAAAGGGAAACATCTTCTCCTTTCATCTACTGAACCAATTACTGGGAAACGAGATCTTCACTTATTTGTGTTGCCATTATGCTCTTCTTTTAGCTCTTCTAATGATGGACATAATGTCTTATTCCATTATGTCATTCATGTCAACTGCGAGTCTACCACTCTCTTTGTTCTACCATGCAACTATCGGCTGCCTTCATTAGTGGTTGCCTGATGGTTTTATCACTCGTCTTCCACACCTGAGAGAATGTTCTCGAATATTGAACTTGTAGTTTTTGGGTCTATCATTAGGTTTTGTGAAAGCTTCATTGGCATTTAATTTATCTGTTCTTGTGCTTAGGTGGCAGATGATTCATCCCAGAAAAGAATGGAAAAGTGAAAATATCTATTTCTCTTATTGTACTTTCTCATAATCTTATTAATAGCAGGTCATGTAGCTTTCTAGTGCAAGCTACAAGTTACAAATGTTTAAGCATTGCTGCTACGCTTTTGTACTTGACGTGTCAACTTGATCATTCTTTCAGTGTACAGTTATCGAGGCTAATAATTGTGTCTTGCCACATTTGCTCAATTCTGTATGGTATTGCTATACGAAATATAGGCAATTATTGCAATTATTAACTTAAAGAACTTATGGCTGTATAATCTTCTGCTAGAAGAGTTTTTGTACCTTGTTCAAAGCTAACTCAAAATTTTCTAGATAGTTGGTCCAGTATTTTATTTTACGCTGGGGTATCCTATATATTGTTACTAGTATAAAGTAGTGTATCACGGGCAAGGGCGGAGCCACATGTAGCTCAGGTTGGGCAAGTGCCCAACCTGAATTTGAGCACACTTCTATGCATATTAGGCTTAGGTACATATGCATCGAGCTATATTTACACATTAGCCACTACACACTTTCATTTTATTGTGTGCTGCACCAAAAGTTTCATCTTTAAATTTTTTAAAGCTAAAGTCATGTGTGAACATCAATTAAATCACCCATTCAATTATAATACACCTAAAATGATAATACTCACTCCATTTTAATAAAAAGTCTTCTTTACAAGTATTTTCTCTTATAATATAAATAATAATATATTTTTCATATGGAACTAAATATATCAATTAAAAAAAATATGCTTGACTGTTTAGTGCTCGACCTGGATAGATATCCTGGCTTCGCCCCTGATCATAGGTATTTCCATATGTGAATTGCATGTAATCCATCAAATGTAAGTTATGGCCCTGGTCTCAGGATATTGCAGATGAAAAAATCATTAGACAAATATTTTAACTGAATTTGCAATTTTGCTTTCAACTTTCCATCTTACTACTGATTTCATTGATCTTGGTGTGTACTCTGACGGGAATAGATCGAATAAACTTTACTTTTAGATAATCTGCGTATGGTCATTCTTTAAATTTCATCACTGATTAGCTATTCCACATGTGAAATACTTTGTTATTAACAGTTATCTCATACGTCTCTGACTTTGCCAGTTCTGATATCATGTTCTCTGATTGTTTGCTGCAGCTACAACACTCACTGGACTGCATTTTGCCACCACTACTCTTATGGCTTTGGTACTTCGCTGGTTGGGATACATTCAGGCCTCCCATTTACCATTGCCAGATCTGATTAAGTTTGTCTTTTTTGCAAATCTATCAATAGTAGGGATGAATGTTAGTCTAATGTGGAACTCAGTTGGATTCTATCAGGTTGGTTTCTATTAAACATATATGAAATATTTCTATAGAGTAAAACTGACATAAAGATCATTTCAGATTGCAAAGTTGTGTATGATCCCAGTATCATGTCTTCTAGAAGTTCTGTTTGACAAGATACATTACTCCCGAGACACAAAGCTCAGCATAATGGTGGTTCTTGCAGGCGTTGCAGTCTGTACTGTTAATGATGTGAGTGTAAACACTAAAGGTTTGATAGCAGCTGTTATAGCGGTCTGGAGCACTGCATTACAACAATATGTAAGTTATATGAACTCCATGTGTGCGTGCGTGACCTCTATAAATGTCTGAAATGTTGGAATTTGACGTTTTCACTGAAATCTAAAATTTTCTTTTGGGTTTATCGCGGATAGACCCCCTGTACTATCGCCCAATGGTGTATAGACCTCATGTAGTTCTATTATTTGTGTGGATGGACCACCTGTACTACTGCTCAAGTGCTTTAAGAATAAAAAATTCACTCCAGGGGTTTGTCACCAATAGAATTACAGGGGATCTATCCACAATTGGGCTATAGCTGCAGTTAACCCTAAAAATTTTATGCATCTATTTTACCTTCGTAAATTGACTATGTTCTCATTAGTGGCATCTATGTTTAATCCATTCGTTAGAACATTTTCTCCTGTCCTTTGTTGAATGTTTTACTTCAGTACTGGTCCAAGGTGACTAGTGACTACTGACTACTGGTGTACAACAGTAGCTAGTCTTTTTGAGATGAGTTATTATAGCATACAAAATGAATCGTAAAAGTTTTTATGTAACCAATCTCAAATGTTCAGTTCAAAATCTTAGTTGATGTTTCTTAATAGAAGCAGAATCCAAGTGAGTATGCAGAAATCTTAGTTGATGTTTCATAACAGAAGATTGATGTGCTATGGGTACATGCACATATTTTACATATGTAATTTGTTTGTTGGGTGGTAGTACAATTTATTGAGAACTACAAACCATATTTATTTTTGTATTTAGTCTTCTTAATTGCTATTTAGTTTTCTTAGTATCTTGAATTTTGATTATGTGAATTATCCCATTTCTTTGAACCCATAAACTTACCGTACCGTTGAATCTTCTCCTGTAGTATGTTCACTTTCTTCAGAGGAAGTACTCGCTCGGATCTTTTAACCTCCTTGGTCATACTGCTCCAGTACAGGCTGCATCACTGCTAATACTAGGGCCTTTCATCGACTTTTGGTTGACAAGCAAAAGAATAGATGCATTTGAGTATAATCTAAATGCGGTGGTGAGTTTGGATAATACCTTTCAACTTTGATTTCACATTTTATGAGTTACTCTTTGACTGCACTTTTTACACACGAAGGCATGCCCTCACTCATACATGCACGCATGCAAAAATTTCAGGTGCCCTGTACACACACATACAAATATTGGATTAATAATAGATCTTCATTTAATGTGGCTATTTGTTGTACTCTATATATGCAGCCGGCCCCAAAAATTTGTGATGGACTTGTTGCTGCATTTTATCAGAAAGATTATTAGCTATGACACATGATTTTTTCCTTATGGGCCCACTAATATCTAGTGTCCACCCTCAAATAAACAATCTGCATGATTCATCGCCTATAGCTATAAGGGGATGAAAATTCGTGAGTTGGACAAAGAACTATTCAAGGGTGTATTTTCAGGGTGAAAACTCGTGAAATTTACCCTTGTTTTAATTTCTGGGTCCTTTCCACGTAATACCTACTTACTTCAAAAAATTTATCTGTCTCGGTATCATTTTAACACCTTCAGTGCTTGGTAATTAGTATTCTTTTGCCCATATTTTGTCACTTAGTCTTGTGTCTTAACGATTTGTGCTGTTATTCCTGCAGTACTTCCTCATCATGTCATGCACCATTGCGGTAGGAACCAATCTCAGTCAATTCATTTGCATCGGGAGATTCACAGCAGTATCTTTTCAAGTTATCGGTCACATGAAGACTATTCTCGTGCTAATTTTAGGATTCTTTTTATTTGGAAAAGAGGGTTTAAATCTTCATGTAGTTCTTGGCATGATTTTAGCAGTAATAGGAATGATATGGTATGGAAATGCAACATCAAAGCCTGGAGGCAAAGAACGTCGAAGTTATTCCACAATCAATGAGAAGTCTCAGAAGTTAGAGTCCAGCGAGCTTGATAGCAAGGTCTAGATTAAAAGGGTTTTCATTTTCATTTTCTTTTCATATTTCATATTATCCCCACGGAATTCAGACAGATCTTTTTTTTTTTATATAGTTCCCTTTGTAGTATTATGTTTTTACTTTAAATTTTTTTTGGGAGTTTCTTCATTTGGAGGTGAAATTTGCCTCAACACAGATACCCTTCATTTCTGTAATATTGATGGGAAATTATTTCCTCCATTTAATCCCAATTTTACGAAGAAGTTACAGATATTCTTGAAAAGTGCCCATACTGTGTTATTTGTTTTCATGCAAAACTCCATTTTGTTAAAATTATTGGTCATTTTGTTTTCTGTACTCCTGATAATTCGAGGAAAAGTAAATTAGTCTTTCTGTTTTCATTCTTCCTCTTTTGGATAAATTGAGGTGTTCAACACTAAATTTTATTTCATCTAAGCTCAATCTAGTAGGAAGCTTGCTTCGATATACTTTCATTTTGGGAGGAAGATAAATAACAAATACACTAATAATATGAAAAGGTGCAATAAAGTTTATTGATTCTGAAAATAACAATGTTTTAAATATCGGCCGATAAACCGATATTATCGGCGATTTATTGGTTTTGGGGGTTTTCCACTATGATAAGCTTAATTCTAAATCAGTTATCGTTTTTGGATGTTTATCGCTGATAATGCGGCGATGAAGTGAGTTATCGGCTTGTCGGCCCAAAAACCGGAATTACCGGATTTTGGTTTGACTTTTGATTTCGGGTAACAGGCACATGTTCAATGCACTTTAATCCCGACCCGGTCCTAGTTTCTACCATTGGCTAGTAATTCTAAACATAATTATTTACATTTTGGTATGTATATATTTCAAAAAGTATGGTTAGATTACATATTAGAATATTATATTATGTATATCACCATCCGGTAATGTCATTCCGATAAATATTACTCATCCCCGAGATATCCTCAATATATATTATCCGATATAAATTTTGACCGTTCGATAAATCCTCGATAACCGATATTTAAAACCTTGGGAAATAGTCATTAATATATAATTGAATAGCCCCAGAAAGCTATTCCCTTCTCTAGAATTCATCAATCTTACTACCCACAACAGAAATAAGCGTGGAATAGAACACAGGCTTGTCTGCACAAATTTGAGCTCTTCTTTTTTTTTGCTAAGAGTTCTTCTTAGAGCCTCCACCCTCAAAAAATAGCGTTAATTGGGGAAAAACCCGATTTTTGCGGATAGACCCCCTTAGTAAATTTTCTTTCAACTCTTGAAGGGCTTATATATGTCGAGAAACAGTTTTCTCTCTCCCTCGTGGTCAAAGAATTTAAAAAAAAGAATCACTAAGGGTGTATTTGCAAACTTAGTAAGTTCAAAGCATTCATACTTGAAGAGTAACTGTTGTTGTACTTGTAATTGGAGGGAATCCGATTTCCTTGGGAGTTCGCCGAGAAAAAAAAAATGGAGCTCCTCTGTTTTTCTTCTGATTCTCTTCGACTACTGGATCCAAACTCCCTTAACTCCTGCAAATCCCTCTCCTCCCTAAAGCAAACACATGCCGTCCTCCTCAAATCCCCAGAGCCCAAACCCCTCATCCCTAATCTCATCGCCGCCTACGGAAGATTCGGCGATCTGGGCTCAGCCATTTCGGCCTTCGGTCACTACCCAGATGACCCAAATGCGTTCCTATTCAATTCCTTAATCCAGTCCCACAACCTCAACTCCCTCTTCCTCACCTCAATCCACCTCTACATCAAAATGCTCGGCAGCAACATCCAACCCAATCAGTACACTTTCCCCCTCCTCTTCAAGGCTTGTTCCCTTTCATCCGAGCTATCGGGTGGGGCCCAGATACATGGGCAGGTGGTGAAGCTAGGATATGTGAGGAACCCATTCGTGGCGGTGGCGGTGATGGACATGTACATGAAGAGCGGGCAGAGTTTTGATGCAGAGAAGGTGTTTGATGGAATGGGGGAGAAAGATGGGGTGGCTTGGAATGCGATGGTGACGGGGTTGGTGCAGAGTGGGAGGGCGGAGGAGGCGCTGGAGGTGTTTGAGAGGATGAGGAGGGAGGGAGTGGGTGTTGGGTGCGTCGCTGTTGCATCAGTTGTGGCTGCGTGCTCGCAGTTGCGGGTCCTACACCAGGGTATGAGATTTGGATGTTTCTGTTGATGTTTATATGGGTTATTTACACTTTAATACCCAAAAGTTGTTTCACCCTTTTTTAACTTCGATATTGTGAAATTTTATTTTGAAGTCAATTTTGTTCAGGTATATCATCAACATAGAGAAGTGATCGAGAAAAAAAATTCTTATGAAATTTTAGTTTTTTTAGTTTGGGCAAAGTGAGAGACAAAGTTAGAGGTTTGGGGTATTAAATTGTCAAATTAATGGCGATTTAAAAACTTGGGGGACCAAAATGTACAAACAGAAACTTATGTATCAAAGTTAAAAAAAGATGAAACTTGGGGGCATTAAGTGCAAATAACCCTATTTATATCGATGGTCCTGGTTCACATGTACTTGGAATGATAACATGTAGGTCCGCCATGCAGTGGTAAAAATAGAATAGGGTTCAAATCTCATTGTTGCAAGTATACTCAGAATGAAGAGTGTTGCGGCAACATTTTGAGAATTTTGTGTGAAACATTTCCACCTCAACCTTTAGGTTGTATAATAAAATGATTTTGATTGATTCTGTATTTGAATCAGATCAAAAAGTAGTTAAGAAGTATTAATACTTTTATAATGACATGAAGATGTTGGAGACAAATTGATTCAAGCACATAGATTGTCATTCCAGTTGCATGTATTTGGGACAAAATGTAGTCGAAAATGCAATGCATTTCCGACTACAAGAAATCAGACGCACGCACTAAACTGCTCTAATGAGAAGACAGGTTGTTTAGTAGTTCATTAGAATTCTTAGGAGCCAGAACTTTGGAGTTTAGTGGACATTTATGGTTTAGGTTTTTGTCTATTTATTTATTGAAATAAGAATGTTTGTATCACGTTGATGATCCTAGTTCTTATTCCATGTCAAAGTCTATAGAGTGAGAAATGATATATTTCAGGGTTCATTGTAGATACAGCCCCATAATAGAACTCTATAAGCACAGACATTCACTTAGCCTCATATATATGGCTATGTCGAGATGTAACATTGGAATCATGAGACCGTAAACTACTTGTCTCATTTTTCCTTAAAATAATAATAATAAATTGCCTTCTAATTCGAGGGGGAAAATCATGTTGTATAAAGTTTGGGTTGGGGGAGGGTTGGGTTTATTGGTGCTAACAAAGTAGTTTACGAGGTATAAGAGGTTATATTCAATAGTATGACAGGGGTGTAACTGCAGTTAACCCTATGTCTTATCTAGTTATATATTGAAACAAGTAGGCCTTTTGAAGATCTTGAGACCTTTCTTCATAAATTGAAAGGAGTGTCTTGTTCTTTTGCTTCCTGAATTCGGCAGTGCATCAACAACGTATTTATTCAATAATGGAAGTAGACTGTTGAAAAATAATAGGAAAGTCCAATTAAAAAGGAGAAATTTTACTTAATATAACAAAATAATGCTCCAGCCCCTTATACCTCATTTCAATAAAAGGCTAAGAAGAAAATAAAATAAAGGATAAAATTTTTACTATGATCCTGGAATGTTGTTTCCAGCGACCATGCTACAAAAGCAACAACTGTATCAAAGTGACCTTTCTTCTTTTGCAACCTGCACCTTCTCCTAAAGGTCCACGGATATCATATTGCACAAGTAGTTATATTATAAATCTATCGTCTGTTGAATATTTACGGATTCAACCATTGGCAATGCCTTCATGTGAATTCCTTGATCACTATAATTCTAAACTGGTTGGTTTCAAAATCCAGAACCATTAATACTAAAGTAATATGTTTTAAATGTGAAGCACGTGTATGTTCATGTTGTGGTGACTATTTGTTCCTACCTTTTACTTTACATATCAGTATGCCAATCTGTGAATAATTTTAATTGTTACTATAGTCCACATCTTGACAGCAGTGGCGTAGCTAGGATTATTTTTTGCCCTGGGCGAAAAATAAAGGTGGTCTACGAGTATGTCGTGAGGGAGAGGAGGGAGGCGTGGGAGAGGGAGGAGGGCTGGGGATTGTTGAGATGGAGGTCCTGGAAGAGGAGGGAGAGGAGGTTGGATCTGCGGGAGAGGGAGGTGAAGTGGCGGGAGAGGAGGGGAAGCAAGGGGAGGAGGGAGAGATCATGGGAGAGGCGGAGTTTCTTGCCCTGGACAGCTGCCCAGGGCAAGCAAGCTCTGGCTACGCCACTGCTTGACAGTTCATAATATGTTGCTTCAATCAATATTTTCAACTACTTCACCGTCTCTTTCATTTTAACCAGGCAAGTGGATCCACGCTTTTGTGGTAAGAAGTGGCTTTTCAGCCGATACTGTCATTTCCACAGCACTCCTTGATATGTACGCAAATTGTGGTGACTTGGGCTTGGCTAATCAAATCTTTGGAGAAATGCATACCAAAGATTTGATTGCCTGGAATTGTTTGGTATCCTGCTATGCTCAATATGGATCAGTAGAGAATGCCTTCAAACTTTTTATTGACATGCAGAACTCTAAACTAAAGCCTAATGGATCAAGCTTATCTGGTATTCTTCCAGCTGTGGCACGTTTTGGCTCGTTACATCACACTAAATCTTGCCATTGCTTCATTCTTCGAAATGGTTTAGAATCTGATGAGTTTGTGATCACAGCTTTAATGGATACTTATGCCAAATCCGGAGATTTAAGCACTGCACATAATTTATTTGATGGCATGCCAAAGAAAAGTGTGGTTGCTTGGAGTGCAATAATTTCGGGATACGGCACTCATGGATGTTGTAATGAGGCCTTATCTTTGTTTGACAAGATGCTAGAAACTAATATCAAACCGAATCATGTAACATACGTTGGACTATTATCAGCTTGTGTTCATTCAGGATTTGTAGACAAAGGCAGGGAGTATTTCAAAAGAATGATTTATGAGCATGGAATTACTCCTCAAGCTCAACATTTTACTTGCATGGTAGATTTATTGAGTAGAGCAGGGCTTTTCGATGAGGCCATGGATCTTATCAATGTAATGCCAATTGAACCACCTGCAGAAATCTGGGGAGCTCTATTGGGTGGTTGTAAAATTCATCAGAATGTGGAATTAGGTAAATACGCTGCTGATAGGCTCTTTGAGCTCAATCCTTCTGATCCCGGGTTTTATGTACTTTTATCAAATATCTATGCAACTGCTGGAATGTGGTCAAAAGTAAGAGAAATTGTTGGAGCTCAATTGAGCTGGGAAGCAACATATTTTACTTTGTTTCAGGGGATACCAGTCACCCAAATTCTTGTGAGATATATCACAAAATTGAAGAATTGCTGGATGATATTGGGAAACTTGGTTATGTGCCTCAGATTAAGGCTGTTTTGCAAAATGTTGAAGAAGATATGAAGGAAAATGCTTTGAAGGGTCACAGCGAGAAGTTAGCTATGGCTTATGGCCTTTTGAGAACTAAACCTGGCATGCCGATTAGAATCATGAAAAACCTTCGGTCTTGTGAAGACTGTCATGCTTTTATGAAATATGTGTCCAAGATAACATTGAGGGAGATAGTAGTAAGGGATACAGTAAGGTTTCACCATATCAAGGATGGAACTTGTAGGTGTGGAGACTACTGGTGACCAGGTACTATTTGTGTTGTAAAGAACTCATTGTGACAAGGAATCAAGTATGGATATATTCAAACTTTTAATAGTTAGAAAACATCCAACTATATGTATTTTTGTAGATATTTTTGTAGACCCGTAACTTAAAAGAAAATGTTATCAGAACTCTATAACACGATAGGAAGCTCAATCTAGTTGCGTGTGGCATATGCCTGAAGCATTCAGTGTGATGCTGTACAATAAATTTGTACATAGGAATTATACCTTATTTGGCTGAACAAATGATAGTTTATAAACATGTACAATAGCATAATAATTCAAGGATACGCATTTATCCTTGAATAATAGTGATCACAGCATTCATCACTATAAAAAAAATAATCGCAAGTAGAAGACAAAGCACACTATGAACAGCATCTTGAACAAAAATGACTGGTAAATTGATCAAGAAACACCATTATGTAACAAGTGTTGGCTCTTTGAAGATTAAATCTCGAATTTCGTGTTTTTGTTCTTACTTCAATGGGTTGTATATTGATTTCCAACACAATTTACGTTACTTTCCTTACAGTTACATGTTAAATTGACCTTCAAACTTTCTATTCCTCAGAATTTTTAAACCCTGGTCAACAGACACATGAAACAAACCCCTGGCCCTCAAACGCTCTTCTGATATTACACCTTCTACTGCTAGAACTTTAAGCGTATACTTCACATCTTTTCTATCCATACCTAATAGTTTCAGAGAATCACTTATGCAAGGAAAAAATGCTTCAGGCCTCGGACAAAAAGGCTTAAATACAAGAAAAAGCGCTTTCACATCCATTATAAACTGATAAGCTCCATGTTGGGAGAACTTCACATTGCTCAAAAGGATGCTGCTGAAGATGAAATGGTCAAGCCCTTCTGCGACGTTTCTCCATATCTCTACAAAGTCCTTGGAATTTAAACTTAACCTTAGGACTTGGAATCGGTGTCTTAACATATCAAGTGCTTCAATAAAACTAGGAGATACGTTCATATTTTCATCTTCAAGTATTTGATCATCGAATTCAGTTTGTTCTCTTTCCCACTGTTCAATATCATGAATGTAATATGAAGATAAAGCATCAAATTGTAGCAGAAGAGCAGACACAATCTCTACTAGGCAATCTGTTTCTAATTTAACCAGAAATGAAATCTCATCATTGAAAAACAAGTTATCAGGATCTTTGTCATTAACAGCCATCTCCAAGAAGCCGATATCCTCATTCCATTCATGTAGGATATACTCACAGTACCGAGCAGTATTTATTGATCCAATGACTGTCAACAGAGCATCATCTTCTAAAATGGCAGATATCAAATCCATATCTCGAAAACGTTGAAGCAAGATGATGAAGAAATGGTTCAAGAAAAGGGTTGCAGAAGACCTAATAAATTGAGTTTTCGACAATTTGGACCATAAAGATTGACCCCTTTCTATCATTGCCCATGAGATTTTGACTACAGATTCGGCAATTGGTGGTGCTTTATAATCTTCTCTAGTAGAAAGAAGGAATGTCTCAATTTCTTCATCAGGGCTCACATCTATTGACCAGCTTTCCTCATCTACCAACTGTAAATTTAGCTTCTGTTGTGCATCATTGAGTTCTATCTCAGCCCATATCTGAAGCCAATCTAGATGCTGATCAAATACTGAAAGTAACAGTTGAGATTGTGAGAGTCCTTTCAAATATGCAAATGATCCTATCAACTGAGTTTCTGAAGATGCAAGAACTTGAAACTTCTTATCAAAACTAATCATAAGGTCAATAAGATGAAGCCACGAAGAGTTTATCACAGTATTCTCAACCCTATCAACATAGTTTGCGACAAGAGAAGGAAAAGCTTGCCTTTCAAGATATCTAGATAACACCGTCACCATTGCTGACACCCAAGCTTCTTTAGCGCTACAACCTGCAAGTGCTGCTTTATCAATTAATGGCTGTAATATATTGTCCACTCCCTCAAGGAAATCTCGTGTGATTTTGTATACTAGAGCAAAAATGAATTTTGGTTCGTCAGACCATTGAGAAAAATGGTGTTCCATCCTCGATGCAATTGGTTGCACCAATTCATCAATAGACCATAATCCATGTTCAAAACAAGATTGTTTGATAGTATCTATGGAATTTGATACTTTGCACGCATTGTTATATCCTTGAAGTTTGTTTTGGCGTCCTGTCCTTCGTACTTGCAAATGTTGCAAAGCACATAGCTTTAAAAAGCTCTCGCAATACAACTCTTTATTCTCCCCTTCCATCAAAACAAGAGGGTTAGGAATTGCCGAGCGTGTTCCTTTTTCATTGCTAGATGTCGTAAGAGATGGTGGCCATCCAAGGGAAGAAAGCAAGATTCGATGGTTAGAAAGCACGTGTGGCCTCAGAATGGATAGTGCTTTTTCTACACGAGCATCAACAGCCATGAGAAGGTGCGTCCAATGTGGTCTTCTATTCGCTACATCCACCAAAATTTCTTCTATCCGGTTCATGGCTTTAACAGCTAGCATGAGCTTTGCTTGTTTCTGGCCAATGTCCTGATCCTGAAAAATAAAAAGCATCAACGACATCATACTTCTCATTTCTCTATTATAAATTAATTATGAAGTATTTGTTTTTTGTTTTCACAAACACAACAAAAGCAAAATCAACAAAGCTCACGGCTGCACTCACAGTTGGTCTTGATGCTTTCAAAAGGTTAAATGGATTATTTCTTGAAGTTTTGTTTGTAACAGAGAATGTTGCATCTTCCAGGTCTCCAACCAAAACTTCCAGCTTTAGGGTGGTCTCTGCAAGATAACCAAGAGCAGAAAGAGTTGATAAAGTAGACCGTAAATGAACCGAAAAGTCAAGAGATGTGAAAAAAATGACCTTGACCACTGACATGAAGTACTAACTATTAATTTTAGACTAGGAAGCAAGGTTTTTAATATCGGATAGCCAAAATTCATATCGGATTGTGGATATCGGGGAAATATCGAGGATATGTGGTAAATATCGGAATGTCATAATGGACGTTGGCATATATAGTATAATGCACTACATGTAATCTTAACATACTTAATGAAATATGATATCAAGGATATGTGGATGATATCAAGGATATCTGGTAAATATCTGAATGCCATAACAGACGTTTGCATATATAGTATAATGCACTAAATGTAATCTTAACATACTTAATGAAATCTAAGCATACAAATGTAAATAATATATACTTAGGATCACTAATCAACCTTGTAAAACAAATAAAAGTACAAATCAACGTAGCAATATTTTATCTGATTTTTTAGGCTAAAATATCATTTGATATAAAGGAAAACTCATGATACCTCACCCAAAAATTACCAAACGCGGTATATTGTTTTGTGACAATTCCATATAAAAGGATATATCGGCCAACATATTGGCTGATATATCAGCCATATGGGGGATATATTACCCAAAATAGCCAAAAAACGGCAAAGGATATTTGGAGACCATATCGGTTGTGGGAAGCCCTATAAAAGGATGATCATGCGACATATCGGACCATGTCAAGGATATTTAAAACAATGCTAGGAATTGATTTGTTCAGCAATCATTTCGGACGGTGGAGATCATCAGAAAAACTATATGGTTGCCAGGTTTGTTTAGTAGTCATCTCCTAAGAATAGTCTAAGGCTATGACTTGCATAAATATCAATAGGATCTCGTATCTATACTTCTACTCATTGACACATGAATCGCTTGTGTTTAATACGAAACAAAACATAGATAGCAAAACTGCATGCACAAGCTTCAGACTCTAATTGGGATAGTATAGCTCAGACGGATGTTTTTCCTTGTTAGCAAGAATTTGCCAGCAGAGGGCTCTATTTGGCGAAACAGTCGATTTCCGTAAGGATTAAAAAACTACAGTGTAATCCGGTAAATTCCCAGTATTTACAAGGTCTGTAAAAATGATAAAAGCATGAGAAGCATATAAATTTGAAGTTGATAAATTTACCTGCATATAGCCGAATCGTTTCGATACGAGCAACCTCATTCGCCAGCGCCGGCAGCTCAACCCCCAAGATCCTTTTTTGACGGCGACCCATCATCGCGTTCCCATCTAAAACCCCCCCAAAAAAACCAATCAATTCCCAACAAAACCATCACAACAATCAAAATCACAACCAGGGTTCTTCGAACCTGGAGGAGACGATGGGCAGCAAGATTCAACACTGCGCATCAGTATCGATCTGGCATCGGTTGAGCGAGAGATCCAATCCGATGCGGCGAGAGAGAGCTTGGCGATGAGGTCCTCGAGGTTTCTATGGAGAAGGGAGCAGTCTCTGTTGAGCTCTGACGCTAGAGATGCAGCAGCCGGGAGATCTCGTTGGGTCTTGAAATGGCGGTCGAGAAAGCGAGAAAGCTGAATGTGCTGCCGGAGATTTGAGAGGGGCTCGGCAGTGTCGCCGCCGTCGTTGTTGTTGACGGGGGAGGAAATTTCGCCATGAAATCGAGAGAGAAGAAAAAGAAACCGCTTCGGTTAACAAGGGAATTTTCATGTGAAAAAAAAGTCTATATGAACCAAGGCTTACTAGTAAGAATAATATCTAATATGATTATACTATCAACTCAATTTTTTTAATTTAAAATTCAAAAAATGAAGATCTAAATGTATGGATGTGATCAACTATAAATGAACTATCCAAAAATATAATTTTAAAAAAATTCAATATCACTAACTCATATATTATACATGTCATCAAAATCAACGTTTCAAAATTTTTATAAAGTTAGTTTTATTTTTCGTCCTTTTAACTGATTCAAAACACATCAAAATACTTTGAATTTTATTTCTAAATAGTTTATGAGTAGTATACCACGTCTACCGACTTGAATTTTTATTTTTAAACCGTATATTTCAAAATTCGATTGATAATATTTACATGTTAAATACTATTAATGATAGCCTAGCTCAACTCCAATCTATATTTACTCGACTGGTTGTTTATTTTCATGAATTTGGTGTTGATTTTATACTCACATTCGAAAATATATTGTCAAATATATAAAGCTAACGCTAATTATACCATAAATCATATGATGCTTCGGTCAACTATTAAAGGATCTTCACATTTATTTTTAGGGGTCACTTCTATAGCCCTGCGAACTTTCTGTGATAACCTCTCTTTTCTGAAAACTTGAGCACAACTAGCTAGCTAGGTAAAAGGACTCCAAACAATCTAATATATTGTCATTTGACTGTGATAATCTATGGAGATATAGATTATTACATGCCTACAATTTCTTTACCGGTAAACATAAATGGTCAATCATTTCTTAGCTACGAAAATCCAAGTTGATGGTATAATGAAATGGACTTTTCATTATCCGTTGCCCTTAGGGCAATGGTTAGCAATACCCTAAATAAATAATTACTGTAACTCTTAATGTCTGCACAACATATATCTTAATAGAGGCAAGAAAGTTAACAAGGCAATAAAGAAATGAAGATATTACCATCATCAAACCCTATGGTACAATCACAAACCTTTTGATCCAAAAACGGAACAAATTTTCAAAAGAGCCCTATTTGCAAACTTATTCCCCAAAAACGACCCCTTTCAACTTTATTTGTCAAAACCATGGCTGAAACCATGTAGGTTTTGGCGAAAAAAGTTTCCAAACTTCACAAGTCCCGTGAAGTTTAACAGCCATTTTGTTAAGATGCTTTCAAAGTTCAAAAAACTTCACGGAACTTCAAGTCCCGTAAAGTTTCAAAGGTAGAAAAAATCCACCGGACTTGAAGTCCCGTGAAGTTTGAGCTGAATTTACACGCTCTGAAAATTTAGCCTGCAACTTCACGGGACTTGAAGTCCCGTGAAGCTGTAGGTTTTAAAAAACATGCACAACAGGATGTGCATGCTTTTTATATACGCAACGTAACTCTTAAATGCATTACACAACAAATATACATGAAATTTTCACCATGAATCAATCGATTTACATGAATCAAACAATATATACCGAATCAAACAATAATCACGAAAATATACCTGTGAGCAATAATCGATCTCATATACATTGAATTACAACAATATTCTTAAAATTCAGCCATGAATTAAACACAAATCAAACAATATTCATGAAGATCACATATATAAACAATAATTGAGAGGTGGATGCCAGAGTCCAACATATTTCACATGCATATAGGGGAGTGTACTATCACATTACAGGACATAGTCGTCATACTTGGGCTCCGCATCGATGACCCGGCAGTTACGGGCACTGATGACCATAATTGGGTTGAAGTATGTGTTAGGCTTCTTGGTCAGGTTCCCGACTTGAGGAGTGGTGTGATGAAGCTATCGTGGCTTCGTACAACATTTCAGGGAGATATACCAGCTGATGCTTCCATTGAGACGCTTCGGTATCATGCTCGTGCGTATATATGGCACTTGATAGGGTGCATGTTATTTCCTGATGCGAGCAAGACTCTTGTACATGCACGATGGCTGCCATTGCTAGAGGATTTTAGTGTATGCGACACACTATCGGCGCACTATCATAGGGCAGTGCGGTGTTGGCATACTTATATAGAGAATTGGGTAGGGTATCCTTGATGCAGAATAAAGAATTCAAGGCCGGGATGCTGCACATTGATACAGATTTGGTCATGGGAGCACATTCATATTGGACGACCTACTTTGCTTGTGCACCGTGACCTACAGAGCCAGTTTCCTTTGGCATATAGGTATAATTATCCACATAATTTTATTCATATTGAATTTGTACTCATATATGAATGTGGTTTGTCAGTGCTCATATAAAACTATCCACATTATGTCAAATAGGTATAACGTGTGGTACGCTAAGTACAAATCAGCGACGCGACATCGTGAGTTTTACCGAAATGAGCTTGATGGCCTCCAACACGAACATGTAAATATAAATCTCAAGTCGTTATGAATATTATAGTTTTGTTGTTGATATTGATAAATGTTTTATCTTATTTCAGTTCAAGTGGAGACCATATTCACCGCTGGAGCTCGATATGCATACTCTTGCACCTATCTGTCGAGATAGTTCCGACTTGTGGAGAGCCAGAGTTCCATTGATATATTGGAAGATTGTGGAGATGTATGTCCCTGACCGTGTTCTACGATAATATCTGCTCTCTCAGCATGTGCCGGATCCCGAGTCATAGCTATTGACTCCGTGCGGCCTACATAGACAGGTGGATTCACAGGTGGGATTTCATATAGGATACGAGGGACACAGCTATTGACTATACCGCGTATATGCGTTGGTATTGGGATGCCACACGTAGATGGATCACGCGTGACCCACAGCCATCAGCTGGATACCTGTCACGCCCACCGACAGATAGTTACATCCCTAGTGGAATGATCGAGAGAGATTATGTAAATTTCTAAGCTAAATTAAAACAATAATTTTTTATTAAGATGTTATTTGCTGAATTGTGTATATATTGTTTAACTCACAGGTCCGTGCTTTTGATGACATTGAAGCTGATATTGATGAGCACATGCCTGAAATTCAAGATCCGGCGGTGTTAGGAGTCTTCAATTGGATCATGCAGAGAATAGCACATGTGTTTCATAAGACTCATGTCGACGAGTTTGCAGGCCATGAGGACAGGTCTTGATCATTTGGGCAAATGTGCACGCGACGACGTAGACCACGTGACGATGATGATGGAGTCGACACTTCGCATGCTGATGGAGCCAGTACTCCTCAGCCTTATACACAACCAGATACTCAGATAATCGAGGCTCATCATAGCAAACTAGCCTCCACCGGCACTACGATTTACGGATTCAACACCAGCGGGTCCAGACCCTTGGGGAAGGTTCGAATCAAATGCCATATCGGGGATTTAAAATCAGAAGTTACCTACTATGTGATTGACGCAGAAACGTCCTATAACTTACTATTGGGTCGACCTTGGATCCACGGTAACCTTATAGTCCCGTCAACTCTGCATCAATGCCTCAAGTACGTGGACTCAAATAATGAAGGCAAGACGGTGGTCGCGGATAAGCAACCGTTTAAGGGATTAGAGAACTATTTCACTGATTCCCTTCTATACGGCGCCGAATCCGATACTGAACCATCGGCCCAAGGAACGGACAGCGGGGATGAAGCTGACACCGAAGCTGGGTTTGATTATGATGGTGGTTTTGTACTTAATGACATTGTACCCATTGTAATCAATCTTGACGATGATGAATCATCGGAAAGTAGTTGTAATTGGCAACTTGCCGAAGAACTATCAATAAATGGTGATTTAGAGTACTCGATGTGTCTTGATAATGTCACTAAAGAGCTATATGATAACCCTGACTTGTATATGTGATAATGTCACTAAAGAGCTATATGATAACCCTGACTTGTATATGCCACTTCAATCATTTTGTCTGACGAAAAAACAGGTACAAGATCCATACGGAGCGACGCTTGTCATCCCCGCGGGAACATGGGGTGGAAAAGAAGTTGTCTACGGCAAAGGAAAAGAAGCTCCGATACCCGATCACTTCTTAGAAGAAGAAGACGATGAAGATAAATCTGCCCCTCATCTATTTAGATATAACGCAAAAGCGCACGATCTAATGGAGAAGTATGGGTATGACTTAACACTTGGAGAAGGTCTTTGCTTCGGTCGAGGTCCGCGAGTTCCACCTCGAATGGCCTATGTACCAAAGGGGGGCGGGCGAGGGGAAGGGGGAAGAGAGGGAGAGGAAGGAGAGAAGGAATTTTGGGTTATATGTGATCTTATTTTGTTGAAATTTATAACTTTTATTATTTTTCAAATACTATACTTTTGTGGATCAATTATTGTTTATATATGTGGTCTTCGTGAGTATTGTTTGGTTCGTGTTTAATTCATGGCTGAATTTTAAGAATATTGTTGTAATTCAGTGTATATGAGATCGATTATTGTTCACAGGTATATTTTTGTGATTATTGTTTGATTCAGTATATATTGTTTGATTCATGTAAATCGATTGATTCATGGTGAAAATTTCATGTATATTTATTGTGTAATGCATTTAGGAGTTACGTTGCGTATATAAAAAACATGCACATCCTATTGTGCATGTTTTTTAAAACCTGTAGCTTCACGGGACTTCAAGTCCCGTGAAGTTTTTTGAACTTTAAAACTTCACGGGATTTCAAGTCCCGTGAAATTTGGAATTTTTTTTCACCAAAATCGACTTAGTTTCAGCCCTGGGGTTGAAACCAAATCGATTTTGACAAATAACCAGGTCAGTTTTGACAAATAAAATTAAAATGGATCGTTTTTAAAAAATAAGTTCACAAATAGGGCTCTTTTGAAAATTTGTCCTCCAAAAAACATTTCATAAATGAATTGCCTTAAAGAGAGGAAAAACAAAGCGTTATACTTCAATAACAAATAGTTAATAGAGTCGTGTCAACTTTCCAGCCAATTCCTCTCAAATAGCCACGTATTGGCTTTTCTTAGAATTGGGATACTTTATCTACTTCGCATCTCTTAAATTATTTTTTAAACAAACACATTATATGAATCTTTTAATACTTAAGTCACCTTTTATTCCACTTCCTAGCTTTCCATGCAGTTTCCATTTATTTTGAGCGAATCAAACAGCTCCTACATCACCGTTAACGTATAGATATGTACAAACTTCCATCATGACCAATAAGATTAAATTTCAACAATACCACAATTTGGCTTCAAAGATATAAAACCATAATAGAGATTTTAGCTAGCAACATATAAAATCTACAGGATAAGAAATTATGCAGCCTTTACATTTTCTCCTATTTCCAGAATAAAGAATCAAGAGCCATTCCTTTTCTCCTATTTCCCGAATAAAGAATCAAGAGCCATTCCTTGAGGGAAAAGAACTGTACAGGAAGATCTAAATCTGTAACAACCAAAACATTCAGTCCCAAAGCTCCACCAAATTGAAATAACACCATCTCCCTCAAGCAACAGCAATACCCATCAAACTCCTGAGCCAACTCCATTTGTAGTACAGAAGGGGCCAAAACATTTGTAATTGCATAACAGCAAAGCTTTTCTACAACATACACCCGCATGCAGAGTTGATAGGCTGAGCGAAAAGATGCTTATCACGATATTGGTTATTTACAGAGCAACAGCTTGAAAGAATTCACAAAAAGAATGGAGTTCATGCCAAGATGCATGGCTATGCTAGTCACTTCACGCGGAATTCATGTCTAAATACTGTGAGATTTTGGGTGAATTTATCCCTGTTCTTTGAATCCAAACTCCGATTGACATCAGCCATTAGCTTATCGAAACATAACAACAGACGCTGCTGTTGATCAAGTGGCTGCATATTTTAACATAGGTTAGAAACATGTCAACTATATTTAATAAACTTTAGATACCCTACAACTTCAGAGCAGTTCTTACAGCCAGGGAAAAAATGAAACTAACAAAAAAGGAAGAGCAACAACATACGTAAAGATTTAAAGGTGTTAACATGTACCTGTGAAGCCAAAATTTGAGCTTTCAGATCACTAAACATCTGCAGGCAGTGGCAGTACAAAGTCAGTGAAAATGTTTTCCAGACCCTCAAAGAGAGAAAAATGAGGAGATATAAAAGATGTGAACAAACATATTTACATACACCTATGGAATACACATTTATTTTTATAATGTCGCCAAAGGTAGCATAAACTATCAGTCAAAGGCATAAGTACTGAACATTCTGCAGGGAATAGTTTATATGGCTAAGTAAAATTCTTCGAGAAAGAAAAGGAAAAACAGAGTTAAAACAGTAGAAGATTTGAATAACATCTATATATCGCTACACCAGAATTCTGACTATGCCAAATTAAGCAAGCCTAATAATGCTTTCTATGATTAGTCTGCGCAATCAAGAGTTATTAAACTGGTTGGTGGAAGGAATATCACTGTTATATTGAGGATAATAGTACTCTATAACAAAGATTTTGTTGAGAAGATGTTGAATGTGATACACAAAAACATTCCACCCTATTACCTGAGAAGACGTATCTGACTGAATCAGAACTAAAGACAGAAAAAAAGTTACAAGCTCATTACAAATCTAATCACTTAACAAATTATATGGGATACTTGCACGCTAGACGCCATTCTGATCTGCAGTTTGCAATCTTAAATGCAAATTTCCTAATAAGAAAAGGTCAAAGCTGTTACATATTGAAAATGTCATCATTCCCCACTATACAACTAGCATAGACCTATTGAATGCCTCCACTACGAAAGATTATTTGGTGAGCATGATGCAGAAGTAATCAACTATTGATTACTTCATTTTTCTTAGCCTCCCTTGTACAAGTGGTCAGGCCATCGACCAACCCCACACCTAAAAAGAAAAAAAAAGAAAAACAAAACAAAACAAAACAAAAGGAAAGGAAAGAAAACAAAACAAAACAAAAGGACTGGAAAGAAAAAAAAAGAATGATACTCCCTCTCTCGGCTAGCAAGAGAGCCATCCGAGATGGTTGATTACTTTCAACTATTAACTAGTACGCAATTTAATTGAGCCATTCATATAAGAATTTCTCACCTGCTCGCTTATCAGAATCAAGCTGAGCATTGGCCTGCTAAGACTCCATTGGTTGCCGCAATCCTCAAATAAAACTATCTCAAAAAGAGTTCGAAGGATCTGTTTATAAAAAGCACAACCATATCAGGACAAGCACCACAAAGCACAATAGTTATACCGCTCATTTATGCTTATGTAAGAAAACCTATAAGGAATATTATTGAACGTTAAAAGACTCAACTATGTTGCATTGACATGAACAAGATGATATCAAAAACCAGTATGGCATAGTACAGTTATTTATGCCAAGAGTTCAAAGCAAAAAATAGTAATCGTAGAAACCTAGATCCAACTTATACAGTTATGCCCCTCACTGCCTGACACTGCAAATAACTTTAAACCACATTATCACAAACTTTTCACGTAAAAACATTTCAAAAGAACAATATTAAACGTTCTTTAACGTTAGCTTTCTTGTACTCCGCTGCTTTGCCAATACAATACTCATTGATTTCATTTATAAGCAGCAATGTTTTAATTCATTCATGTTTCGTATTAACCGCCAACGGAAGTTAATGTAACAAGATCAGTCTATGCTAATTGCTAGCATTCTATTCTTAGAATCAAGCTTGCAGCTTATCTGATGTGAAAGAATGCCGTAGGTAGCTTTCTTAAAACAATGAGAATTTAGATGAAGCATTCTTCTCAGATTTACCCTACATGATGGAAAAGCATGACATTTTCCTTTGGCTCTTTATCTTATTGAGGCTTGGGGCTTAATTTTGCTATTCTAGGTAAGAAATCTTTCTCGTTTTTCTCTCTTTTAGACTCTTAAATTAGGAGAAGTTTTATTTGTTTCTATTTGGGATACGGGATTTATTGTTGTTTATTGGTTTTTCCTTAGTTGCATGAGCATACACTACATGACCAATAACATAGTTTCACCTACATGGCAAACTGGCATCACACTCAACAAAATCTAGGAAAAGACGTGTCCATGTGTCAAAAAGATATCACCTAAAGGCCAATAAATGCTTGAGAATATGAAGTTCCCTCTATTTTCAAACAATCCAAAGATATATGCATTCATATCCTACCTAATCACTATTTATGAATTATCCTCTCGTTTTTTTCCCCAAATACCAATGATATTGTCATTTAATAAGATGTGTTTATGCAAGCAATGACCTCTTTACCAGAATATGGTCACCGGAGTTCATAATTTAACCTTATATGTCCTACCATATTATCATTTAAGAACTGTATGCCATATCCCTACAAAGCTATAATCTCACATGATCTATATATGCATAACACGATCTTTAGAATAATGTATATGTACATTGAATAATGAATCAGCTAATTAAATTATACATCATCTTAGTTATTAGGTTGTCCTGGGAAAAGGAAAAGGGGAATTTTCGTAAATGGTAAACATTCAAAAGAGAATAGCAGTACTTACTTCAGGAAACAAGTTAGGGCTCTCAGCAATGTGCCGAGCAAGATTCACTGCAACAGCTGACGGGGGTGACTCCCCAACTGTAATATTGTTGAAGTAGAACGCAGCAAGATTATCAACAGCAGCAGCACACTGATGGAAAAAACATAAGTTACAAAAAGTCCAAATGAAACTTAGTAGGAATAATAAGAAAATAATCAAACAAATGATGCCCCTTTCAGCATCATATCTTGTTAGCTTATCGCCTATGACGCTAAAAATAACATAACCATGAATAAGAAGAAATTGCAAGGAAAAATAATTAATAAGATAAGTACCTGTGACGAGATACCAGTATCAAGGCCCTTCAAACCAGATTCAAGCGAGCCAACAATATGCATAAAGGTGTTTGTATCCAAGTTTAGAATGAAAGATATATGATTGCTGAATAAAACCTCCACATACGCAAAATAAGCCTTCGTAAGCTGACATATCAACAGAAATAAATGTCAGTGTAACATTTGAATAAGATCTTAAACCAGAATAGTCACTTTTTTCCCTACGTCAAACAATCAGTGACAAATGATTGCCTTGCATACCAGGTAAATGAGTAGTTGTAAATGTTATGCAAAGTAACTGAACCAACTTCTATATGTATAAAGCACTCTATACTCTTACATTTGAGTGAGGTAAATTCCAAAAAGATGTTGAGATTGAACATGTTCAAAGTTTTGGATCCAAAAGACTGAAGATGCAGTAGTCTTGAGCAACGAGCATATATAATCTTCAGTTCATATTAGATTAGTGGGAACACGACAAGTACTATTGATGTCATCCACTCCAAGTCTTAGTACATGAGCACATTAAGTGCGCTCATGGTAAAGCATATACTATAAAATTGTGGCAGTTAAAATAGGTGACGTCCTAATGTTAAAAGTCCATGATTTGTTGCTGGATACGAAGTAATTCATTCCACAAGTGTCTCATTACTTGAAGATTCCACTTGCCTTGACAAAAGTACAAAACCAGTAACTTTAAGTGTTATACTGTTGGACTTACCATGTATCAAAAACATGAACCAATATGTTGCAAGTTTATAGAACATTTCGCTCAACATCAAACAGATGAAACAAAAAAAAATCGCATGATTGTAACTAGAATAGCGCATAGGTGAACAATCTGAGTCTTTACTCAGTAGTTGAAAGATAAAACACCACTTGTGCTCCACAGACAACCCCATTTCGACCAAGGATTAAGTGATAGTCTAGACGTATTAGGTCCAATGTACAAAGAACTAGGACAAATAACAGTTACATAGCTTTAGAGATATTAATCTTTATTGTATATCACGTAACTGACATAATTAGCATAATCTTTTAGACAGATTAAAAAAAAGTGATCTCAAAATTTTCCAAGTTGGATTTGTAGTTAAGCTATTCAATCCTTCTTGTGTATAGGGCTTGGAGAGAGATTCTTAGTTAATGGTACTGATTTCAAAAGTTGCATACTGGACAAGTGCATCACGAAGATGCCATAACGATGCTCAATAAATGTCAAGCCCTCAGGTTATGTTTGATGAAAACCTGGAATTAAAGATGGTTACGGTCAGTTCTCACGGTGACTATTACTTTAGAAAGGTAAAGCTCTGATATGTTTATGTTCTTGTTACTAGTAAATTATAACTGATCGCAAATATACTGCACAGACGTCCTAACTTGGAAGAACATTGAGAAGCCTTGAGCACTTCATACACTTCAACAGAAGAAAACTAAAAAGGAGAGTTCTCTTTGGTTACAACCACGAATTATCTGTCTCACAAATTGCTTGGCAGTAATTAACTCGATGGAGGCAAAAGTGGCCCACAGGCAGTTTTGAATCAGCCATAATGATCAAGAAGCAGTTCATTTGTATTTGAGAATATTCAATACCTAGTTCTAATTTTCAAATAAAGCACTACGATGATAGAGGATGTTGCTTTCATAGTATTTGCATATATGCTTGCCATCAACTGATCGTCTTCTGCTTCTTATTAGCATCACATACAGGGCATGAAAATCTTGCTTATTCCATTTAATCTATTCGCTTTCTAATCTTGCTAACATGAGGTATTACACAAGTCATATGAGGTATGCCCATTACACAAGTCACATCTTTAGTTCAAATCTGCTGCTTGACAATCAAAGAGATCAGCTTCCAGTTTCAGTCTTGAGGAAAGCTGAACTAGCACGAAGCAAGCGGACAGGGCATTGGTCTTAACAGGATTTAGCGGCAAAAAGCACCGAGGTGATTTTAAAAATTTTAGAATTAAAAAAACAGGAGAAAGTTAAAAACTTGGGAAAACATAAAAGAAACAGAGAAAAATCTAAAATGAGAGTGTTTTGGTGAACTATGTACGTCATAAAAGAATGACAACAGATGTTGAGATACGATGCATATCAATCAAAATATGAAATCCTAGAAAGTTATGACGATAAAAGTTATTATAATAACAGAAAACTGAACATGGTGTAAAGAATTATTAAGTTGAAAACTAGTTAGGAAACTTTGTAATCGTTGGAATATGGATAAAGACCAGAGAAAGAGGGATGGAGAGGAGAGAGCGGAAAGGATACCCTCCTGAAACTAAAAGTGGAATATAAAGGGGTCAATCGCATGGCATAAAGAGACTACAGAATGGGAAACAAGTCTTTATCCCGCTTCAGCTTGCACAGAAAAAATTTAAGGCCGGGCTTCAAGCCCAACATCCAAAGGTATATTAGGACCTCAAAGTACTGCTCAGGGCAGGAACCCTACGGACGACTGTAACTATTAGAAGGTTCATCGGGCTACTCAAAGCCATCACTTTTATGATCTTAATCCCAGGAAAAAAAATTCAAGTTCCAACGGAATTTCAAATGATAAAGAAATAAACTGCACCGTTTGCATTATCTGCCGTTGGTCTTAAAGAACATAGGACAAGGGGCATCTTAAGAGAAAACAAATTAGTTTAGCATATTATAGGAACCGAAATATCCTACCTTGCGATATGATAATATATCAGCTAAAGGAATTGAAAGAGTCATCTTCAGGGAAATATCAAGGGCATCTGCAAGTGCTCTATCACCATACAACTCGAACACACCGAAGTTGACATAATTTCCACCCAATGCTGTGACAATGATAAATAATTAGCCTTGCATTAACATTATAATACATAAAAATTATATAAACATGAAAAATTCATGGAGTTATGGCCACATAAACGGAGACAAAACTTTGATGGCATATATTACCCTTTAAACTAATCATCTGCAATGACCTTAGGCTATGGAAATATTTGTCAGTAGAGAATTTGGACAGCTGCTACTATCAATGAATATATATGAATCATAGGAAGAAGAAATTACAAACCGCATTAACACTAATTCGTTTCTTCATGATGAATTCTTATTTTTTATACATATATTGTCAGTGAAATTGTTGGAAAAGAATAACTATTTTTTAGATCTATTTCGCAGAAAACTCACAATTTTGACAGATTTATATTACTAATAGGCTAAGGAAAAATATTTGAACAACTTCTACAAGCCAGAGGCATGACATTTCCCTGGGAAACCTCGAAGGACAAATGCATGGATAATCACTAACGAGTCAACTCTGAGCATCAATGTCTGCTACAAACCAAATCTATGGAAGAACATGCATAATTGCATACCACATTTTAACATAAATTATGATTCAACTATACCACAAAATATTTGCCTCTTCCCAAGACACGCAAGCTGACAAATGAGCTTTTAAATATAACTAAGGCATACGAAAACTCCACAAAAATAAACTTATACGGGAACCCTTTTTTTTTACAATTTACTCCAAGTAACAATGAGGAGAGTTCACAAAGTTAATTTTTCTCAAAGAAATAAAACAACTCTCAGTCTTAACAAAAAAATTCCAATAAGTGCAATATCCTAACTTCATCTGAATTTTTCACTTCGTTGCTTTCGTTATTTACATCGATTTAGAGCTTCAAAGTTTGTTGAGTTTTAAGGGCCAAATATCTATGCAAGTGCGTGTTGGTTTTGAAAAATATTATAATTTACATATTCTTTCTCATAATATTATTTTGAGCTTTTGTATGGCTACACGATCAGGGTTTCATGAGGATATTTTTTCCTCAAAGAAATTATAACTCCAAGGATTAAAATCCCCAACATGTAGTTTATCCTACTTTCACCTGTATTTTTTATTTCCCTTTTATTTCCCTTATTGTGCTATTTCAATTGAGCTAGAGCTTCAACGTTTGTTAGGTTAAAAAGGCCTGATACCTCTGTTAGTGTTTGACGGGTCTTGAAATTGCATGAATTACATATTCCTCATAATATTATTCATTGAGCTTTCTCAGCACCGGACAATTTTAAATTTTAATAAGGATAGTTTTTTTTATCCAATCATCCTGATAACTCCATAGGTATTAGGATATTTATGTATTAAAACAATACATACCAACCAACACCTTAAGACTGAACCTCATCGTGTAAACATCATTGGACATTAACATACTATACAGTATCCACCCCAAATTATACTATACATTTTGACATAGGCGAAAATTAATTTGGCTAAGCAGCAAAAACTGGGTAAGCCGGTTGCACAAATAACAAGCTCGCCCCCAAGCATGGACAGATCCATGTAGAGAGCTATGGGGGCATCTGCCCCTATATTACTCTTGATCTCTTTTATTAGTGGATAACAAATTTAATTAGGTGCCCTCATAGAAATTTAATAAAATACCGCCGCTACAGAAAGATGAGACCACATAGAGAACTATGAAGGATTAATTTTCAAACTTAGTGGTATTTTGTTAGTTTGTGTATATAAAATGAAAATATGATCATGTATTGAAATGAAGATGACAATAACAACTATTATTTGTTGAGATCTTTGTGATTGTTACATAAATAAAATTTTATATGGCTAGAATTATGTAATATATGTTACTAGTTTATATGTATAATTGTATAGTGCAGTGCTTTATATATATAATTGTATAGTGCCCCCATAGGTAAAAATTTTTAGATCAGTCCCTGCCCCTAAGAGTCTGAGTTAGGGATGCACAAAATATCCGTATATGTATTCTAATAGATACAGATATGATCACTAAAATCTATAACATATAGGATATAATTACAAATATGTTTAAATTTCTAGATTTGTCCTTGCCCCTAAGAGTATGAGCTATGGATGCACAAAATATCTGTATCTGTACCCTAATAGATATGGAGATGGTCGCTAAAATCTATAACCGATAGGATATGATTACAAATATGGTTATGTAGTGAAACATCCGGATCTGTATGATTATATCTCGATCATACTATTGCAACAGTTTTAATCCTTAGATTAATGGATTTGAGGTTAATTTGATGATCAAGATATCTGATCTTAGATTTTTGGACATAATGAATATATTAATGAATTTTCTTATACCATATGAACTATATCTTTTCTAACATTATCTAGTTTTCTCATATCCATTTTGTATCCGCATGTATATACACTTATATTCTGCATATACATTTATATTTATATCCAATTATAATGGATATAAATATGAATTTTTTTTACATAGGCATATTTATATCTGTATCAATGTCCGTAATTGGTAAGTGGATGCGGATATCGTAAGTATCATATCCAAGTCATATTCGAACCGTATGCACATGTATATCCGCTTATATATATGCATGCAAATCCATATCCATATCCGATTTTAACGGATATAAATATGATTGTTAAGTGGATGCGGATATCGTAAGTATCATATCCAAGTCGTATCCGAGACATATATGTATATGTATCAATATTCGTGATTGTTAAGTAGATGCGGATATTGTAAGTATCATATCCAAGTCATATCCGGACCGTATGCACCCCGAGTCTGAGCCCATCATTGTTCCACAATCCATGTGTGATTGGACGGTTAGAGCCCACTTCAAAAGATGAAGATAAAAATGAACCTTGAACATATCATTCATGAAGCTAATGCTATTGATAGACTTGCGAGAGATGATATTAATTTTGATATAAGATTGCTATGTTGGTTGTTTCCGAAGGGTTATGAGCTTGGTTTGTGATGTCATAAATAAGTTATATATGAAGAGAGCCCTCTTTTGGTTTGTGTGAGCTATATTCTTAGAATGCCAAAAAAAGGCCCTCACTTGGAAAAACTATAGAAATACCCTTACTATTGGGAAAACTACAGAAATGCACTCACACATGGAAAACCTATAGAATCTTCCTCACTTGGAAAAATATGAAATGCCCTCAAACTTGGAAAATTCGAAACAAATCTAACAAATCATTCAATCCCTTGACAATTCAACTACGACGCTCCTCCATGTTTTCTGTCATGCATGCATTACATGCACCGTGGTACTAGTAAATAAATTATGGCATGTGTTTTATAATGAACGCAACTTCAATCATTTAGGTCAATGGACTCAGGTCTTCGCATTTCTGCATGATTATCCACCATATTTTTTCTTTCATAAGCATTTCTCCATGATCGTCAATCATTTTGTGTTGAATTTGTCGATATTCTTGTGATACACACGGGTATTAATGCAATTACTCAACAATCATACATGGGTTAATTCTTCTTAAAATACATGACCTGTGTCCTGATTTCACAACTTTGATGCTTACAATGAACCATAAAAATATGGTTTGACAAGTCATTTGAGCCACACTTTTCACATATCGATAATGTTTGTCCTACATATCGCCCTATCTCATAAAAATCCTTGGCTGTCACTGCTTTGCACTATGTGTGAAAGTCATAGCAAAGGATAACCTTTAGACTTCATTGTGCATCAAAACTACATTTTACCTTTCAATCAACAGAAAAATCACCAAGCTAAAAAATCATAATAATCATTTAGTTCTAATAGATTATCTCCAAGATTAACAATAGATATACTTCAATTTCACTTACGAATCTGTATGGACCAGTCTGTGTTGCTCTAAACGTAGTTCACTCGACCACAATCTTTGTTAGATTGATACATACAGTCTCTCATAGACTTTACCTGCCTCTAGAATTAAGAAGCAAGATGTAAGAGTCAACACCGACTCTATTAGTTGGTCATTTAACGACTTGAACAAGTTGGTTGATTGCAGACTCATTTAGAGGTCGGTTGATTACAGGCTTTTTAGGAGTCAGTTGGTTACAGACTCGATATGGGCTGGTTATTAAACAACCCACCTAAAGTCCTCAGCTTAAAAGAGGCAACAATTCTATTTGAAGATTTGATTGGATAGTTTAGAGTGATTGCATAAGTGAAGAATCAAGTGCTGATGACCTAGAATTTGTAGTGCTCGCATAATTAAGGAGTCTTCTATTAATCATATTTGTATAAAGTGTGAGTTAATGAAAGAGTGTTGTGATGCTTTTATTTAAGCAATGCGTCCTTAAATTAGATTCTATTTCCTATCTATATTGCATACTGAACATGGTTTACTGCAAAAGTAACTCTTTGGACGTTGTTGAGGCTTGTACTCATTCATTAACAACTACTCAATTAGCCCAATCTCACAAGTTTTCCATCTCCTAGTTTTACTGTGTATTCCCCTAAATGGTACCAATACCTATAGTACTGGTTTTGAACCCAATTCTCAAATGCTTGCAAAACTGTCTAATCAACAACTGCATTTTGGAGTTAAATCTAGAGTTCCAACAACTGTGAGAAGAAATGTGATATTACATACATGCATAACTACTGATATGTTTGCAAGAACTGCCACCGTCAAATTTCAAATACATTTACTCAAAATTTCTAATTATTGAATCTAAGTGATGATTTACACATGGAAAGGGCCCCTTCATGCTATATTAATCCATTGAGAGAATTCAGCTCAAAATAAGAAAATTATTAAATGCATAGAATAGACCAAGATTCCAAATCCAAAATAAAAAAGGTTAAGAGGAGTCACACCTCTTTGCAGAATGGTTAATGAAATCCAGATGCCCTTATACTTGTTTGCATACATATCAGCAGTATTCGGAAGAGACAGAATCCTTGAACCATAAGCCACAATTAACTTGCTGACTTCTCGAAATAAAAGAATACCATTCACGGATGATGAGTCAAAAGTCAAGCGTTGAGCTTTATTTAAGACAAATTCAGCAACAAACTTCAACAATGGTGTTGTCACCTGCCAGAATTCACTGCTTTGTGAGTATTCAGCATTATATAAGTGGATACACAAATCACCGGATAAACAGACAATTTACAGAATTAAAGGCCAAGGAAAGAAAATGAGTATTGAAATACACAAGCTGAAATATTGAGCCCAACAAATTAAAATTCTATGTAAATATTGAAACTGTACATTTCCATATTCAAGATCAATTTATCATTTTATAATCTAGAACGCATTCATGTACTATATTCTAATCTATTAATGTCCTGCGCACAATAATCCACACCTTTTATCAATGTTGCAGATTGTTGTTAAAGTTTCCAATAGGGCAACAAAAAAAAAGAACATGTATTATATGCAACAATATATGAAATTCAGATACAATTAACAGTTTTGGTTGGCCTTTTGGTCATAACAATATTGGCGATACCCATACATAGAAAATAGTGAAACTGATCACAAGTTTTTAGTCACTAATTTTTTTCCAACATATCACAATCAAACAAGCTTTTAGTGCTTCAATCCTGAATTTTCTCACGCATTATTCATTATTTCCCAATATTTGACTTGTATTGATCGTATTAGCCAATACTACAGTACAGTAATATTCAGTTCTGGTTGGATTGCATTAGCATGCCTAAAACCTGATAAAACAAGACTAATGCATATCGGTATCGGACAATACTACAAATCATGGCATGCTGCTAAATATGAAAATATGGAGGAGAATATAGTAACTTGCATGACTATAAGAAATAATAGTGTCGAAGTTTTAATTCTAATCCTAAAGGAATAAGAACATAAAATCTACCACCAATCCATACAAGAATGGCAGTCTACAGCTTTATGAAGTTCTTGGTTTTTTGAGCCAGAACAATAAGCAGCATAAGCCATAAAATCATGTAAAAGAGGAATTAGGTTTCTCTAAAACATTAAGACAATTTTTTGGTATGAAATTGATTTCCCATTGTTTTGAGTATCAGTGCATACAGACACTTTTTTGCTTTTATCAAATTGGATTTTATGTAATCATATCTAGCCGAATATTGCCTAATTAAATCACTAATGCAGGTCAATACTGACTACTGTATAGCTAAAACAAGAAGATAACTAAGCTTTTGAGTACCAAATTTTGATTAAATGTAATTTCGTGAAAATTAGAAACACCAATGGACATAAAGCTTGTGACTGAATGACTAATTCTAATATGCTGATAATTCCAAACTGAAACTATGGAAAACACTGAAATGCCCGAACTGATGCCACTAAAGGTGAATTAAAACTGTGGAAAGATACCAAGATGTCAAATTCTTTATTTGTTTTTTACTTCCCTCACACACAAAGGATGATCCAGTGCAATTGTGGTGGTGCCTCACCATTGTCTCCATTCTCCGATCTCTCCGGAAAAACCATCGCTTTGCTGCCCTACTGCCTTAATTTACTGAAACTACAATGAGAAAAGAGAGAAAAGAAAGAGTTCGGGTTCAAACTCTCATTTCTTAAGAGAATCATGTTGCCGTCAGATCCAATTTTTATTAGTTAAACCAGAGGCAATAGGGAAGCAAATGCAATGAAGCGAAACACATGTAGATTGACCACAGCAGCAAGACACAGTGACAAAGGGGTCGCTTTGCTTTTCATTTATTCTCCTCTAACCCAAACAAATTTCTTTTGGAAAATTTCCTCTCCACCTAGGTGACACTTAAGACACCATCCTAGCAGCTAGGGAGACCGGGCCATTCCCAGGCCTCTGTCATCTTCTAAGCTGTACCTTCCTCCCAAATCATCCCAAATCAAAGGTGACTTCCTTCAAAATCAGACAAGCCTTCATATTACCAAATTAGTCTAGGTATAACTTGTTAATAAAAAAAACTTGTGACTGCAACTTCTATAAAATCGCTAACTGAAAATATGGTAGCACACTACAGTTTATGCTATCCAACAGCTAATAATATGTATATACGTGTGTGTGTGTGTGTGTGTGAATATGCATTTACGTATGTACTGACATGCATTGCGTTAAACCCTGCTTGTTAATTGCAGTAATTTCTTCTTCAGAACTTTCATTTATTATATGTTTCCTTTTCCCATTAGAGTTTCCTTTCTTATTAGATTTTTCACTCCCGCAAGATTTTCCAAAAATAATATACATGTGTATATGTACGAGGTATTACCCTCCTCTTCATAACAAATGTGAAATACAAATTGATTTTAACAGTGCTAAGCAAATATATTTGAGGGGGGAAAAGAAAACCCTAACCTAGACTCCTTTTTGAGATCTTTTACCTCTTCAAATTGACTCGAGAATCCAACCACAGGCAGATAAAGAAACATTAGCAAGAACCAAATAGCAAGGTAAAGGACAAAAATAGATACATAAAATACTTTTTATTTAAGAATAAAAATCACCTCTGGTGAATCGGTCCAATGTGAGATAGCTTTCAACAGGAGGGGCATATGAGAAGGATACAGCCAATCAAACAGCAATCCATATGTTCTTCGACTGGGAGCAAAAATGTAAAGATCAACAGAACAAATCCAATAATGCTAAAATTAAGTATGGCAGGTCAAATACCTATTTGTCGCCATTGCAATTCCTCTCATATCCCTCATTAAACCAATAAATGCATATTTAACAGCGTCAGTACGAAATGCAGCATCAGCAGTTGACTCCAGCTTAACCATAACCTGTAAAATAATGAGGACAATAAATCGATCTCTAATCATAGAAATATTTGTAAATCATTTTTGAGGATTAGCTGTTGTTTTCTATGGAAAGCCGGTTAAATAAGTGAAAAAGCATGAATATCATTTGTACGTTTAGATTCTTTAGAACACTTACGAAAGGTTACCAATTTGTTTCTTGCTATGTTTAGAACTCGTATGAAAAATTTTAAGCAGACAAATATCAATTAGAACATTTTTTCTCTCTCTTAAAAGTACACTCTCTTCCCCTAAGAAAAGTACTTTGATAAGCAATTGTGGAAGTTCTGCTCAGATTTCCGAACAAATGCATGTGGTAGGCAGCTTCTTGGGTTAGATTTATTTTAATAGTTGCCTGTGTGTCTTTCTCAAGAAAAACCTAACAACTCCCTTCTTTTTCTCGACTAGGTTTTATACACGTGCAATGCACGTGGTTAAATACAATGCTTAAGTATTTTTAGATTACTTTCTAACTAAAATTTATTTCTCAATTCCACTTTAATAGTTTATGCTCACTTTTGTATCTAAACTTTTATATTGTGATTATTTTTTTTCTTTGATGTTTGTTTAAATGGGCTACACCCAGTTTAAATTTTCATGTTGATATTTGAATTGATAGAAAACAAATATAATTTAAAAATAATTTAAAGTTTCATATTATTTTGACTAACATGAAACCAAGCTTTACTTGAGAAAGTACAATGTTGCAAAATTAAAAAATATTAAAATAATGTCATACAAGGAAGGTGAATATTTAAAACCAATAAGTCAAAATGATTGGTTAATAGTATGCTAAAACGATACAAAAAAAAATATGAAGTTTATTCCTAATCATTGATAGACCTCATAAAAATTATAAATTAAATATTAATGCTAACTTTAGTATACTTTCATATGATAAAAACATCTCCACAAACATATAAAAGTACTGAAAAAAGCTCATGAAACTCCCTTCTGAAAATTCCTAAATCCACTCAAAATAATTAAATTATTCTATAAAATATTTATAAAATATTATCTTTTATTCCTTATATTTTATTTTTTTATTGAGATGGGATCAATCACTCCTTACCTTTATCTTTTTATCGGGCAATTCTAGAGTAGTGTCTTCATCATCTACTCGATTGTGATATCATGCTCGAGTTGTATTTTTTGTGTTGTTATTTTTCGTGGGCTCGTTAATATTTTATCTTGTCATTTAACTTCACAAAGAAGTTAAATGTATTTCCAATGTTCAGCACAAACTTCTTAAAATACAGACTTTGATTTTTTTTATTTCAATGGGAATAAATATTAATCTCATATATATGAAATTCTTTGTGTTTTTAATTTATTACTTAAATAAGATTAAGAGTTACATCTTTTTTCTCTACAATGAATTCTTCCGATGTGCATCCAATAAGAGGTTCCGTTACGTTAATAATATTATATTTACTCTATCCCTGTCATTTTCCACAAAGATCTAAACTAAATACCTATATTTTTTATTGCTAATTTTTCTTAGATTATAATATTAATATTTAATTTCTTTAGTATTTGAAGAACAATATATGAAATTTATGAATGCTTACTAATTTTTCTTATATCTTCCATAGAGAATTCTTTTTTGATTAGGATAAAGTTATTCAATTATTCTTCATTGTAACCTAGTTGGTGCTTCTTTAATAGACATACCTTATGTTAATACCAAGTCAAATGATTTATGAACGTTTTCTGAATTTTAGATTTATTTTCGTCATTTTTCTATTTTCAATGGAAATAGATTGATTTTTTTGAAGGAATATCTCTGAATATTCTGATAGTTTCTCCATACATAATTCATTGTATTCTTTTACCCTATAAATATTATTAACATCAGAGATTGATATTTTTAAGCTATAATTAATTAATGCTAAACTATTATATTATAATCTTTTATCATTTTTATGGATTTAAATATCTATTAATTAATGTTACTAATGTGTTTTGCTGGTCTAACTTATTAATAAAATTTTATGCAGTTGCTTTAATTTATATGGTAACAATAATTTTTAAGCTATAATATTTTTTTAAATTTTTATTCCCTAACCGGATATTTTTAATCAATTCTTATTGCTTTTGTTTATCAGTATCAACTTAGACTATCTTTAGATGCTGAAAAGGGATAATAAACCCTAAATTGAAAATTAAATATATATATCTTAATAAAAGAATATCTAACAATTTTACTTTTCTTTGTCAAGTTTTAAAATTTCAGCCTTTTTATGGTTTTAAACTTTGAGGATGTGATTTGTAATTTTAAAAACTTTAGGAGCATTTTAAAAAAATTACTTTTAAGTTTGGTAGTTGTAACTTCTATGTTTCATGTGTCGGTGGTAATTTTTAAATGTCACGATATTTCTTACAACTCTAAAATTTTGAGATTGCTTTTTGTAATTGTTAAAACTGTAGATTAATTTTTAAAAAATTCAAATTTTAGCGGTCTACCAATAGTTTTCAGATTTGATGTGTACTGGTTATAAATTTTAAAAATTTAGAGTTTTTTTTATGATTTTTAAATTTGGAAAGCGTTTTTTCTATAACTTTTGTAACTTTGAGGTTAATTCCGACAAATTATAAATTTTTAGGTGCATGAAGGTACTCTCTTGAATTCATCTTTTGTTTGCAAATTTTAGAATTTTTAAATAATTAGGGCTGTTTTTTTAATAATTTGAACTTTTGAGGGTATTTCTATAGTTTTTGGGACATTGATGGTGTTAATTAAAAATTTTAAATTCTTTGAAGGCTGCTGTTAATTTCTTAATTTCATGTTTGTTATTTTAAGTTTTAAAATGTCAGAAATTTTCATGCATTAGAGAAATCCATTGAATTCATCTATGTTATTTGCAAGTTTTAAAATTTTAGAATTTCATGTGTTTGTTTATAATTTAAACTTTTGAGGGTGTTTCTATAATTTTTGAGATATTGAGATGTTAACCGCAAATTTTAAATTCTTTGTAAACTTGTGCTAATTTCTTGTTTTCATGTTTGTTGTTTTAAGTTTTTAGACATCAGGATAGTTTTTATAATTTTAAACTTTTCAGGGCATTTTGTGCAATTTTAAAACTTTTAGGTTTTTTTGCAATACTTTATGTATTATAGTACGTTAGCTACGTATAATTTCTTTATCTTAACAAACTAATACCATGAAGATATTTTATATATTTTATTAATTATTTTTTAATTGTTAAGCTATAGATAGTTCATGTAGGATTAGGATAAGATATAATTATGATAGATTAAGATATAAATGAAATATTTAAAATAGTGAAGGGTAATATTGACCATAGAAAGATTTTCCCGAACTCGTGCTTTTAATGGGAGTATGATTAGCAATATATGACTATCCTAAGACACAATGTATATGTAGAGTATATGCTGGTCTGTATGATTAAAGCACATAACCAAGTCCAATATAATAACACGACTATACTCAGATAGAAAAGAGCAAACACGAGCAGTGTAATAGTAAGAATACGAAAGAAGTATGCATTACAACCATAAATCAGAAGAAAAATCCCCTGAAATGTAGTGCCGTGAAGGTTTACAAACCTGTTGAAGTGGATCCATAGATGTTTTGAATTTGACAGGGCTGTCTTCCATAAAGATCAAGTACCCAAGAGTGTAATAAAAAGTTGTTCTGCTCCGAGAGCACCTATATTCTTCAAGAAATGGAAAGTTCTCCCTCTGACATGTAACATAAATGTCATATCTTAATAAGAATACCTCGACCCAAGTGTAGCAAGACCAGATATTACTAGACAATTAAGCTGGTAAAGAATCTGTTGATATAAAATTACCGTGTGATGTCCAATTATGAATTTGACAGTATCCAACTTGAGCAGCAGTTTGCCAGTCATATAACTGCAAGTACCATTGAAACGTCAATTAACCTGTACTTAGACAATTCTGGATATTTTATTAAAGAACTCACCCTGATGCAAGTTCGAGAAAGAGGGACAATGTGTGCTCAATAACCTCCTCGCACTGCATGCATCAATCACACAAAAAGATTAAATAGAGCTCCTTAGCAATAAAAGTGAGACAAAATGGCAGTGGACCAGTCACCTCAGTGTAGCACTTCAGGTTTGTAGCAATCTTTCCAATAATGACATTAAGCAGGACTAAATGATCATGGAGTCCAAGAAGTTCAGATAATCTGGAATATAGCTGCTGCAAAAATGGAAACCTTAAGAACATTATAAAGAAATGAGGCAACCATGCAGATGCAAACCGTTACTACCTTAGATGAATGCATTGCCTGATCACCAACATAAGACTTCCTGAAATTCTGAAAAAAGGTGATAATGGCACGATCAAGCCTCTGCTTGCTTGCTTCACAATATCTCTGCCAAGAGACAGTACTCAGTTTGAGTATCACTTTTGTTCATATTGATAACAAAGAAATACTATATTCCAAAACAGCCACCAGAAAATTGCCAATAGAAGACTGGTTGGAAGAAAAGGTGCTCATGCGTGCGTGTGCCCGCGTGCATGTGTTTGTACGAACATGCGTGCATAACTACTATAAACGCAGAAAATCAGTATGAGGATGCTCGAAAGAGTCCATGCTCTGCTCTTAAAACAATATTATGAAACTTTCTTCTACATAAAGGAGAGCAAATAGATGAATTAGTTCACAAGGTTTCTGAAGAGGGAAAAACATTTATAGGGACTTGAATGGATATGCAGGCAACGACAGCTATTACAATAACTCATAATAATTGTCATATCACCTAATTTTATACATTAAAAAAATAGCGGCAAGAAAAAAGGAGATTCAATTAAATCTCACTCTCCACCGTAAGTAAACCAGTACATAGAATAAGGGATAAGTAGGTAAATACATTAAATTATATTAAAACTCACAAATAGCATAGATTTTATCCAATTAAGACATCAAATTGAAGTTCAGGCACATTAAATGTAAATGGGTTCCTTGGCTTAAATACCTGAGAATGCAATCCACTGTCAGTGATATTTATCAACTGTAAGACACGAGCTGCAAGCTCAGCATCAATTAATTCTTGTGATGATTCAGTACTGTACAAGGGAGAAGAAAAGAAAAAACATTGATGCACCCACTTCACGAGATAAATAGAACAGCAAGCAACACTAAACATTCCACATACCTACAGCCAGTAGTCTGTCTAATTTTGAGAATGGCAGCAATGATGTGAACCATCCATGCAAGTTGCCCTTCAATCACAGAAAGTTCGTCAACATCCCCTGGGGCTCGTGATCTTCCTCTTTCCTGTAAACAGCTACAACATAAGCAAACACAGAATTGGGGAAAAAACAACTTTTCCCTGGTATTAATGCTAAGAACTTAGCAATGAAGGTCTAGATGGCAAATACCGTGTATGCCTGCAGAATAGGCTCCATGATCTTTATAATATATAGACTAGTGTTTTCATACTGCAAATAGAGAAAATAATGATACCTGTTAGAAACAAAGTAAACTTGAAGAGCATGCGTAAGTTAAAAAGAAAGTTGCACACAATCCAATTCTAAAAACATGCTAAAGTTAGAATACATGATCTAATTCTAACATAAACTTAAAATGAAAAAAAATTACATTTGCAGCAGGTCATAAAATAGGAACATTAAAGGAAAGCTGGAAGAACAATATAGTCTGAAGTTGTTAACCTGAAATCTGCAAAGGTAAGGAAAGCACTCCAGTTGATCCTGAAGAAGCTCCACATTGTCTAATGGATTCTCTGAGAGATCATCGGGAAAACCAGCCTGCAAGAGAAAATGAATGAGAGTAAGCATAATGTTAGCAACTTAAACAAAAAACATGAACGGTCATACCTGAACAGAATTGAACCTAGAGGTAATAAAACCTTCAGTGATCTTAGGCACAGTTTCATCTAAAAGACTCGGGGAATCACCCTTCAAATATGGCACGGATGTCACCAATCTAGACCAAAGCCCCAAAAGGTAGTATACACTAGTGCTGGCCCACTAGCAGAAAAGCAATAAACTATATCAAACTCGATGTCTGAAGTATAAATATTATTTGTGCAAACTTAAAGATGCCAATCTCTTGAGACCAGAACCATACAAGATAAAGAATACCAAACTAACCTGCCAAGACTGCAAGGACTTTGTTGTGAATTCAGCTACCAGACGAATCCATTCCCCATAAATTTCCACATTCAAAAGCTCCGACAACTGAAACAATCATAGGCATAAACCAATTAAAGACCGATTATCTTTTAAATGAATAGAGCACGTCCTCCAAGTTCCATATTATTACGATGCCTTGTTAGAGCCTATTTAAGATGGTTTGTAAATGTCTCAATACGCAGGAATTGCACCTTTCTTCTGCACGGCAGACATCTGAAGTATTTACTGAAGTTGTTCACAAACTTTCAAGGTATACTCACATTTTTCAATAGCCATTTCTAATTAAACATGGGAAATACAAATGAACCCCTTAGTGAGGTTGGAGCAGTGAGAAAAACAGCAGATCCAGCTATTTGGTTTATGATGACTTTTTCGCAGCAGAGTTGAAGGCTATTTTTCACTTTGACGAGCTAAAAAAAGGTTTCAACTGCAGGAAAACAAATAGTGGGTCTGCCGGTTTCCTAAAGCTGGAAATTCTTGCCACATATTACTTTATGAGGTCATAAAATTATTGATACTAAGATTTTAAATAAAAGCAATCAATTTCCACTAGTTTCAGCGTCACTCCCAGTTTCCCTATGCGAAGGTAACACCCAAAAAATATAGAAAGTAGTCGCTAAACCTCAGTCAACAAAGGCGCTGCCTGTAACATTCTGTTGCCATCTCATCATATTAGAGCACCCAGTCTACCAAGATATTTTAATATTAAATGCACAACAATCATGCACATACTTGAAAGAAACAACTTATATGGACAATCTGACTAGTGATCTTCAAACGTGCAAGTCAAGTTTACTTCTCTAGTAAGAAGTCTCATTCCATCCTTGAGAATTAATTTAAAATTTGAAAATGTTTGAAGAGGGTATAAACAAGAACTTCAATATAATTTCTTAATGTGCTTTGCCCTTTGCAACTTCAATTTAGAAGCCCATAAAAGGCAGGGCAATATCAATTAAATGTATCATGTACGCCTTTTTTTACATGTATAACCGCGAAATCTCTTGTATTTCAAAACGTAGCTCTCCAAAAAATGCTATTTTCCTTACTCCCTCAACCATACGTAGACACATTAGTTTATGCCACTATTCCTGTTTGTGAATAGAAGCGGAATATCATGAATTCTTCTGTTAAGCTGATTATAAATTTTCAAGCATGACTAAACTATCATTCATTACTCAATTAAAGCTATCTACTTAAATTTTTCTCTCACATTTTGACAAATTCTACCTCTTTTCTTCTTGCCAAACACCTCATTGGACACTGGCACCTCTTCCTCACTTTCCTATTTTTGTGGATCCGGACAAGATAAGGATCCGGATTTCGTCAGGATCCAAGAGCGCAAGCCAAAAAAAAGGAGAGAATGCATTTCTTTTACTCGTCCCAATATGGTTGATATTCGGATCAGGAATATGAATGACACTCGGATCAGGAATATGGATGATGCAGGAAGTCCCACAAGATTTCAGTTGCTCTGCTTAAGATTACAAAAGTTAGTTAGGATTTGTTTCTATCTTACTTCAATTAGAACAATGCAGTCGTATTTTATTTAATATTGAGCATTGCTTCGGTACTCCTAAAATAGGTTTTCATTTATTTTTATGTAACCTTTATTTAATTCTATTTTAAAGGGTAAAACTGTATTTTCCCTCCTACCTGCTTCCCCACTCCTTCAGACCCAAGTTACCCTATCTCTTCTATCACTCGTATTACAGAAGCTTTGCAACCTTAAATAATTATGCCCAAAAGTCAAATAACCACTGAGAATTTGATGCAAAACTTCAAGGTTTTGTTGAACGAATTCTTCTCAAACTATTATGATTCTAAAACCTTTTCTTTAAGTTTTAAGATCTTTTAAATTGTTAATTAAGATTCCCAAAGGAGGGGGAAATTTCAAATCCCATATCTTCTTTTCATATTGATTTATTAGAACATTTCAACAATTATTTTCACCCATCACCATCATAAAATAAAATCTACGAATAGATGAAATGAATTAAATCTAAACTAATAGATGGATGAAGTGTTGGACTGATGGAAGGACAAAACTCATGCTGACATGGAGGAAGAATTACATAAAAGATAGAAAATTTGAAATTAAGGGATTCATAGCAGGATCAGCAGCATGATGTTGACGGGAAGTTAATTAGGGATATTTCATGAAGAAGAGCATTATAGAGGAAAACAAATTCTACAAATCCCATTGAAAACATAAATCAATTACATAATTGGGTGTGGAACGCCAAACAATTATTACTCCAAGTAAACCGGAAAGATTGAGAGCATAATTTACAGAAATTATTTACGAAGGCTGCCATCTGTACAGCAGAAGACGTTTTGGGGCGTACCAAAGCTTTCACCATTAATATTTCAGTTTAGATATTTGGTTATGATGCTTTCTCGTTGAGATTTTCAGTGAAGAGAATATTTGATCTCTTTTTGGCATTAGGTTCCTGTTATAAACTAGGCATGTGAGTTGTCTATGATATAAGGCCCAAACTATATATGTGTTTTAGTTTTCTACATACACAAAATCTTAGCCATTCAAATAAATAATTCCAACCCAAATCAGTACCAAACCCAGCAGCATTCAAAATTCTCTTAGTTGTTGCTAATGTAAAAGAAGTCATTGTTTTCATTTCTCTCTTTCCAAGTCAGTCAATACAGCTTGTTCGAACCCTGCCCAGGAGCTCGAGTCCTCTTTAGGATCAAATCTGAGTTCGCATCTCCAAGCCATCACTGGGAATCGACGACGTCCTCTTCTGAACCTCTGATCTCATCATCTTCGCTAGATCAACATCGCCCAGAGTCAATCAAAGCACAGATCTGAACTCTTCCAATGTTATTTGCTGCTCAAATTCACTCAAATCTAACTATCCGTCAATGTCCATTCAACCACTCTCTCATATCTCCAGATTCATATAAGATTCAAATTTCATTCTTGTCCAATTTTGATAGACAAAAAGGGGAGAGTTGGATCTTTTGGCTATTCTTGAAGGATGCAGAAGAAGAAAGATAACTTTTATGGAATTTTTATTCATAGATTGTTGAAGGATGAATAAGGCATAACAAGTTTTTCACACTTGCACTGTTGGAAATCTAGCTCAATTAACATAAGAGATTGTCTAATGGTTGTGCATGAATTTTATTGGTAAATTAGCAAATAGCAGGATTTGAAGGGTAATTTTTAAAATACTGAGGCTTAGGGATAAGACATCTAAACAAACTTTCAAAAGGTACTACTTGATAGAAATACATCAATATAGAAATACAAAATTATAAGTTCTTCACCAGTATAGTAGCCTTACAATCTATAGATCACATTATTACCTTTTTTCTTTTTAATCAGACTCATCATCTGTGTTAATCATCATTGAGACACCATTACTTAGTAGTCCACAGCCATTAGGGTACCATCCAGCTGCCTATACTTTACACATCCATCTATCTACCTATCAATCATCTATATCCATCTATACCTATGCATTCATATACACACACAAATGTGCCGATTTGGGTGATAGAGAGAGAGAGTGTGTGTGGGTGGGTGTGGGTGTGTGTGAGAGAACACAGTCAATGTAGAAAGAACAAGTGAAAATGAAAAAAATAGAGCTCACGGTACCTGAGAGTTCACTTCAATAAAAAATGGGACGCAACCTTTCTAAAATAAAGTAGCATACCTGATAGTTTACTTTAAACCGCCCTAAAAGGCGACAAAACTCATGGTAGTTATCATGATCCACAAGCCCTGAAAGCAGTTTTAAATAAGAAGAAATTATTGAGATAACCCCAAGAAATATGCAAACTAAAATAAAGAAATAGCATGTAAACAGTAAGTGCACAGACCATGCTATTAAACAAGTAAAATAAAGCAAAAAAAAAAAGAGAGCCGTGATAACAAGAAATGAAAAATAACCCAATAAATGAAAAAGAACAAATTCAGTCATCCGCCAAACCATATTCCCTCCCCTCTTTTCTTGTTGTAAGACATACAATGATTGTTACATTTATGAAATAGTAGCCCACACATGAATACACTACAAATAGACTTGAGTTGCTGCTGTTAACAATGAACAAAAGTCGCAAGCAATTATAGAAATAAAATGTTACACGACCTTGGGAGAGCTTAGGTGCTCAATGGCTGAACGACTTAAAATAAATCAAAAGTAATTTTCTAATAAACTGATTATTTTCATTGATCGCCAGTAGTGTTTTAAATGTCAGCTTCCATGTGTGAAATGTTGGTCACCATGTCGGGTCTGAGGCATGGAGCAACGTCATGAAGCAGCCAACAGCATGCGTCATCCTTCAGAAATTTCCAGTGACTTGATGGGTCAAATCGAACATTACATGTTGTAAAAATCGCCTGAAACTGTTTATATTAGCCAAACAGTTTATTTCATTCTATGTTGGGTTTTTCTTTTAAGGTTACACCTAAAATCTCTTTCCAATATAAAGATAGAAGTGGTGAAAGATTAGGGTTCTTTATCTCCCATGAGCCCTGGTCTCCCAACATCAATAGCCTCTGTAGTAGCAGCAGCAGTAGTGAGTAGCACCAGGAGCAGCACAGTGAGTACTAACAGAAGACTTCTTGCAGTTTTTCTTTACTGGTGGCCCTCCCTCCCATCCTCCCTTTCATTAAGTCCCTCGTTATGAATGGAAAATCTTTCATGAAAAAAAAGCTAATGCTTAATTTGTTGAACTGGATGTTTCTGCTAAAACGGTTTGGTAACGATAACCATCTCGTCATGAAACAGCATCTTCTTCTCAGGAAACTCAACACAGCATTATAGATTTGTCATGTTTACAAGGTTCCCTGACAGTTACATATGCTTTTGTTTGACAAATATTTGGCACAAGCACAGAAAATTTTTCAAGGCAAAATGAGCTTAAAATTGTACTTTGGTCTTTCATCAATATGCAGTATGATTTATTAAGATGACATCCTTAATTAGAATCAGCTAGATTTAAAAAGTAAAAGGAAGATGAGAAATAAGAAAGCAAAATGCACTCAAGTATAACAAGAATGATGAAATTTCGAATTGAGAAATAAGAAAGAAAATGTGCTCAAGTATAAACAAGAATGATGAAATTCTGAAATAAACCTTTCCCTGTTTGCAAAATTTCTTTAGTTCCCGCCATTAACCTAGCTAAAAACTGCGATCGTCCGCCGTCATCCGTAAATAAAGAGCGCCTTACAGAAGCAAGCCTCACCAGACATTCCAAAGCCTGATATTTAAAGACAATTTAAAGATATAGCACTTATAAGAGAAGATACTGGAAATCTATTAGAAACCAGAACAACAGAATACACATCAACATGAAAATAAGAAAGATACAATTGGGCCTGTTTGGTTCAAAAATTGTGTTGAAAACGTGTGGAAAACAACTAACACCGTTTTTCTGTGTCAGACTATACAAAAAGTATTCCTATTCTGCTGTTTGGTACTTCAGAAAACTTTCCAAAAATGTCAGAAAATGTCATCAAAGATGAAAAACCCAATTCCGAGTTTTTAAGGTGGAATTGGATGGGAAACACATTAAGAAAATATTAAAATTAAGGGGCGTTGATTTTCAGGATTTCCTATTTCTTAGTTTTACTCCATTTAAATGATGTTTTCCAAAATACCAAAGTACAGATTTGTGATAAGAGAGGTTTTCCCCCTCATTTTTTTCTGCGAAACAAAGCAAAAAGAAGCTTTCCCAAGAAATGCATGAAAAACTCAAAAAAAAACATTTTTTTGCATTCTAATTCTATTCTTATATTACTTGGAAATGAACCAAACAAGCCCTTAGATAAAGGTGCCACTTCATGTGCCCTGCATACACGCGAGACAACACATAAGGGATGACCGTCTTTATATGCGCACCTCTTTTGACACAGGAGGCTCTGTTATCCCATAGTAATCGAAAAAAATTTGAACAGTAGAAGGATCCTCCAAAATGGATCTCCAGGAAGCTGGAATCTGCAGAAAATTTTAGCAGTGAAAATAATGGTCATTCACAGAACTTTGTGTTGTTACTTGACTTAGTGTTGAGAATATAAATTTTGCAGGAAACCATGTGTACTATGGTGAGTTGCAAATAACATCCTTATTCCTTAGTGTGGCACCGTCCTTAACATTACCATCCAGGTTCCTGCTTGTGTGTTTAGTCATGTAGTAACTGTTACAGTATCAAACATTTTATCTCTATTTTGCAAGAAAATATCTAAACAAAGAAAAAAAATCAAAGGCCAAAAAGTGGAAAGCAGGTTTTCAGTTGGTTAAATGACAGTGATAGGACAATTTCAATGAAAATCAGATGCAACTCAGGTGCCTGGATAACAAAAGAGTGTTTTCTGCAAGCTAACCTCTAGCATGAAAAAAGAATAAATAGACCGAGAGATCAATCAATGCAACAGCACAGATACCTGCACTGTACCGAACTCTTCAGAACTTTCATCTAGGGAAGTCCCAATAAAATCATAAGATAAACACCGCAATGAAAGAGAAACAGCAAGTTGCTTTAACACGCTTGAAACTGCAAAACACAAGATGAAATTATCACCAAAATGAAAAGAACATTAGAATGCCTGGAGAAAAAGCCAATGCATGAGATTCTCAAACGGTTGGAACCACCAAAAACCTTGCATATTCCCATCAGTTTTAAGCTGGTGCAGAGATGTCAGAGATATTTGGAATATTTGGAAAAGCGAAGGATCTTTGAAGCTGGTGGCAACCCGTCCGCATGATGTGTAAGAGGCATTCCTGGGTTTGGAGGTCAAATTTTACAATTCCAGATAAAATTGTTTCTCTAAAAGTTACAACATAAATGAGGTAAAGAACCCTGAGTTCATAGAAAGAGATTTAAATAGCACTAGTATAAACATTATGACGATTTCCTAAGAACAGGAACATATTGTTAACAGGTTTTATATGAAAACTTTATATGAAAACTCCCATAAAATAATTTCTCCTCATATCTGCTTCCTAATGAAATATTCTTTCTACAAGTCTGTTGAAATGAACCCTGAGATCATAGAAAAATATCGGAAATGATTGGCATGCTCCAGACTATTAACAGTAAGCCACTGGAATGCACATATCTTTTTCAAGAGTACAGTACTACCCTATGGCACAAGAATAACCTTTGCTGGAATCCAATATCTTTTCAGATTATAAGTTCATAACTAACTTATGATGAGGTTTAACAACATTGTGATTTCACTTTTAGATATGATTATATATCTTAGAACATCAAACCATGCTTCTAGGATGCAATATGAAGAGATCAATCTTGTTCCTAAACTGAGGATAGTTAGTGTAAGATGTTCTATTTATATAACAATTTTATTCTCTTCAATATAACAAAAACAATAACAGTTTGAAAAACCAGTATCAGCATCCTTAAAAAAATGCCCCAACTCCAGCATCCATAAAGGATTAAATCTTCCATAACGCTACATGAATAGTTTTAATGAATAAACATAATGCTTGAGATGAGACAACTCTCCTCTTTGGATCTACAGCGTAAGTCCTTAGGCAGTGCACACATGCCACAACTCCGCTATCCATACACTTAAATCTTCCATAAACTCTACATGAATAGTCTTAGAAAAAAACATAAACATGTCTCAAGTTAAGAAGAGATAAAATAACCAGAATAACTGTTTAATTGTAAGGCATCTAAAGATAGCTGTCTGAAAAAAATTTCTTTCTGACCTTAACACAGAAAGATTTTTGTTGTAAATTCAAATATCCACAACCCTCCTCTTTGTACATACAGCTTAATGCTTAGGCAGTGCACTTATATCTATCATTAACAATTATTATAGACTACAATTGACTCCAGGATATGCACTATTTATGAATGCATGAAAACAAAAGAACAAAAACTAGACCGTGGCTCTATGAATCAACTGTAACAGACAACCGAAACTTAGCTCCTAGAATCAATTTTTTTCGCCAGATTACACAAGGCTTTCATAGAAACTAATCAAAGATAAAAGAGCACAATGAAAGTGGCTCAATTTCATATTTTTGCAAATTTGTCCACTATTTAAATTTTTTTTATGTCGGTAGCTTAGGAGTAATTTTGCCTCTACATAGTACTAATGCATAACTCATATATGCTTAAGGCGAAGATTTGACTCATATGGCAAGACCCAGAAATATCATTCACATACCCACTTCAAAACTATCATATGTGAACGTATAACAGGGAGTACTAGATTAGCAAATGTTAGATAAGATTGTTTGATCCCATATTGGAAGGTTATTACTCAAACCATAATCATGTGAACCTTAACATGAAACTTTGATGTTAGAGTAAAACTCTCTCTTGCGTGCGCACTTAGGTGCCATTCGGCAAGGGGTTAAAGGAGAAGAGTCAAAGAGAAGGATTAAATTAGTTAACCCATTATAAGCGGTCAAAATAATTAAAATCGGTTTGGATTAGATCGTAAGGTGAAGGGTTAACTTTTTATCATCTGGCAATTAAAGAAGGGTTAAGGAAGTAATTCTGCTAATTTTTAGAAGCACCAAATATAACCTTATAAAAAGTAGAAAAAACTGCTAATGACCATGCAAAATTATATTCCGACTCTCTCCAAAATGCAAATACTCAGCAAATTAGCTACTGCACATTTTTATAATTTGTCTCTACAGAACTTTCAAGGGAATGATGTAAATCTGTAATGCAAATTGGTCATGGAAATTATATTTATCTCCAAGCTGTAATGAAACGATAGGTAAAAATGTAGAAATGTCAACAAGAACAAGAGAGCAGACAAAAGTTTCTTTTTCTCCCTTTTTTTTTTTTTTTGCCCTTTCACGAAGATGGAAGTAGTTGGTTATGAAATCATTTTAACGAAAAATTATTGGGAATCTGAAAGAGAGAGACAGAGCCAATTTAAATAATTAAGTAGCCATATTAATTTAAGTGTGAAATGAAACATTGAATTATTAAATCAATCTCAACTCCATCATGCGGTGACCCTTACAAATTTATATTTAAATATTGAAACATCAAAATTTTGCAGCTCCATGTTTCTTTGTGGTTTGTGTATAGCTTACAAACTGCCCTCATAAAGTTGTTGCAGATCAAAGTTAGATATCGAAGTAGCCGCAATTGATGGCCCCACATAATTTTTCTTTTTTCTAAATTACACTCCTACCCTGGCAATTGTAGGCGGACTAACCTCACATCGCCTCAGTAGGTGGAATAGTTAGGCCGTCATATGACAGGCTAACTTGCACTTAAACTTCACGTGTGAGGTTTTGTTAAGCTTTAGGCATTATTTGTTGTTTGGAGGGTTAAGGAGGTGTGGGTTAAGGAGGGTCACACCTCCTTAACCCTTCCATTAACCCATTGCCAAACAGGTCCTTGAAGAAGAAGCATCAAAGTTTGTGAGATTGACATGTCAGACAATTGGATGACATTTATAAAGAAAGCGAAATAACATCTGATATATTAAATCCTAACTAGATTCTATAAATAAAATAAAAAATAATCACTGTTTGAGATAAAATAACCACTTGTAAATGAAGAATCTGAACATTTGGACCTAGGGTGACTTGGTAGCTTACGTACATGCATGATAAGCATATAGCTTTCTGTGAACATAGCCATATGGAATATCTTACCCCAAAAATCATCTTAATGTCTTGACAAAAAATGATGAACTCGAAGTCAAAAAAGAAAGAACGCTACGCTATATGCCAAAACACTGTATGCTTTGAATACTAACTTACAGAATAATGCGCTAAAAAAGCTGTCACACACAAATATACACATATATAGTGTGTATGTGCACAAGTAACTGTGAAATTTTTCACATAGGCTAACCTGATTCATCTCGGAGACAAGCTGATTCAATATCTTCAAACCAATAGAATAATGACCAGATGTTGCCTGAAAAGGAAGGATGTGAAATGTTATACACAATAACATGCTTAAAAAATACATTATATATTTACATGACTATATCACGAAACCATCTAAAACAGTGAATAGTATACATGCATTCTTGGTAGCATCTTCATGAAGGATGTCAGGAGGTATCAGTCAAGCAGTAGAAGCAATCTAAGCATCCATTTAATAGCACAGAAACATTAAGGAGTATGTACAAGTGTGAATTTAAAGAATTGCCTGAATATACCACATTCACCGACGACAGTGACAATCATTAAGAAAACATTATTTTTCACCTTACAGTTAAATGTAACTAATCCAAACAAACATCAAAACTCTCTCCTTCCTTCCCCACCCTTCTTCTGTATGCATAGAGAAGAGTTGAGCTAATATCTACACTAAAGTGGACTTAAATTTGTCCATTCAAATCTTTAACCCTTCAGATGGATTGTGATCTATCATCTCTATCCCTCCCTCATTAGATGATGACAACTCTTCTCTTAGTAGATATCTGAGTTATCAAATCCATCCAACGGATAAAAAATTAGGTTGACAAAATCTCAAACCCACTTAAGCGGATACTGGCTTAACTCTACACACACACACACACACACAATAATAACAACAAGCTTTTATCCCAAAATTTTGGAGCCACTACATACATGATTCTTATTCTTCCATTCAGCTCTACTTTGGGTAATCTTCTTCATTAAGTTAACTGTTATCATATTATTCTAATTGCTTTCAACCAAGTTCTTGGTCAAACCTTAGTCATCTTCATCCCCTTGAACTACAAAATGTTATTACAATAGCAGAAAACGTGAAACGAAGAGCAGTACATAACTAAAAAATGAAATGAAAAGAATAGATAAAGAAAAAAGAAAGGAAAAACTCAAGAAGAAAAATGGAAATGAGGAAAAAGATGCATTAATAAGTAGGATCATCTATTTAGTAGGATGGTGTCTTCAATGCCACCTTAGGCCTTCTCCAGATACAATCTAAAAGCAAAATGACAAACTGCGGGGACAACTGCATCCATATCATGGTACTACACAACATGTAAGCATCAGCTGCAACATAATAAATGCTTTATGCCTAACATAAACTCTGACACATCAATCACGCTGCCTCACCCTCATGCCTAAGTTAAAATCTATGCTAGATTCGGGCAAAAACCTATAACCATGCTGCAGACAACTATAACACACAAAATAAAAAGATTGCACCGTTGCAGTCAGTTAGGAAAATAAGACCATAAACTTAACAGAGGAATATCATGTACCTTATTAGGTATATTAGCTTATTATCGTAGCAGTGTGCTTCTCCTATGTAATAGGTAGCAAGGTTTAATACAACCTTCAATCCATGTAAGCTTAACAAACAGAGGGATATCGGGTAGCTCGTCTACTATGAAGAAATCTTATGACAAAATCATTTTTATTGAACTAACACACATTGGGGTCCACTGTTCATGTGTGGTATGGAACCGACACCAAGGTATATGTTTGGTTCTTCTACATTGGGTTTCCTCATAAAATTTAATTACTGTGATGTTATCTATCTCTGCTGGTTATAGCTGGGCCAAATGGAATATGGGATCTGTGGAATTAGGGTTTGTACACTCTCGTGATGTACCTGAGGTTACCCCCATCCCCCACCCCACCCCCAAAAAAAAGCAAAACAAAACAACCAAAAAGTAAAAAAACACAAAACATACACATAACTACCATTTCCAAGACATACACATCTATACTACTTTAAAAAGAGGATTGGGGAGTTGAAACTTTTAATTTTCTTTTTTGCCTTCTCAAATTTTGATAAATTTTAACTAAGCCATTATCTCTAATTAATCTTTCATTAAATAAATATAACCTTTTATTAATTATGTACCTCCTCATCTTCCTAAATAATTATAATTATCGATAATATTGTAACTATTGATTGTTCAAAAATAATAAAATAAAATAATCTATAAAATAAGTATTACATAATTATTAGTAGTAACCAATTAAATTATTATAATTATTATTTATGAATTATAATAAAATAATTAAAATAACAGTATAAATAGAACAATATATTAATAAATACTATTAAGAAATATACTATAATTCAATGAGCAATAAAATAAATGGAATAAATTTTGACTCACATAAATAGTGTAATTATTTTAATAATATCAGGTAAATTACAAATTACACTATTTATTTAAATAAATTAAATAAATAATTTAATATTATTTTTAGAGTATTTTCTTAAAGATTATTACATGATACTAAATAATCTATACTTGGCAATGATTGAAAACTAACCTTTTTAAAATATATATATTTTTTATATTAATAACAGTACTATTATTGTTAATCATAGTATAATAAAATTTTATGATATATTTATAGTACTAAATTTTTTAAGAGCATAGTTAAAAAATTAAAATAGATAAATATTTTTATAGCATATAGACAATATAATGATTTTAATAGTATTATTTGAACTAAGAATTATAATATTAAATAAGGTAAATTATAGAAGGCTCTCATGAACTTTCAACATTTTGTAGTAAATGGACCCTATGAACTTTCAAAATCACACTAAACTTGTAATAACTAATAACTTTGTAGAAAGCCCCCAATGTCTTTTAGATAAATTACACCAAACCCCTAATAACTTTCAAAATGCCTTTTTATGCCATTTTTTGGTTATTTTCTCGTTCTAATTTATAGGGGTTATCTGCAAAATTCAAAATTTCATTAGAGGTTTTTTTTGAAACAGAAAAGTCATCAGGGTTTTAGTGTAATTTTGAAAGTTCATATAGGCTGAAAGTTCACAAGGGTCTAGTGTAATTTACCCTATTAAATAATTATAATAAGAAGTAACTATTACAATATGTTGCAGGTATTAAGTGTAACTATTTAGGGAACAGCAGAAAATAGCTAGCAAGATTAATGCAGCTTAGTTAATTTAGAGTTAAGTTAACCAACTTTCAAGTTAGACTTAGAGTAGCATATTCAAGAGAACTTATAAAATTTACGGTTTTATTTAAGAACAATTTAGATTTGGAGACTTATTTAAAAAAGATTAACATTAGGCGATCATTATAAGAAAACATTCAATTACAATAACTACACAATAATAATTAATTCATGCACTTCGTTTTAAGCCATATTGTTATACAATTTTATTTATTAACACATAGTTTTACTATTCAGAATAAAAAATTCAAAACTTAAACATGTAAGTTCTGCATTATACTAGTATATTGAGTTACCACTGAGCCATCGGATACACGTTTTTTGTGATCCAGATCTGTTTCCATTCCCATGCAGCCTAGTCATTCATGCTTCAGATAAATAAGAGTTAGCAAAAATTATGATTCCACAAGTGGCACAAATTTTCTCCTGAGTCAAATATTTCAGATGTTGGTGCTTGGTGATTATCTTACTTGGTTCCTCTAAGTTAAACCTTGAAACGTTCTGCTTGGAAGTTTTTGTGCTACACAAATTCTGATTATCAGATATTACACGTTCAATATAGGTTATGTAGCTTTATTTGCTGATATGGTTGTCAAGCACTTGATCAATTAATTTTCAACAGAAAAGTTTCTTTATGAACAAAACATTCTCCATGCATGAATAAGCTCTTCCATCTAGAAAGAGTCTGCAAATGGATTTTCCTATCTTCACATTGACATCCCTATGATCTGTCCAGGAGAATGTCGTGCAAAGAATATGAATGGCAGCAAGCCTTTATTGCAAACATGTCCATAAAAGATTAGCAGCCAAAATTATCAGCTTATGAAAAATCATTGATGTCAATGCACATTGTGCAATGTCGTGTGCAAAGTCCCTTCACACGCACATGTGCAAGGCGTAGTGTGACGTGCGCGCCCAAGTGAAGCGTGGCGCACACCAATCTCATGATTTTTTAAAATAGGTAGTCAAGCATGAAAAAACATGTTTATTAATTTTCACATAAAATTATGTCAAGATAAATAATATCTACAACCAAATAACATAATAAGATCTTAATTCATAATGCTAATACACCCAACATAGTACTAAGGGTGTGTTTGGCAATTCCAAAATAGGATCGGACAAGAACTAGTTCTTGCTTAACTAGGCTAGAGTTGGTCCCTCTAGGGGTGGTCCAAAAGAGAACTAGTTTTAGGGCTAAAGTTCAAACTAAAAAAACTAGTTCACGTTTGGTCCAAGTTTTATTAATCTAAAAACTAGTTTTTGGACCATACTTGTATCCACTAAAACTAGTTCTTTGGAGTTGCCAAATTACCAAATCAGAAGTCATATCAAGACTAATATTGAAGCAAAATCAAATAGTAACCGAGATGAGTTAGGGTCCTCAATCGGCTAGTAAAATAGCTTAATGGGTTTATTTTTCTTTTTGGGATATGGATATTGGGTATGAAGACCCTATGAAATGTTAAGAACAAACATATATGAGGCTATGCATTGCATGTGCCATGGCTCAGGGCACTTGCGAGGTGCAAAAAGCGTTGTTGCATCACATGTGTGGTCTTTTCGCCACTGCCGTACATCCCAAGGGTGCACAACGCACAATGAGGCATGCGCCGTCAATGAAATTGTGAAAAAGTAAACAGTGTCTAAATGTCCTTTACCTAACTGCACGTTGAACCTATGAGGATTCAACTATAAGCATACACACCAGCAGATATAGCTTTTTTGTTTTTAGAATATAAAAAGCATAATCTTCTATGACGGAGTACTGATCAAAGGTTTTGTAAATTATGATTTTATGAGTGAAAAATGTAAGTTTAAGGGCTACTAACATGCCTGGTGTATAAATGTATAATTTATTGCAACATAAGACAATTGAGAGGATATATGCTATACATTTTGCAAAGATTTAATCCTGTTCCTTTCAGCAAGGTAATTTAACTTAGCTGGACTAAGTACTGGATGACCAGAAGTCCAAACTTTATGAATCTCGAGTTAGGAAATATAATACATATCCTAACGAGCATAAGAATGTTCAAAAGAAAAATAAACAATACTCATGGACTGAAGTAGAAATATTTAGCATTCTGATAAATATGTACGCACCAGAGAGTAAGACCCATGATCTGACTTACCTGGCTTAAAAAGTTCGCAGCTTCCTTAACTATGTCTTTGAATCTGTCATCATCAAACCATCCAAATTTTGTAATTCGACATAATAGTAGAATCAGAGATCCAGTAACAAAAGTCTGCAATTCAGGTCCTCTTGTAGCTAGGTAGCTTAACACATAATTCCCTTCACGCAAATAACAAGTAGGTCAAATCAGGCGTTTGTGCAATAAAAGTGAATCACTGTCTAAGACTGGCCTCAGTCATATAAAACCATTAGCCTCATGTAGCGAAAATAAAGGAAAAATTGCTAACAAAGAAAAAGTGTCAGTAGTCTAGAGGACCAAAAATCCAGTGACATAAACTATATAGTCCATCAAAATCAACATAAAAGCAATGTAGAAATCCAACTGTATAAACTTTACTAACTATTTCAAAGGGGAAAAAAGAAAAGGAAATTTCAAATGATAAGAGCTATTCTACTATAACGCCAATAAATTAAAAGAGTGAAAAATGGTTCACATGTAGATACTAATAAATAAATAAATATATGTGTATATGTGTGTGTGTATCAGAACAGAAGTATTACGAATATCAAGCCGCAATTGCAAAGAGAGACTGTGCTCTGTCACTTGCTTCAACAAACTTGAACTAGCCAACATCAAAGCATAAGGAGTCAAAGCATTATCCAATATATACTGGCACTGTGAGATGTAATCAGTATTCACAGAAAAACACTTCAACGTGCTTTCTGCAAGAGCTCGTTCAGCTGAATCCTGAGAATTGTAAAGCCTCTCACACAAAGCTTCCAGTTGCGCTAAGCTCTCCATTGATTGAAGAGCAAGAGTATTTTTAATATTCAGATAAAGGATCCAAGACCAATGATGTAAGCAGTTTCTGTTCCCACGTAAGTGGATACAAAAGTACGAGTTTCCTGGAAATGGTGCCACAGATCCAGCAAGAAAATATGCTGACCTAATAGAATCTCGGTTCACATATAACAAAATATACTGCCAACAATGTTAAGGAGATGAAATACATGATAAGAAGATTGTTGCACTATACACGAGTACAGCATGGTATATTTCAAATAGAAATAGTTTCAAGATACACAACAGTCAAGAGAAGTTCAAAACTAAACAGGTAGACAATAGCTAATGCCCTTGAAGTAGATCGTCAACTTTATTTCCACAATGATCAATCCAATGGAAGCATCACTCTGCACAAAAATATATATATCACAAAGTAAGATTAAGGATGAAAATGAAAACAATGTTTCAGAAAGACAGAATAGTAACTTAGTAAGTAGACAAAAGTGCAGGAGTTCTAAATTTGTGGATAACCATTTAAGTATGTGTATCAAGTTGTAACAAAGTGTCATAACAAACTAGCAATCACGCAAAGTAAAAACCTATAAGGTAAAATATTACAATAAATGACTACAGCCAGAGACTTATACGAGAGAAGTAAAACAAATAAGAAACTCTGTGCAACATAAATCACAGAAAGATAGTTGTCCCATTGCTTGGCCTGGAATTATTATTTTGCAAGGCACCAGATTAAACTGGCAGAAAAACGAAAATCACCGTTTCTTCTTTAAGAAAATAACTTGTGTCTTGAGGTAACAAAAATATCAGGCTTAGACTAGTTTGCATAACCACCATGGAGTTGCCATGTGCCAAAACCCCATTCATCTCTCATAAACAACTTCAGCTTATCGTCTCTCACATACAACCTGTCTCTATCAGAGATATAAACCCTGAGACCTGATGTTGATAGTACCTACATACGTTGACTTATAATACTTTTGAAAGTGACATCTGATTTGCAGTGTAAACTATAGGAACATCAAAGTGCAATATATTCCAGATCCTAAAAGGTCGACGTAGCACTTGGCAGACAATAACCGCCAAAGCCTTTATGAGGATAGTGTAGCATCTAACAATCTAACATAAATCATTTCTGATATGATTGTATGCTCCTATATAGAATCCACTATTTCACCATCCTACAATATCAAGTGCATCCACTGAGATTACGCTCAAAATCAATCTTTAGAATGAACAATTTCTGATTCTAGAGCAATACCACATTAACTTTTGCGTCCCTGTTTTATATCTGGTGGTTAATATCACTCCTAAACTCTTCTAATAAAAAACCAACTAAAAAAATATACATCACTCTCTCTTTGTCAGTGTACTGTTGGAAAAAAAATAAACATAAATGGACCGAAACCAAAAGTAAAGCATAACTTATACCAATCTAATGTTTCCAAGTTCTCTACGCAAAGAATGCCTACTTTAGTTCATGATCAAGTAAACTTATACCAATCTAATGTTTCCAAGTTCTCTACGCAAAGAATGCCTACTTTAGTTCATGATCAAGTACTCCGCTCAAGCATCCACAAGAACTCTACGTCTCAAGACACCCACAAAATCCCAACAAATAATGCAAAGGTAGCGAGGCGGTTAGGTTCTTCGCTGACTTTTCCACGAACAAAAATTGCCTAAAACTACTGCCCTTCCTATATTCCACCACCACATCATGTCAAGTGCACTTTTATCACACATATCCCATAACAATACACTCCACAAACACCTTAAATGGGGTCTTCATTCTTCAAGCGCGTATTCTTCGACTAAGTATTGCAACTTCTCTAATAATGCCAACTGAGTATTTGTATCCAAGATTGATCACACCGCCGCCCCCAAAGGGGAAAAAACAAAAACAAAAACAAAAGCATAACAAAACAAAAACAGTCACCTCTGCCATTGTTTTAGTTGTTTATCATCAAAATTCTGATGACAAAAATAATCTCTGACAACTTTGCCTCCTCTCTCTTCTTATATTGAAGTGTCATGTCAGGCCCAGTTAATCAGATTTGTCTTCAGTGAAGAATGCGCCGAAGATGGAAAACATCTTATATATTGGTTTTTAAGGGCTATACACCGTAATAATCCAAGAAAAATGTACAGATGATGTCAAACGTTTAGTTCCACCCATATCATGATGTGAGTTAGTAATAATCCAAGAAAAATGTACAGATGATGTCAAACGTTTAGTTCCACCCATATCATGATGTGAGTTAGAGTTTATCAACTCACCCCCTAAGCAGTTACTATAATTAGAAAGTTTGATTAATCGAAAATAGTATAATATCATATCACTCTTGGAGCATCGAGGATATGAGCTGAGGTTTATAATGCATGACTGACAGTTAACAAATAAGTCCGCAATTTATTCTAAATTGAAAATTTCTCCCATGCATCTGGCATCCTCGTAAATACTTCACACATACTGGTTTGGCAATCTATTAAATATTCTCTGATCTTACTTCATAATTTCAAAGAAAACTATATCAGCATAAGAACAGATATTCGAGGTAAGTTCGCAATCATCTAATTTCAACTATAAAAACATCCGGTCCCGAGCATCTAAACCAAAGATCACGAAGGGACAGCACCAACCTTGAAAATTTATTTCAGCTAAAGCTTTTATCTCATCAAAATAACAAAGAAATTAGTACAAGCCATAAGCATATAGCACAAAAGAACTAAGGGGGGACTCAATATAAAACAAAGTAAACCAAATCCAAACTAATCATATCTGCAGATAAACAGATTCCACAAAATATCTACATTCCTAAAAATCAGCTACCCTATCCAAAACAACTAAACGTTTCGATACAGCAACTCTCATCTCGCCATCCAAACAGTGATTAACCAAGATTCAAGCTTTCGTCATCGTCAACAAACAAGAAACAGCAACCAAAATGAAATCCATGCCACCGTTTCAATCTAATCGATCGTCTCCTTTATCCCTCTGGTTTACAGATTATTGAGTAAAAAAATTAAACAATCCGTGTGATCAGAAACTCGGTTTGGGTTGAAGGCTTACTTGATATTGGGAGATCGCTAGGGTTTCCTACGACGAAATCCGATAGGGTTTTCTACGATGAGATCGCTAGGGTTTCGAGGTCTCGAGAGGAGGATCGCTTTAATCGCTAGATGCGAGAAGCTTTCTACAGACACGGAGGAGAGGAAATAGAGAGGCGAAAATGGGGGGATAATAATTTAGGGTTGTCAGAGGGCGGCATACTCTGACCCGACCCGATAAGCAGACCAGTGTCCGTACAGGGATACATACAGAAGGATTAGGGGTGAGCACGGTTCGGTTCAAACCGAAAAAACCGACCGAACCGACCCGAACCGATCCGAAAAAAGCGGTTTTATGAGTAAGGCGGTTCGGGTCGGGTTGACAATTTTTCAAACCGACCCGACCCGAACCAACCGAATATATTCCCTTGCCTCAAACCCTACCCGTTTACCTGTTTACCCAAAGACAAAGCAAGTCCGTTACTAAAAAATTACAACGTCAGAGTCTAGTATTTAATCCAAAAGGACAAGTTACTTCACTTAAAAATAGTATACATACATGAGCAAGAATAATAAATTGAAGTGAAGTTAAAAAATAAATACATGTTGGCATAGGGTAATAAGAATATATAAAAGATAAATTGAAGTGAAGTTATACTTGATGAAGTTAGAACCGAACAAACCGAACCGAACCGCACCGAACCGATTTGCAATGGTTCGGTTCGGTTTTGAATTGTAGGTGGTTCGGTTCGGTTGTTCAAAATTTGGTAAAAACCGACCCGAACCGAACCGTGCTCACCCCTAAGAAGGATAATGGATGGGTATGAACGTATGCATATTGGTATTGATTGTCAGAATACGAATATGAATACTAAAATCTACCGATGTGTATTTATGAATGAGAATATGGATATGAGTTAAATATTTGCATGCGGTCCGTATTTGAACATTTGAAAATATATATCAATCAGATGGCTGAAAAAAAATTAATAGATTTAAAATAACTTTTTTAAAAGTGGGACTTAAAACTAGCTCATTAGGATTTACCAAACATGTAGATATGGAAAAGCTAACTTAAAAACCCCTTTTAACAAAAAATAAGCCCCACAAAATACTTATATTCACTTTTTGTTTTCGTCATTGAAACACATATGTATTTGTTTTGTATTTTTATTCACGGCTTTTCAAGTCATACATATATGATAGGTGCTATATTTGATCTATATATGTTATCAGCGGGCATAGATAGCCTTTAGTCGGGTATTGTACCCGTTTGACGAATTTAGACTTCGGAAGCTGAGGACGTGCACTCAACTTCCCAAGTTGCGGTTTAAGATGGGAACCGTCCGTTTAAATAGGGAATTTTACCCGCTCTGAATGAGAATAATTATATGTGAGATGAGGTAACTTAGGAAGGGGTTCTTCTTTTGTTTCTTTTTTCTTTTTGCTCTTTGGATGGTTTATTGTGAAACATTTTTTCTTATCCTTATTTTTGTTGCGCGCAGCGGAAATTTCGACAGCACTCGGCAGCACAACAAGAGAGTCAAGTCGCAATAGGAATTCTTATTTCACAAAGGAAACAAGAACCAAAAGTAAAATATCTCAACAAAGTGAGATATCAGCTCTTCCTCTCATCGGTTCTAGGACTGACCTGTCAAGGGAACCTAAATTAGCTATTACAAATCACACAACCAGCGAGACAATCAATTTTACGTGGTTCGGCAATTTGCTTATATCCACGGGGAGAGGATGAGGAGATCCAACTAAATCAAGGAGAGTACAAAGGGTTACAATCTCACAAAACTCACAAACTAACCCTCAATCAAAGCTCTGGAGAGTACAAAGGGTTACAATCTCACAAAACTCACAAACTAACCCTCAATCAAAGCTCTCAACTTGCTCACAATATCTCCCTCTCACAATGCTCAAAAAACTCACAAACTAACCCTCAATCAAAGCTCTCAACTTGCTCACAATATCTCCCTCTCACAATGCTCAAAAGTCTCTCTAATCTCGGATTACAACTCTCCTCTTTTTGATTATTCTAATCTCTTTTAAGGCGTTCCATATATATAGAAAACCTAAAACCAAAACAAACTACGAATCCTAAAACCAAAAACAAAACAAATTAAGAATCCTAGTAACCTATTACCAAAACAGATTAAGAATCATGTTAGCAAAATAGATTAGGAATCATAATAACCTCATGTTACCAAAATAGATTAGGAATCCTGCTATCCAACAATTCTCTACCTCGGCGAAGTATTCCCAAAACTGAGCTGACACCAACATGAGCACCAATGCGTCATCTCACCAAATTCGGCTGCACCAATGTGGTTGCCTATGTACCCCCTCTCCTAAGGGATCAAGCCGCCCTTAGTTCATCCAAATGGTCGTCAACGGTCTCAACAATTACGAATGTGCAACAAGCTTCTACAATGATTAAACTTGTTGCTCGGAACCACCTTAGTGAGCATATCCGTCGGATTATCCTTCGTGTGGACCTTCACAATCTCCACATCGCCATCTTCAAGAACATCTCGAACGAAGTGATAACGAACGTCAATGAAGAACATCTCGAACGAAGTGATAACGAACGTCAATGTGCTTCGTTCTCGCATGAAAAAACTGATTCTTAGCCAAATAGATAGCACTCATACTATCACAATAAATAGTGACGGACCGTTGCGATATACCAAGTTCCTCCAAAAGTCCTCGAAGCCAAATAGCCTCCTTCACAAAGCCTCTGTTATCGCCATATACTCTGCCTCCGTCGTAGAAAAAGCCACCATAGATTGTAAGGTGCATCTCCAACACACCGGTGCACGGGTCAAAGTAAACACATATCACATCGTAGGCCGGCGCTTATCCAAATCCCCAGCATAATCCGAATCAACATAACCAATGCATAACTGCCCACATATAGTGTCCTGCTCATAAACCAAACTAATATTGAGCGTACCTCGAATGTACCTCAAAATCCATCTCACGACATCCCAATGACCCACTCCTGGATCGTACATGTATCTCGAAACCATGCTCACCGCTTGTGATAAGTTTGGCCTCGTACATACCATCGAATACATCAAGCTCCTAACCACGCTCGCATATGGAGTCTTCGACATCAACTCTCTATCTTCAACTGTCTTCGGTGAAAGGTCAGCTGAAAGTTTTAAATGGGCTCCCAAAGATACACTAACTAGCTTTGTATCCATACTAACATGAAATTGTTGTGGAACCTTCTTCAAACAAGTCACATGTGTCAAACAAATTCTGTCCTTCTTCTTATCTATGTCGATCTCCATCCCTAAAATGCACTTCGCCTCACCTAAATCCTTCATCTCAAACCCCTTTGAAAGTTGTGCCTTCAACTCATTTATAGCATATCTAGAAATAGAAGCAACCAGCATGTCATCGATATAAAGTAACAAATAGATGCACGCACCTCCTTTCAACTTGTGAAAATATACACAAGGATCAAACTGGCTCCGAGTGTACGAATGACCAATCATAAAACCATCGAATCGCCTATACCATTGTCTAGTAGACTGCTTCAAACTGTATAGCGATTTCTTCAACCTGCAAACCAACTTATCTTTCCCTGCAGCTCAGAATCCCAATGGCTAAGTCATATATATTTCTTCATTAAGATCACCATGAAGAAATACCGTCTTCACATCTAACTGATCTAACTCCAAACCATACTATGCTACCAAAGCTAGCAAAATCCGAATCGAAGAGTGCTTCACCACCGAAGAGAAAACCTCATTATAGTCAATATCTTTCTCATGTGCATAGCCCTTCGCAACCAACCTAACTTTGAACCTCAATGGAGTGCCTCAATGCCCTCCTTTTTTGTGTATACCCACTTACAACCAATTGCCTTCTGCTCCTTTGGAAGCTTAACAAGCTTCCACGTATCATTCTTGTGAAGAGACTCCATCTCCTCTTACATAGCCACCTACCACGAATCAGCCTCCGAACTCTGCTCGGCCTCTCTGAATGTAGTAGGCATCATCTCATCGATACTCTCCACCGGAAGTGCATACGCAACTGTGTCGGCATATCGTGCTGGCAATCGTATGTCTCTCCTCTGTCTCCGAACTGTAATAGAATCCTAAACCTGAGTCGTCGGTCACTAATCCTGCACATCAGTACCCGTATCCATTGTGTTACCGCCGTGCTCGCCTGACATCACCTCAGTCGGCACTCTAATGGATATTGCACCATCTGGACACTATGGAACTGCATCGATCTCCACCACCTGTAATATCTCCTCTGTCGGGTCGCTCTCCACCTGATGAGAGCTGGGAAGCTTTAAGATAGAAGCATCATCGAATGTGACATCCCTACTAAGCACAATCTTTCTATCAACTGGATCCCATAGCTTGTATCCCTTGATACCACGCTTGAATCCTACAAATATGATCTTCTTCGCTCGAGGTTCCAATTTATCTATTCTCACATGATAAAATGCAGGGCACCCAAATACATTGAGCTGGTCATAATCGTGTGCTGGCTCTCCCGACCACATCTCCATAGGGGTCTTCCCCTTAATCACAGATGAAAGGCAGCCTATTAATGAGGTGACTCGCATATGTAAGTGCTTCAGCCCAAAAGATCTTCTCCAAACCACTCTGCGATAATAAATATCGGACCTTCTCCAGTAAAGACCGATGTAATCTCTCTGTCACCCCATTCTGCTGCGGTGTATGACTAACCGTGAAGTGACTCTCTATGCCCTCGTCTTGACATAGCTGCAGAAAGGGGTCTGATGTATACTCGCCGTCGTTGTCGGATCGCAACGTCTTGATCTTTCTTCCAGTATGCAGTTCCAACCTCTTCTTCCACTCTACGAATATATCTAGAACTTCACTCTTCTTTGCCGTGGTGTACACCCAACATCGCCTAGAATAGTCATCAACGAACGTGACGAACCAATGTCGACCACCAAGTGATACAGTCTTGGTGGGACCCCAAACATCTGTGTGCACATAATCCAGGATGCCCCTCATCCTATGAATGGCCGTCTTGAATTTTACATTCGTCTTCTTACCAAGAACACAGTGCTCACAGAACTCAATTTTTCCACTCTTGGCTCCCTTTAATAGTCCCTGCTTGCACAAAGCCTGCAGTGGCTTCTCTTCTATGTGCTCCAACCTATAATGTCAAAGCCTGCTCATGTCTGCCTCTGAAATAGCTGAAGCAACCTGGCCAATTTAGATGCTCCCCTTCAGATAATACAAGTTTTAACTACGGACTCCCTTCATCACCACCAAAAATCCCTTAGTAACCTTTGCTACAGCGTCTTCAAAGGTCACATTGAATCCTTTTGCCTCCAAAGCTCCAACTGAGATAAAATTCTTCTTTAGCTGATGAACAAATCTCACCTCCTCTAATTCACGGACTACTCCATCGTGCATCCGAATCTGCATGGTACCTATCCCACAAATGCCACAGGATTGATCATTTCTCATAACAATAACACCCCCATCGAGTCTCTCGAACGATGTAAACCAATCTCGCCTAGGGGTCACATGATAAGTAGCATCGGAATCAAGCATCCAATCTGATACATCTACATGGTTCACCTCCGAAGTAATCAATAGAGAAAAGCTCGAATCATAGGAATCATCGTCTTTTGCAATATTCACATCATTGGCCTTCGGGCCCTTTTTTCTTGTCATTCTCCTTCTCCTTGAGCTTCAGACAGTCTCTCTTCCAATGTCCTTGCTCCTTACAGAATGCACATTGGTTCTTTGCTAATTGGTGGTGGTTTCTTGAATTTGATTTTCCTCTATTACCACCTTTTGGATATGAGTTTCTACCTCTCGTCGACAAGGCCTTGCCTGAAGTACTAGCACGAGAAGTCTCCTTATCCTTCTTCCTCAAATCATAATTCGTCAATGCATTAGTAACTTCACTATAGCTGATAGAAGATCTCCCGTTCAACAAAGTGAGCACAAAGGTGTCATACTCCTCATCCGGTAAGGAGCCCAATAAGATAATAGCCTTGTACTCATCCGAAATATTCTCATCAACATTTGCCAAGTCCGACAATAACTTCGTATAGTTGTTCACATGAGCCGCAAGCGAGGTGCCTCTGGACATCTAAAATCTGAATAATCTTCGCAGCAAATACAATCTGTTCTCAACACTTTTCGTAAGATACTTGTTATTGAGAATTTCCCACATCTTCATTGCAGACGTCACCCCAATCACATCATACTTCAACTCATGTTCTAAACAGGACTTGATCACCCCACAAGCGTTCCTATTCATCTTTTCTCATATCGCCTCTTCATATTTTGGTGGTCTCTCATGGACCATGATGGTCTCCTCTCTTCATATTTTGGTGGTCTCTCATGGACCATGATGGTCTCCTCCAAGTTCTGAGCATTGAGCGCATCATGTACGTCGCTCATCCACAAACCAAAGTTGATTTTACCGTCATACTTCACCACATTAATTTTGGTATTCTGAAAACCAACTTGAACTGTACTCGTCATCGTCTTGCTGCTTTCACATTCTTCTCTCATTGCAAACTAACTCCAAGTTGTAGAGAAAGAATTAAACTTTGATAAAAATTAAGAATTACCCAACTGAACCCTAGATCGGATTCTAAATAGATCTCCTGTCCACACGAGAAAAGTAAAATCTCCAACAGCAACTCCTAATGCTATCTCCACCGAAGCCTAGAACTCCAATAACCAAGCTTCACACAAGAATATTCCTCTACCTAATTCCAAAACCCTAGATCTAAAATTCGGGCTCTGATACCACTTGTTGCGTGCAGCGAAAATATCGGCAGCACCTCAGCAGCACAACAAGAGAGTCAGATCGCAATAGGAATTCCTGTTTCACAAAAAAAAAGAACCAAAAGCAAAATATCTCAACAAAGTGGGACATCAACTCTTCCTCTCATCAGTTCTAGGACTGACCTGTCGAGGGAACCTAAATAAGCTTTTACAAATCACACAATCAATGAGACAACCAATTTTACGTGGTTCAGCAATTTGCTTACGTCTACAGGGAGAGGATGGGGAGATTCCACTAAATCAAGGAGAGTACAAAGGGTTACAATCTCACAAAACTCACAAACTAACCCTCAACCAAAGCTCTCAACTTGCTCACAATATCTCTATCTCACAATGCTCAAAAGTCTCTCTGATCTCTAATTACAACTCTCCTCTTTTTGATTATTCTAATCTCTTCTAAGGCGTTCCACATATATAGAAAACCTAAAACCAAAACAGACTAGGAATCCTAAAACCAAAAACAAAACAAATTAGAAATCCTAATAACCTATTACCAAAACAGATTAAGAATCATGTTACCAAAATAGATTACGAATCCTAATAATATCATGTTACCAAAATAGATTAGGAATCCTGTTATCCAACAGTTTTGATGTGACATTATCTATTTGAAAAAAGATATTCAAATATGCGATTGTCCTTTCTAAGACTAAATCAAGTAACAAATATTATTAACTGCTGATAACTTAAGTCTATATTTTGTTTCTCATCTTGTAACAAGCGAGAAAATGCTAGTCTTACAGCACGATCGCGTAAAGATAAGGGTTTACCATAACTAATTTTAATCTTAAAATTTACTTAAAATTATTTAATAAGAACTCTAATAATGCCAACAGATATAACATTTATAATTAAACAATAAACATACTATTTGCGTTAGAAGATTTCCTTGACATACTTCCACCCCTAGAGGCTAGAGCATAACTTGAAGTCAAGAGAACTCGTTTGGTTTAATTCCAATAGTCCATACGCAGGCAGAGGGAATTGAGGAATTAAGTTAAAACTTACTCAATTTAGATCCTTAAAATCTAATTGATCGTTTTTATACGTCATGCTTGTAGGATCTGAAATAGATACACTTGAACACTAGAGGGGGGGTGAATAGTGTTCTTTTAAAATTATTGCAAAGTAGATAATAAATTGCAAAGAAAAAATGGCAATCTCAGAAATTTGCAAACACAAACACAAGGATTTTATACTGGTTCCACCAAACTGGTGTACATCCAGTCCCCAAGCAAATCCCGCTTGAGAGTTTTCACTATGATTTTGAATAAACTTACAAAATCAAATACAAACCTGACCAATTTGCAAGTTCCTGCAAATTGCAACACCAATTGACAAACTCCTTGTCAATTTGAACACCAATCTCTAACCCAAGAGACTAACCCTCTCACAACCGAGAGAAAACTTGTTGAAGAAGAACACAATGATCCTATAAGCCTTGAATGTGTAATAATGTGCAGCAGTGGCTTAGGATTCTTTTAATCTCTGTAAAATTGCCTAATTGATTTGTTTTTGATGAAAGTATATAGGCAATTTCAGAAACTCTTCTTTTCCAGAAAATCAGAATGTTTTTCACTTGGAAAATTGCTCAAGAATCAAAGCTTATGGGTATGTATTTTTCCAATTTTTCTGAACAAATAACCTATATATACCCCTTGAAAAGACAAGTTTTTAAAGTTTGAAAACGTTTAAAAACGGCCAAAAACTGTCAGATATTCAAATTCTGAAAACTGAAAAACTGTCTCTTGTAGTCGACTACTGTAGTCATTAGTCGACTACACTGAGTTCAGACAGACTCTGTGTTTTCGGAAAATGTTCTCAGTAGTCGACTATAATGATAATTAGTCGACTACACTGAGTTCAGACAGAAACTTGAAAACTTATATTTTTCTTCAGTAGTCGACTACTGTAGTCATTAGTCGACTACACTGTAAAAAGACAGAAACTTATGTTTCTGTCAAACATCTCAGTAGTCGACTATAATCTCTATTAGTCGACTATACTGTAAAAAGACAGAAACTTGTATTTGAGTTATATACATGAGTAGTCGACTACTATCCTAATTAGTCGACTATTAAGATCAAATATTCAGAAATAATGAGTTTTTATAATTAAGTTTTAACTATTATTCTAATGGTTAACATAGGGGATTTCTATAGTTAACCAACACACTAAGCCTGTGTTAGTGTGTACTTAAATTGTGTGTGTGTGCGTGTGTGTGATCAAGGCTTGTACAAAATATTCTAGGTAAAGAAAAATACAAATACATTATCTTTTGTTCTTCATTTTCTTTACTTCAAAATGCCTTGATATCCACTTGCACTTGTTCATATTCTGATATTGAAATCTGCATATGAAAGTTAGTATACACACAATATAAATTGTTATCATCAAAACATTATCATGGAGAAATGATATTCAACAATGCTTACAAATGGAATGTTCTGATCCATACGAGAGGACACTGAAATTCCCAAATTACCCTCATTTTTGTCCTTGTATGGTTCAAAATAGTCCATGCGTGCACATCTTTTTATATAACTCGTACTCATCAATATTCTTATAAATAGAGTAAAAGACTACACATTCTCCCGGAACAATGCATTGTAAGAGTCAATCTCAACCACATAATAAAGGTGTCCAATTATGAAAACAGCCCTCCAATGCTCCGACCTACGGCTCAAAACGTCACGCACGCGCTTGCTATAGGACGTTCTGAGAAGATGTGTGCCCTAGAGTAAAAGCCGGGACGTTCTGAGAAGATGTGTGCTCTAGAGTAAAAGCCGTAGCAAGCACTCTATCAAATACATGCTGCGGGACGTTTTGACAAGACTAGCAGTTATACTAACATAACCATAAACCATGTGACACCGCAGGAAAACAATACAGGGCACCCTTTATAGAAATGATACATGAGGGAAGAACGTGAAGTGATCCTCGCAGCTAACTTATAATCAATGCAAATAATCAGGATCATTGCAACTGTTACAATCACAAACAAAACCATGCATCAATATAAATAGTACAAGAAGGAAAGCAATAACCAATTCTAAAATGAACGATAAACCACGTAAACTTCTCCTTATCCCCATATGGTTTTCTGCAGAACACCCTTTCTATGATTTTTTTTTAAAATTTTATTTTTTAATGTAAAACCAAGAAATCAAAATCTCCAAAAACTCTCAAACAAAAGGGAACATGGGATCTCCCGAAGAAATTATATTCATATACAACAACAAAATTGCAAAATCTTTTTAAAAAAATACAAAATGAAAGAAACTAGGAATGGCTGCTATCCTATACTTAGAACCATCTTCCCTAATTAGCACGTTTCCCAAAATTACACAGCAAACATATGGTATTTTTATACAGTACAACAGAGAGAAAAAAAGCAATTGAATATGATTAGCTTCACATCCTTTTATATGTTCCTCCTACTACTATTCCATGTTTTCTTCAGTCCTTTCAATATCTTTGCAAACCAAATCATGTTCATGATTCCTAAAGCAGATGGTACACCAAAAACAAGTAGCAAGCCATAGATATCCATCTGCTTCACCTGTGATGGAAGTGAAATGAATGAAACTTTAGTTTCCATGTAAAAGAGAATGCAACAGAACAATATCATAGTGAGTGAAGAAGTCGAATCAGACCTGGTCATAGTGTACATAGACGTGATAAAACAAGTAAAAAAACAATAGAATTCTTGCAACCTGCATGAAAGAATTACCACAGAGAATGAGCTACATAAAATTAAACATTAACCCAAATGAGGAAAAGGTAAGGGAGAAAAGCCAAATTGTGTCACTTTATTTCATTTAGCGCTAATTGTGTATAGACCCATGTACTACCGCCAAATTGCGGATAGACACCCTGTAGTTTTATTGTTGCAGACAGACCCCTTGAGGCTTTGTTGGTAGGAGGTTTGAGGAGGGAAGGTGAGGTGAGGGGAGGTGCAATGAGGTGGACGGATGAACATCCCTTTAAGCTCTCATGTTTTGTTGGAAGGAAGGAGTTTAGAGGCGCATAGTTTTGTAATTGATTTTCTCTCTCCTCTTGTGTACTCCCAATTTAGAGGGATACTTCTCTAGCTTTTTAGTTCATTTTGCGGTGTCCTTTCCCTCACCTCCCCTCCCTCCCCACACTCTAACCTCCCCTCTAAAACTCCCAACCGAAGACAAATTTATTTTTTGTCCCTTCCTGCCCTCAAATTCCCTCCTACCGAATCAAACCTAAGTATAATTGTTTTGACTATTTTCCCTCAGGAGGTCTATTTGTTGAAAAATAATTTTCTTTCTCTCAGGGTAAAAGAGTCAAAAAGTATTCACTCAGGCGGTCCAACTGCAAGAATAGAACTATCGGGCTCTATCTGCAATTTGGCAATAGTCCAAGGGTCTAACTGCAATTGATCCTTTCCTTTGTTTAAGCAAAGGTTCTAGTCGAACTTAGGACACGCGGTACCCAACCCCACCGCTTTACTGAATGAGGCCTTAATTGGCATAAGATTTACAGGTTGCATATCAAAGAGCGTGCCTCATCATCAGCCTTTTACCTGAAATGGAATTAGGCTTGGCGTACCAACCCTAACATGAGAAGGCCCATAAGAATCTTCTCTTTGTTTACTTAATATGTGTCTCAAGTTCTCAACTGCCATTGAAATATTTAGCTTATACTAGATTTATCATATAATTGACAATCGATTAATTGGCAAGCACTGCTATTACCCGTACTTGATATGAATACGACTTGGTGAAAACTCATGGATGTGGAATCTTATGTGAATAGTTGCACTAAATCCTTAAATCTAGTTGATTCAGATTTGACTGGCTTCTGACTACAACTTGATGGGGAAACATTTGAAAGAAAATGATGTGATAACATTTTACATATGCTCCTATTTAACCATAGTAGAATATGTTTTCTGTAAGATGTTAGATGATATGATCTATAAACCCAATTTTCATAAAACAAAATAAAATAACTGTCTATTTACCAGCCAGCCAAGGAACAATATGGACCCATTAACAAGATATAACCACGATCTCTTCATTCCTGCAGTATCCAGTATCCTGATAAAATAGAAGATGTCCAATAGTCAAGATAAAAAAATACTAAAACTACAAATTCACATACAAATGCAATAATTACTAATTAAATTACCATCGAAGATTAACTGCTGGAGTGGTTGCTTCAGAGATGAGGACCATGCACGTGTATAACTGTCCTTCCCCAGAGAACATGGAATAAGATACGGCAACTACTGAAAGGAAATGGTGGAAGACCTGAAAGAAGACATCCTTATGTGAGTAAAATATTTAGGAGAGTCAATTTACACAGTTCTGTGACAAATCAACAAATGAAATGGACACGATAGTAGTAAAGGATGTGGCGTTAAGAAATATCAAATATCACAGAGGAAAGGAAATTAAGATGACGACCACATTAAGGTAATATGGCAAGGTGAAATGGAAGAAGCTTGAATAAGGATACTCACATACTCTTTTCCACCAAGGATAGGATAGGCCCAAAACATCATTGTAAGATCGGTGATAAAATACCCAACAGAAACCTACAACATTCAAAAATTCCACTTTAATTACAGTTCCAAACAGAAATGGAAAAAATTAAATGAGATACAATGAGAAAAAATAGTTGTTACCCCCAACGCAAAGGTAGAGAGATTTGAACTTCGGGAAATAATCAGTCCATCAGGGCGATTATCAGAGAACATATTTGAAATGAATACCAAGTAAATTGATATAGCCGAGATAAAAATGGCATGAACACTGGACATACCCCTGAAATAAATTGTACACAGAATTTCAACAAGCAACACAAAGTTTGATGTGGGCCGCACAGAAAAGTGTCATTTCTTTCTCACCGGTTATTCCATTCAATCCGTTGCGTCTTTGTAAGAGAACTGTATCCAATGTAGTAATAAGAGCTGAGTAGTTCTGTAAGATCATACACCTAAGCAAGAAAGAGAAGAATAATATCATTCATATTCATTGAAATCCATGACCGAAGAATATTTTTTTCCTATGCTTAAAACCAAAACAAAAAATGAGAACTAAAACAAAAAATGAGAACTAAGTATGTATGGGGATTGTTCAATGGATTGGGAAGGAAAAGCAGTAATATATGCAAATTTCATTGAAAAGAAGTCGATAAGGTGTGGAAATGGGAAGGTTTGTAGGTCCACTACCCAACTAACTTATCTGAAGACTGAAGAGTTCGGACTAAATCCATGGTGTGACTCCTTAGGTAATAACTCAAACCAATCATTTTGATCTCCACGCGATAAAGAATCAATGCTTTGAAAAGCTCCCGCTTAGCCTGGATAAGCTCCTGCCTAGGTCTTGACCAGTGTTAAAAAACCCGTTATAACCTATTTTGTAACTTAATGGTGCCCTCTTGTTATGTAACACACATTTAACGCTGAAACTATTTAACCCAAAAAACGCGTTATCTTGCGTTAAATGTGTATTACGTTATATAGTCAATTAATATGAGCTTTTTAGGTTAAATTGCAACTCTGATTAGGACCCAAATCATTTAAACCATAACCCTTTTAGTCCCAATCACCATATTCTCTTCCTGCAAATATGTGATCTATTCGCCTCCACCAACCAGACTTTAACTCCTGCCTCCTCTGAAACTCCCTCAGCTATCGACGGGTTCTGCGACTCCGATAAGGTAAACTTTTCATTTTTAGTTGTGTATTGCGCATCTCAAATTATATCCTTTAAGTAAATAGTAATTATAAAATTATCTTTCAAATTTTAATATTTTATATTGCCAATTTAATCTAAATCATATTAAACTTGTTGCTCCATTACTTTACCCTTCAATATAATTTTTTAAGATCTGTCATAAAATTAGAGTACATAAATTAATTAGTGGGTTAATTGGGTTGCGTAAGATAATTACTTTAGTTATTACTTAATTTTGATTAGGCTTTAGTTTTCAGTTTTCAGCTAATACTAAATTTTGTGAAATTAAGTTTGCACACAATATCTGTATATGCAAAAAAATATATTATTGCTACATGATCATGTTTAGGAATTAGAATATTTTTGTAAAGTTAAGAACTTAAGAGTTGGAAGTGTTTGGTTTATTTTAGACTTATATTTATTACCTTAAACTTGACGATGTTAACGTATTTGATCATTTGATCATGGTTGTTAGTCACATGTGACTAACTTCTATTAAGAAATTGTGATATTATATTTTTATATTTGATAATTGTAATGCTATGTTTAAAAAGTTTGATGATTCTAAATATTAAAGTTAATATGACTTGTTAGTAATTATTAAATATCTAAATAACTAATAAACAATATGACATACGTTATGCGTTACATTTTTCTACAATTTTTTGCCTTAACCAGTTAACCCTTAACAGGAGGTCAAGCTTTACATAACACATTTTCATTATTTTCAACATTGGTCTAGATAGTACATCGACCGCTTAGCCTTTGCTCGCCTAGGACTTAAGAGCGCTTAGGGAAGCGAGACTTGCTTACGCGAACTACACTGCTAGGTCTTGATCGTGATTTCCTTTGTTGTAACCTCCTCCAAACTCCTCCGACATCATCCACTGACTATAAACACCTCCTCCGACTCCTCTGCGCTTCAGAAAACCTCCTCTGCCATCACTTGCACCAGAAAAGAAATCCTCCTAGGACTAGCACCTAGGTGCTAGACTCCAGTTTTGCACCTAGCGATGCCTTGTGCTTTCGATAACATTAATTGTAAATAAAAAATAAAAAATGCCTACACGTCTAGGCTCAAGGAGTCGGGTTCGATGCCTAAGCCGCCTAGCATTTTCTATAACCTTGTAAAGAAGCTACATGGTTAAGGATGTCACAACCGTGAATCAAGTTTTTCATTTTTGTTCTGATGGACTTAGAATTTCTAAATATTGTTCAGTAACAGAAGAAATGGTTTTGATCAATGATATACAAATAATGATAAATTATGATTCCACTCATATATGCATTTATTGGTGCGGAGATAATGATGAATGGTGAGGATAAAACGCATGATATCACCATGAGTTCTATCCTAGGTATATTTTACCCACACAGGGAACATTATACAAACTATCACTTGTAAACATCACGCGTTTAGTGTGCGTCTGTGCATTAAATCAATTGTGAAAATGTCCATTTTATAAACACAGAATGAGAAAAAGGACATAAGATTGACATTTCCAGAGAACATTAAACATTGATTAGTTTTGGAACCTGCCATTATCCAGTTTCAAATTTTCTAACGCTTTTCTTTTATAGGAATTTCTTCTTGCAATTCAAAAGTTGAAGACATATCTCTTCTTGCTTTGTTTACCCTTCATTATCCCAGTCACAAATAGTTGGAAAATTTCTCCTTCTAGTTTGGCATTTCTTTCCTCAATACAACAGGAGGTTGAAGAAACTGCCCTAGTAACAATCTCTAACGCAGGAAACCTAGGTACATGACACTGTAAACGAATTCAAAACATCCTAATATGATTCCCCCAGAATGAACTCCACAGTCTAGAGATATTTACAGTGGCCTTTCCATTAGAAATTTTCAATTGGCAAATTCAATGAAGAAAGACAGTGCAATAAGTAAATACTTTTTACACCCAATATATCACCAATATAGTATATAACAAAAAACAATTAACAATACAGTAATGCGATAAAAAAGGCAATACGTTGTCCTCCATTACTTTCAAAAACTTCATAATGATATTCCAATAATGAAAATGAACACCTGAACAGTTCTAACTGTTTGTAATAAAGATCATACCTACCATCTTGGAGATGAAAATGCCACCAAGCAAAGATGTGTAAGGGATGTATGAATCTGCTAGCAAGTAGTCCTTGACCAGTAGCTTTGCCTTGTACTGATAGGCATCCAGTGTCATAATTGAACGCGGGGGAGCCTGCATCATAACATATACCTTGACCCAAAATTTAATCAGTAAAGTACACACTAAACTGTCAGCGTGAATAAAAAATGAGAAGATAGTGAACATCTCTGCATCATTTGTTGATATAACACTTTTTAGTCATCAGAAGTTAACTCTAAAGAAAACATCTCGATGTTCTGCTAATTGTAGTCGTTAGAACTTAGAAGTTTACTCTAAAGAAAACATCTCAATGTTCTACTAATATTAGACACTTGGTTACCATGCCTAAGTCCTATTATTCTGGTTTAGCAATTATTTGAAAAGCATATGTTGCTGTATTATAAAAATTGTTTGCATTATCAACATCTAGAGTTATATGATTTTTTTTATTAGAAGGGTATGTACGAACACCGAAAGCACTTTAGAGCTTAACCCTGCAAATTCAGTTATATGGAAAAATCACTTGATATTGATGACTGACTCAAGCACTCAAGCACTCAAGTATCAGTAAAAGTGAAATGTTATAGCATTTTTCTGTATTAGGAAATTTCAAATAGCACACACTTATAGCAGGCAACAAAATAGGAGGGTGGACACAAACGGACATGGAACATGTACGGACGACATGAACTGCATAGTACAGGAATGATGAAGCATGGATACACGACACAAGACATCAATGTGGTACATGGATACAATATATCCTGAATATTCATTATTACATATACTCTATAGATTACAACAACAATAAAGTTACAGACACAGAGACAAGAAAACAGCATCCACACACAAAGACGCATAAGCTCTTTATCTATAAAATGAAATAATACCTAAAATAGTCATAACTTTACTAGCTCAATGTTCCACTAACAACAGACTGGTTTAAAAAGCTCCTAGGATTCAGGAGACAAGATTAATGCTCACTGGTATAAACACGTTTACAAATCTATAATACTCCCATCAAAAGAGAGCTCAAGGTGGATCAAAGAACAAGAACTCTCTCCAAGGAATTGTAGAAGCAAAGCCATCCTCATGCACAATAAATCAATAAATGAGCAAGAAGTTCAGAACTGAATTATGCTAACAAGGAGGGCAGTGTTACATTATCACCAAAGGTAAAATCACATGCTTCATCTGCTCATACAAAACTAACAAACAATAGCACAGGAGTCACTCCATTGCTAGAGCTAGAATCTCTACCTAAAATTAAAACAATTACCCTATTAAAATGTGGGTGAAGAAAAGGATTATTGAGGGGCAGCCACGAGCAAGAACACCATAAATGAACATGGGCATGCTCAGAATAAGGCAAGAATCATAGTATGCATAAAAAAGAATAACATAATCAAAGCTTTCCCTTTCATTACACAAATAACCGACTGAATGATTGAGATCTAGATAATTTCTCTATTAATACAGATTCATTTCTGCGGGAATTGAAAGGGGTTATGCTTGAATCATTAAAAGAAAATCTAATTTGATAGAAATGGAACACAAATTAGGGCAAATCAAAAAGAGGAGAAAAGTAAAAAAATATTACTTTTTTTCCGGTGAAATTGCAGTCTTTTTTGAGGCAACGAAGGGGACTGGCGGGGAGAGGATTGATTGAAGAGGAAGCGGGTGGTTAGGGTGAAGATCCCAGATATTAACGGACAAAATGAGTCGGGATAGAGGAACCCATAGCATAACCCCCTATTTTTGCACATCGCCCCTTCGGTATGTGAATACCTGCATATTCTCAAAATTCCAATATTTCAAAGCGGTGTTTTATATTAGGGCCTGTTTGTTTGGCTGAAAAAAAATTGAAAATCAAAGAAATGGAAAACTATTAAATCAAAGAATTGTTTTGGAAGTGTTTGGTTTGCTAAAAAAAAGAAGGAAATCAAATAAATAAAGATGAGTTGTCACCTTATTATAGGATGATGTGAGTGATTTTTTAAGAAAACTTGTTTTGATGTTGTTTGGTTGGCGAAAAAAATAATGAAATAAATTATAAGAAACCTATTTCTTGTAATAGGTTGTTTTCTTTTGCTTGGTTATTTCTTAAAAATAAGAAAATAGATGAGATGAGATGAGTTGTCATTATATTATTGGATGATGTGACCCACACTTAAGGAAATTGTTTTCCTAGCTTTTTAGGAGGAAAACAAAGAAATGAAATGTTAATGAGATGAGATGAGTTGTCACAATCTTATTGGATGATGTGAGTAATTTTTAAATATGAGATGAGATGAGTTGAGTGATGTTGTGGATGAAAATAATATTTTATTAGATGTGGTGGATATGATGGATGAGTTGTTGGATGAAAATAATATTTTATTAGATGTGGTGGATGTGATGGATGAGTTGTTGGATGAAAATAATATTTTATTAGATGTGATGAATGATTTGTTGGATAAAAATAATATTTTATTAGATGTTGTGGGTGAGTTTTAGGGATGGAAATATGTGAAATTGTACTTTTTGAGTTTTCTTGGTTTGCATTTCTATTTTTTGGTTTTTTAGGAAATAACCAAACAGCCCCTTAGTCCCTTATATCTTTCGAATTTCCCATTACTCCCTCAAAGTTCATCTCCAATGTACTAATGTACAAACTATTATAAAATTGTGCTTGCATGTTAAAACAGTTCTCCCCAAATTACCATCTAATTATGCTAAAACACATACACGCATGCATAAATTACATACATACATACACAAGTCATGTACATACATATATGAATCATAACCCTTTATATTCTTTTCATAACTACCAATTAAAATAAGGGTTTTTTTATTTCTAGGCCCATTTGTTTACTCATCTTTACCTCTAAGCCCAATAACTATTCTTTGTATTCTTAAACCCAAGTTTCTTTTTGTTTTTGCCTTTAAACCCAATTTCTAAAATACTGTATATACAACACTGGTATTCATACCCAAACATAATAAAAACCCTAAAATACCCTTCAATACCAGACCCCCCCTCTCTCTCTCCTCATTTTCCTTCTTCCTCAGGTCTTCGTCTTCCTCATTCCTCAAGGCTTTGTCTTCCTCCTCCGATCCCACCTCTCATGCCCCCTCCAAGAAATCGAAGAAGAAAGGAAGAAAGGCCCATGATTTTAGTGCTTGATGTCTTGAAAAGGCCCACGGCGGATCTCGAGGCAGCCGAACACACCTCCACCCTCTCCAACGAGACACTACAATTCTTCAACGATCAACAAGATGCTTGATGATTTTGGCTTCGGGATCTCTTTTGATGACGAGGAGGAGTGATTTCATGTGAAATCTCATTTCTATATACTCGATTAGGGTTAGGGTCAGGGTCGGGGTTGGGGGGTTAGGGTTAGTTCATTGATGTTCTTTTGTGCTATCCCTTTTTGTTGAACTAAATCTAATTGTAGAATTGGTTTTATCAATTTATGAATGTATCGTTTCTGTTGAACTAAATCTAATTTGTACACAATAGATCCGTTACACTTACAGCATAACACACTACACTTACAGGATAACACGCTACACTTACAGGATAACCCGCTACACTTACAACATAACACGCTACACTTACAGTCTAACACGTTACACTTACAGCATAACATGCTACACTTACAGTCTAACACGCTACACTTACAGAATAACCCGCTACACTTACAGGATAACACGCTACACTTACAGTCTAACACGCTACACTTACAGGATAACCCGCTACACTTACAGCATAACACGCTACACTTACAGGATAACACGCTACACTTACAGCATAACACGCTACACTTACAGCATAACACGCTACACTTACAGCATAACACGCTACACTTAAAGCATAACACGCTACACTTACAGAATAATAGCGGGTTAGACTTTAAGTGTAGCGGGTTAGACTTTAAGTGTAGCGGGTTAGACTGTAAGTGTAGCGTGTTAGACTGAAAGTGTAGCGTGTTATGCTGTAAGTGTAGCGGGTTAGATCGTAAGTGTAGCGTGTTATGCTGTAAGTGTAGCGTGTTATCCTGTAATTGTAGCGTGTTATGCTGTAAGTGTAGCGTGTTATCCTGTAAGTGTAGCGTGTTATCCTGTAAGTGTAGCGCGTTATGCTGTAAGTGTAGCGGGTTATCCTGTAAGTGTAGCGTGTTATACAGTAAGTGTAGCGTGTTAGACTGTAAGTGTAACGGGTTATTCTGTAAGTGTAGCGTGTTAGACTGTAAGTGTAGCGCGTTAGACTGTAAGTGTAGCGCGTTATGCTGTAAGTGTAGCATGTTAGACTGTAAGTGTAGCGTGTTATGCTATAAGTGTAGCGGGTTATCCTGTAAGTGTAGCGTGTTATCCTGTAAGTGTAGCGTGTTATGCTGTAAGTGTAACGGGTTATCCTGTAAGTGTAGCATTGTAAGTGTAGCGTGTTATCCTGTAAGTGTAGCGGGTTATGCTGTAAGTATAGCGTGTTATCCTGTAAGTGAAGTGTGTTATGCTGTAAGTGTAGCGGGTTATCCTGTAAGTGTAGCGTGTTATCCTGTAAGTGTAGCGGGTTATGCTGTAAGTATAGCGTGTTATCCTGTAAGTGAAGTGTGTTATGCTGTAAGTGTAGCGGGTTATCCTGTAAGTGTAGCGTGTTATCCTGTAAGTGTAGCGTGTTATGCTGTAAGTGTAGCGTGTTAGACTGTAAGTGTAGCGTGTTATGCTGTAAGTGTAGCGGGTTAGACTGTAAGTGTAGCGGGTTATCCTGTAAGTGTAGCGTGTTATCCTGTACAGTCTACCATGCTACACTTACAGTCTACCACGCTACACTTACAGTCTACCACGCTATAATTTTAGTCTATCACGCTACACTTACAGTCTACCACGCTACACTTACAGTCTACCACGCTACACTTACAGGTTATCACGCTACACTTTGAATTTATCACGCTACACTTACAATCAAAGAGATCTGCAGTTTATCACACTTGGTTGCACTCACAAAATTGCACAAGAACAAAATAACACTCATAAAATTACACAAAATTCCACAAAATAGCACTCACAAAATTGCACAAAATTCCAGTCTTACAAACTCCAAAATTGCACAAACAATAACGATATTGCACTAACAACACTTTCATTATCTACTTTCAAAAACTTACAATCTGAAACAATATGTTACAAATCAAACTCCAAAATTACACAAATCTTCAAAATATACTTAGCATAACTAATCATATATTCAAGGCAAGCTCTAGACTTTTTAAAATGTTACAAATCTTCACAAAAAACATAGCATAACTGATCATATATTCAAGGCAAGCTCCAGGCTTTCAAAAATGTTACAAATCTTCAAAATGTACATAATATAACTGATATTATATTCAAGGCAAGCTCCAGACTTTACAAAATGTTACAAATCTTCAAAATTGCACAAATCTTCAAAATGTACATATAGCATAACTGACTCCATTAACTCTACCCAGCAATTTCTCTTTCACAATCTTCAAAGCAAGCTCCATACTCTCCAACTCTTTATAAGCAAAATTTACAGGTACAAAATTCCAGATTCTTCAGATTTCACACCTCTTGCTTTGCAAATCTATTGTGTACAAATTAGATTTAGTTCAACAGAAACGATACATTCATAAATTGATAAAACCAATTCTACAATTAGATTTAGTTCAACAAAAAGGGATAGCACAAAAGAACATCAATGAACTAACCGTAACCCCCCAACCCCGACCCCGACCCTGACCCTAACCCTAATCGAGTATATAGAAATAAGATTTCACACGAAATCACTCCTCCTCGTCATCGAAAGAGATCCCGAAGCCAAAATCATCAAGCATCTTGTTGATCGTTGAAGAATTGTAGTGTCTCGTTGGAGAGGGTGGAGGTGTGTCCGGCTGCCTCGAGATCCGTCGTGGGCCTTTTCAAGACATCAAGCACTAAAATCATGGGCCTTTCTTCCTTTCTTCTTCGATTTCTTGGAGGGGGCATGAGAGGTGGGATCGGAGGAGGAAGACAAAGCCTTGAGGAAGGAGGAAGACGAAGACCTGAGGAAGAAGGAAAATGAGGAGAGAGAGAGGGGGTCTGGTTTAAGTGGGGGTATTGAAGGGTATTTTAGGGTTTTTATCATGTTTGGGTATGAATACCAGTGTTGTATATACAGTATTTTAGAAATTGGGTTTAAAGGCAAAAACAAAAAGAAACTTGGGTTTAAGAATACAAAGAATAGTTATTGGGCTTAGAGGTAAAGATGAGTAAACAAATGGGCCTAGAAATAAAAAACCCTTAAAATAAATGCAATAAGCACACCTTCAAGTAGCATATCCACTATCATTAGAAAATTCAATGCAATTAAACCACCTTTTCTACATTATAATCTATAAATCTAAATCTAAAATTGGGAACTTCTTACAAATCCAAATCTATATGATAGCTCATTGAAATAGATATTCAATTAATTTCTTTACTTTTTATCTCTCTAGCACATGTTTGGCACTCTATTTTGCAATATCCAAAACCTGATACCGATCAATCATCAATAGTATAGTAACTGTACTTGGTAGTCTTAACAAAAATTAAATGCTCCAATTAATCACAAAACCCATGTGCCCTATTGTTATGATATTCATGTTCGCCAAAATACAACTCATCGCCCAACAACGAGCGAGTATACTTTCACAAGCAAGGCCCCAACTCGCTTGGTGACCCAAGCCCATTAGAGGTCCTAACTCGGCCGACTCGTCAAGTCAATACTCTTCATGACGACTCGAGAGGCGAAATC